CTCTTCTTGTGTTTCCTCTGCAGTCTGGGGCCTTTAGGGTGCACTTCTGCAAAGTGAGGTCATTTTTTTTTTTTTCGTTTCTGGAAGGAGTCACTTCAGTTCAGCTTCACAGGAACAGTCAACAAACAGAGAAATCTGGCCTTTTATCCTCCGACTATGACATCTGGATCACCTGATGTCTGATTGGTCGAAAGAAAGCTACATCAATCCTCATTAACGGAGCTTCCTCCTCTATATTTGCTAATATTTCTACCTTTTGAAACAGCTTCACACAGATAGAGTTCACATTTGTGTCTGAATACCGTGATATAAAAACAGTCACCATTACTAAACGCTCCCTCCCCTCCTCTAACGTGAACCTCCCAGCTGTCCCCGGAGTATTTTAAGTTGTGAGAGCATGTCAGACTTAATCTCCTGCTGTGCGGTACATGATGTACGTGAAAGGCAGTTCCTGAAAATGTCAGGGCCTGAATGTCCTGAATTATCTACAAAATGTCAGGAGGTCATGTGTGATAGGGGCTGTGGTCTGACAGCTTTGTTACTTCCTCTGTGATGTTGGAGAAAACGCTCAGGTTAGAATCTATTGTATTCAAAATGAGTATCGGACTATTGCTGCGGTTTTTAGAAACTTTACAAGGACTTTCCAGGAGCACTGAAAGACTTGAGACTTGATAAAAGTGACTTTTTCAGGAAGTGAGCAAACGCTCTAAGAGTTTATGGGTGTAAGGTCAGCATCAGACAGTCAAGAAAACTTTAGTATGCCTTAAACAGCTGATTCAGTCTGAGCATGTGACACGTACAGAAGTTTCAGGCCTTGACGGGGATTCCACAGGATCCGGACCGGCAGGCGGATAGCACCCACCGATCTGATCCACCGCTGCCATCGGAGGAGAAGCACTCGCGATATTACCGACATTTCTCGTGAGACTGGACGAGATCTCACGTGTTTCCCCGTGAGACATTGAATGAGATCTGCCGACTGGTGTATATAAATGGTGGTGTATATAAACACCCACATACCACAACCCTGGCCTCTCCTATTATCAAGTGATGAACAGTTCAACGTATTGACTTTATTTTATTTTGAAAATTAAAAAGTGGTTATTTTACTCTGTAGCCGCAAACAGCTTCTGTAGCTAGAGACAACTTTTTATCGTGCGATCACATGTGAATCCGCGGGTTCTTGTGAGTTCTCGCGATTCCTGCTGTCCGATCGCCGATGTTCCAGATCGGAGCCGTTCCGGATGCAGTGAAAAGTGGGGGTTAGCCAAGCAATGTCCTGAAAATTCGTCTCGGCATGACGGCTTTGAAGCTACCAGACATACCACGTCTTTTTAAAAGACACTGGGACACGATGCTCTAATTACATCTGATAGGTAAAGTACCAAACAATTTCAGGTTTGATCTTTTTTCTTTGGTACTTTACCTAAGTCTACAGTTTCTCACTCACATGAATCTCATGATGTTTCAGGAACTTCACTTTGAAAAGTTTATGCATATGGAGCTAAAATCAAGACTTTAACTAGAAAAGCACTTGGAGAGCGCAGACCTCCGCCAAGCAGCTCATGTCCCCCCTTATATTGTGATTCACACCAAAACTTTTACTGTTTCGTGTCTTTTATTAACGTTGATTTGTGTTTAAACTGGTATGTTCACTGTTCATAATGTTCCTAAAACAAGAAATGCCCTGACCCAGATTGGTACCCAGGACCTTCTTGCTGTGAAGCGACAGTACTAACCACTACACCACTGTGCCGCCCATTGGTTATCTTTCAGCATTGAAAATTCCAACAATACCCTTATTTTTGTGTGTTCTGGATCACAGTATCCGGAATTTTGTCTGGATCAGGATCAACTTTTGACACCTCATAAAACTCATTGAGATCCTTTTGTGTCATTTTTTACTAAAGACTCTGGACATTTTTATAGAGTTAAATGCAAAAATTCCAAAATCTCACAATGATAAAGAATCCTTCAAAAAATTCCTGGATCCAGAAGGCGATCCGGATCACCACCAAAATGTAATGGGATCCTCCTGGGGCTGAGACGCACTTCTGGTGAAAATTTCAGGTCAATCCATCTGTAACTTAATCCGTAAAGTTGTTCACAGACAAACAAACAAACAAACCAACGCTACCGAAAACATAACCTCCCTGGTGGAGGTAATAAAGCTTTTCTCTCGTATTTTGCCAAAAAGAGACCCTCGCTTGAATCAAAAAAGAAAATAAAGGTGAAAACAGTCTTATGCAGATAGAAGAGCAGTTGTAAAAACAGAGGAACAGATTGTTCTTGTGTTTTTCCTCCTTTTTCATGTTTCAGCAGTCTGTTTTAGAGCTTTACCCTTTGATGCCATGTCCTTTCTAATGTCTTCTAAAACTCAAGGTCTTCAGCAGAGGCTGGACCCCTCTGCGATCAGGTCACACAGCTTTATGTAACTGTTCAGGAGAAAAAGAGTCAAGAGGAGGAAGAACCAGTAAAGCCGGGGAGGAAGTGAAGGATGTGGTGAGGAGTGCAAACAGCAGCCAGCGGAGAGCTCCCTCTTTGTGTGGCTTTTTTACTGCTTCCTCCCAACCCTGCCACATCGCTCACCACATGTCCGCCGCTGGAAAAACATAAACAGCTCGAGTCTCCACGCTGGGCGGGAGCAAGACAAAACATTTCACAGTCAGTGATGGAGACAAGAGGCACAATGACACGTATCATATGAACAAGCTTTACAAGACGACGCCCCGGAGCTACACGCCCAGATAAATGATGAAACAGATACAAGGTACCAAAAAGGGTCCAAATGTTTTAGTTTTATGGAGAGTCACTTTTGCTCTGATTTAAACTTTAAGGCACTTCATCAATGTGTTATCAGTAAACAGTCTAAGTCTTCTATATCTCAAGCACAACTACTGAAAGTTTAAACTGACTTTAAATTGATTAAAACGATCAACAAAAACGGTCAACCCATGATAAGATTTGGTTATGGGCTAATTTTGTGCTGGAAAACCATAACTGGTTATTTCAGTTTTGACCAACAACATCATTCAAACTTTTACACCAGATTTCCACTATTGCAATTTTCACCATCTGCCAATTCCTACCAGATGCATTTTGCATTTGAGAGGCGAATTTCGTGGCAAATTTTGGACAGCGGGAGTCGCGAGGACTCACAAGAACCCGTGAATTCACATGCAATTGCGCGATAACGAGTTGTCTCTATAAAGAGATTGGGAACTGCAATATTTATCTTTATCTACATCCCCCCCAATGTTTGCATTGTGTGAAATATGATCCGCCTGAAACAAGTAGTGTTTCATTTTGAAAAGAAGCCGGATGTTTTATTTTGTGTCTGTGTCTGACTACCTTCCCAGCACCGGTTAATCTGTGCTGAATTAACCCGGAGAACCCTGGAGATCGGCTACGAAGCCCGCCGACCTGCAGGGGGCCGTAAAGAAGTCGGTGGAATTCGACAAATTAACTTGAATGGAAACGATCAGCGGCGATCGGCGACAACGGCCTTTTCGCCGCTGTTTCGCATCCAGTGGAAATTTGGGGTTAGCCCATAGTCAAATCAGCGAGCAAAATCAAGTGCATTTTAGGGTCAAAGTTAAAGTTATTGTTGACATTTTCTCCTTTAAATTCAGTCTTATTGTTTCTCTTCGCCTCATAAACATCATATAAAAATAACAGCATGTGGATAAAATGACGCTGACAATGATGTGAAGTAAAGGAAGATAATGCCGCTTTCATAAGCTATCAGCTGTCAGTGTGTACAAACAGCAAAGCTGACAGGTACTTTGTAACATAATGGCCATTTTCTTAATGATGAATGTCTTCATAAAAGACCATCTGTGTTTTTCCTTCTAATTTCTTTTTAATACCATCCTTTCACTGAATCCCTCCTCCAGCAGATCAATCAAATGAGACTCAAAGCAGACCAAAGAGGCCACACTTCGCTCTTTTCCCTCTTTAATATAAACAAACTGAGCCCTGAATTCGGTGTCCAGCTAACACCAAAAAGGTCAGTTTTGGTTGTTACTAAAATTTCTTTTACTCCGGCTCACCTTTGGATTGAATTTTAAAGGATTTTGTCATGAATTTACTAACTGAAGATGGGATATTTACAGTTACATATTCACTTGTTTCTTATCTGTGAATTGTACCACCTTCAAATGAACTCTTCCTGGCTTTGCTGATTTAGTCTTGTACATGTGTAAATTTATTTACAAAAAAATAAAAAGGCTGTTTCAGTCATGATTATGGTCAAGTTACCTTTTTTTGTTGTTCATATCATTTCATGTCTTGTGTTTCCTGTTGTGGTCCTGTCTGCCCTGCCCCCATTTTGTCACACCTGTCTACTGATTGTTCATCCCCACCTGTAACGCTGCACAGGAAATGCACAAAAGACAGGAGAAGAGTATGGCATATGTGTAAAAAGGTTGTTTTGGCCGGACACACGCAGGCACCATAAAAGAGTTATGCTGGGTGTCACAATCGATTTGAGAGATGCAGACAGACATCCCCGCAGAGATGAAATGGTTCTTGCCCTCTTTAGCCACGAAATTATCGTCTTCTTTTGCAAACGCCATGTTTGTTTACACTGGTGTGTGTGGAACTGGGGAGCGCTCCCACAGGAAGGGGGAGCCTACGGTGGCCTGGAGGCACGAGACATGATGGAGAGGAAAATCGATTCATAGTGCAGCCTTAATATAATATGATATAATATAATCCATGGAGGCTGGTTCAGTTTGATTCAAATTGAGGATTGCTGTATCCTTGATATAAAGGCAACAGCGCAGGGTTGGGAAAACTGTTGCTGACTCACAATGTTTAGTGCATTCATGACCAGTGCGACACGCAGTTGACAAATAAAAGAAATATTCTTAAATTTGCGGTTCTCACTGTGTTCAAAATGAAGTGCTAGGTTTTTGCAGACCACTGAAGGACATCTGTCTGGTAGAACAGACTCTGATTAACCCGTGACTGGACAAACAGATTTAAAACTAATAGTATGAGTGCAACACAGAATATCATTTATTCATATAATAAATCTTATTTATGATGTGTGTTTTTGGCATTATGGAGCACATCATGGTTTGGAAAGAAGCAAAGAAATATCAATAAAATATGTATTGCAAACAGAGCCGACTGTTAACGCACAAATGTACACCTGCAAACACACACACACACACACACACAAACGTATCCAGAGAGGTCACACAGCAGACATGCACCGTCTGTTTTCATAGCTGCAGCTGTCCCTATTGGACGTTACACCCATAATAACACACACACACACACACACACACACACACACACACACACACACACACACACACGAACACACTCACGCAGAAGTCTGAACATGGCTGCACAGCTGGAAACGTTTAAGAGGTGAGGAAAGACATAGACGAAAGATGTTGGTATCACACACACACACACACACACACACACACACACACACACACACACACACACACACACACACACACACACACACACACACACACACACACACACAAACACACACTTCAAGCCCTGCCCAAATCCTGATTAGCCCACTGACCCTGAGAGAGACCACCTTGGAGGACAGAAGTGACCACATACACACACACACAGATTCAGACATAAACACACACTTGAGGAGTCTTTGGCTGCAGCGTTGTGAATGTGTGTGTTTCAGTCTGTTGGAGGGCGAGGTCGTCCTCATGTGGAATCTTCAGGTGATCCGTCCGTCCCCTCGCTCTCCGCCCTCCGCCTCTCCTCTGAGGAGCGCACGCCTTTGAGAAGCTGGGACTGGTTGAGGAGACACTCCTTCAGCTTGTCCTCAGTCAGGGTGAGACGCTCCTCCAGCACCGACACAGTCTGTGTGTTCGAGGAGATAATGAGGGAGAAGGAGGAGGGGTAGGATTCAGTCATTACAGAGCAGACACAGAATAATTACTGAAGCAGAAAATAAGAGGCGCACTGATCACTAAGTGCCTTGAAATCAATCCTGTCACCGTTACGTAAAAAAACATAAAGCTGAAAAGAGACACAGAGGGCTTTTTTGTTCTTCAGGATGTTTTTCAGAGCAGATAACTCTCTGCCTTGATCCTGGGAACCTAATTAGTGAAGTTCTGCTTTAAAAAGTCAATCGGAGGAGTAAAAACCTTTCTGTAAAAAGAGTCGGGATGGTTTGATGCTCGTATCTGTTTAATTTTTCCATCTTTGGAAGCAGATAACGCGTAGAAAACTCTGCTCTTTCATACGGTCAACCAGCTGTTTCTAAAGCACAGACAGGTCACAAATATGTACGGGAAAACAACTCATCACATTTCATCGACTTGGATTGTCTGAAGGTGCCTCCTCGTCATTTTTGTCCTGCAGACAAACAATCAAAATTGGCTTTTCAGGTGCTGTGCGGCAGGATGTGCAGTAAACAGGGTGTAAACAGGAAAAGTCATGTTTTAGGATCGATGAGTGAACAGGTGATACGATATGAGGTCTGCAAAAAGAGTGGGAAATCAAACACAAGTAAAATCATTCACGTGAATAAACTACATGTAAAGTCAATGCAAAGACGCGATTAGACGCTCCTACTACCCTGGCGGCGCGAATGACGTAAATCGGGCAGCGAGAATTAGGTGAGATGTGAATTCGCGAGAGTTGAAAATATCTCAACTTGAGCAGATATTCGCGTTGCGATAACCAATCAGCGTGCAGATTCCCGGGTGACGTATGAAAACGGACCGGGTGATATTAACTGGTGTGAAAATATAAACAAAAATCCTTTTACTCACAGTAGACAGATGGACAGACGCTCTGCAGCTGGGATAGAGCGCCTGTAATTGGTATCCTGGAGGGATATCCTGGCACCGACCCTCACCAACAGGTCATCAAATTGGGTTCGGGTAACCCGAAAATACCGCTGGAAACGGCCGTCATCCGGACGCAGCTATTGGAGGAAACCCAGACACGGTGACGCCTACATCCCCGACGATTGAGGGCCTCTTACAACAAAAACAAAGCAGCAATCTGCTGAACGTGGTTCACGATGGAGACTCTCCCCCTCTCTTGTATCAGCCGCTTTTGTAATAAAAATAGGAATAAGAAGGATCTTGTCTGGTGGAAAGTGAATGAGGCGTTTGGATTATCTGGTAAATTGTGCAAAACCGCTGTCCATCACTTCATCTCGCTGGCTGAATTGGCATAAACGGCTATCCACAGCTTTTAAGCACTCTGTTTACTCGCAAATCATTTCCGCAAATGAAGCTAGTAAATACTTTTAATTCAGGCGTCTAGATACACGCGGATTACGCGAGTAGATGATTTTACTTGCGCTTGGTGTGAACACCCCATAAGACCATTTTAAGTCTGTATTTGGTCACATGCTACACTGAGTCCATTTAAGACAAACTGTGGTGAAGTCGAGCACAGTCCTGTGGTCTGACAAATCAATATGTGACTTTTTATTTTGGAAATAACAGACTCTGTTTTCACCTTAAACCACCTATGAAGATAAGTGCTTATTGCTTTATGAAAAAAAAATCACTTTAAATTTGTTTGAACTTTTCAAAAAAGTTAGGACAGGGGCAGCTGAAGTGTGGAAAAGTTTTGTAATGGTAAAAAAATCACCTGAGGGAATGATTCTGAACTTATTCGGTTAATTTACAATGAGTTAAAAACACGAGATGCCAGACGACCCTTTGTGTTTTTATTCAATTGAACAAAAGGATGAAGTGATTTTTAAACTCTTATACTCCGCCATACGCCACGTCCTGACTTTGATGATTTTGTGGTTGTAATAGCAGAATAAAGAGAGGGACACTGTGACAGAATAAGTATATTGTTTGTCTGCACAGATTTTCCTGTCTGGGGGATAATAAATTGATTCTTTGACAAGCTGAAATCTTTTGTTTGGGGAAGCTACAAGTCTTTCTATAGCATCTCAGCTCTGGTTTGCATAAATTCGGCGCTGATCGTTTTCTCCCGTCTGTGGGCGCAGCGTTTAGATGATGACACATCACATTCTGTTTGAAACCAAAGAAATCCAGCAGCAAATTGGTGTGATATCGTCTTTGTCTGGAGCTGATTTTCTCATGAATATTCATCAGGACCTCGAAAAAAAATTAGCAGCCTTGTCTGACGCAAGAATAGATATTATATAGATGTAGAGAAATACATCGTTTTTGAAACAGGAAAACACAGACAGGGCATCTACTCTTTGATTTGGAAATGGTCAACTACACCAAAGCATCTATATAGGATAAAAACGCTTAAGAGCATCCAGCTTCTATCATATTCAGTTCTCATCTTCTGAGACCAAGTCTGCTGCCGGTGCTTTTGATACCGTTTACTCACCTGGGTGAGAATATCCAGCTGTTGAACGATGTGGCGCAGGGTGGACTCCAGACATGACGGATGACCTGAGAGAACCTCTAGTGGATGCGTCTGCCCTCTCTCCTCTTCATCCTCCTCTCTTCCTCCCTTGCCGGTTCCCACCTGGCTCCCGGAATTTCCTCCCGACTCACTGACACTCTCCTCTTCTTCTTCTGAAGAGGCCCCGTGACACGCTGGCAAACCGTTCGAGTGTTGACTGTTGGCGGCGGTCCGCACGGGCACCGAGTGTGTCTGACCGTTGAGGAGCTGGAGAGAAAACAAGACCAGTCAACCAGCTGGTTGAGCTGCAGTGCATTGTGGTCTCTGACAATTGTGCAAGTGTTATCTTTGACTCAAGTGCTGCTCTCAGGGCTGCCATGGATTTTTGCTCTAAACAAATGCCAAGCTCTCGCTCCGTCTAGCCTCCATTGTGATATGGGGGCATTAAACAGAGGACACGGCACGGTAAAGAGAGGTATTTAAAACAATAGTCTGATGAAAGGAGCCAACACCACGATGTAAGTCTGACAGATAACTGGATATTCAAAACACTTAAAGGGATATTCCAGCGTAAATTTAATTTATGGTCAAACACACCGTAACACAGAGTTAGACACCCCCTTGAGAGATAAATGCTGCCGACCGCTTGCTTCTCTAGTTATACCAACTTTAGTAATGACCGTACGATAGCAATACACAGCGGTCAATGTCTCCATGCGCCAACCTCAACCAAAACGCCACTCTATAGACACAAATAACGCTCAGAACAGCACCTAACTTCATCAACAGGACATATAGGGTCCCAGCCGTAGTACTAGACACCAAACATCTTTTTAGCTTTGCCTAATTTCTTTAGCAAAGAGACTAAATACAACTCACCCACTCTCATCCAGCAGCTGCTTGTTTGTGGGGGAGCCCTGACGAGTCGATCACAGAGTGCAGCGGAGTTTCGAAGCTCAAGGAAGAACATTTATGATTATTACTTCATGGAAATGCTTCTTCTTTTGCTTCTTTCCACAACCTGGATAATTACATACATTGACCATTGTGTCCTCCTTGGTCTTAGGTATTTGGTCATGACTGATTTCTCTCTTTACCTTCCTGCTGTCTCCTCACTCTTCGTGAGATAAACAATCAAATTTGACTTCACATCAAATCTTGCGTTTGTTTACCTGAGTTTCCCCTGCAAATACGTAAAGTTAAAAATGCTCATCTGCGCTCATTTCCCAATAATAACAGTTATAAACTGACATACAAAATACAAAAGAACTCTGATTGCATTTCCATGAGGTAATAATCACAAATTTTCCGCTGCACTCTGGGATCGACTCATCAGGGCTTCCCCACAAACAAGCGGCTGCTGGAGGAGAGTGGGTGAGTTGTGTTTAGTCTCTTTGCTAAAGAAATCAGGCAAAGTTAAAAAGATGTTTCGTGGTTAGTACTATGGCTGGGACCCTTTATGTACCGTTAATGAAGTTAGGTGCTGTTCTGAGCATTATTTGTGGTTATAGAGTGGCGTTTTGGTTGTGGCTTGCGCGTGGAGACATAGACCGCTGTGTATTGCTATCATGCGGTTGTTACTGAAGTTGGTATAACTAGAGAAGCAAGCCTTCGGCAATATTAATCTCTCGAGGGGGTGTCTAACTCTTACGGTGTGTTTGACCATAACTTAAATTTACGCTGGAATATCCCTTTAATGTCTTAAAATGATGCTTCATAGACGACGTGGATCTGAAACTTTAGGGCTAACAGAAGATGAGTTGACTCATTTCACTGAGGTAAAGGTCAAACTAAAAGTGCTGAAAAGGCGTTTACGTCATCAGAAATCCTCACTATAAATGGAGCTTTTTACATATGACCTGCATCACTGCCCTGTTTGAAACGTACAGCGATCTCAGTGGGAGGGAAAAGAGTATTAAACAGCCACGGTGATGCAAAATGTAAAGCAGGGTTAGCCAACACAACATCCCTCCTGATTCACCGTCGTGCGGCGGAGGCCTTGAGCCTGTTCTAACTTGGCAGACTGAAGGAGGTGATGACTCACACGGCTGGATTACTGACTTAACGGCTGGCTTTGTGAACGACTGACTAACTTGCTGGCTAAACAGAAGTTCAAGGGGTTATTTGTAATCCAAGGCCTGGAGAACAAAAGCCACGGAGGGAAAAAAAAGGAAAAATTTGTGATCTTTTGATTTGATCTTTTTCTCTAATAAAGAGTTTTTAAAATGAGTTTCTGTTTGTGAGGAAGGTAAGGATTTTGTATCTCTGATGTAACTGGAGGCTGCTTGAAGATTAGGGGTTATATTGTTGAATGAATGTCCAGTTAATTCACTCACTGATCCAAACAGACTCAAACTCCGAGCATGGACCGTAACACCTTAAACAGCTGTACTACATCACTGTCTAGACATTACTCTGTAGCAGCAACAAGTGAAGAAAAGTTGGGTTCCCGCCCAAAATAATAGCAGGGTCTTGTGTGAAAGGTGGAGGGCGGCAGGTGGTGTATGGCGAAAAAGAGCTGAGGGAGGGGAAATAAATGAGGGATGTGTCGGGAGGATAGAGGAGGAAGGAAGGAGGGGTGAGGAGGAGGAGGAGGAGGGTGTCACACATTCCTCGCCTGATGCATGGAGCAATCGATTCCGGCTTGCTTCCTGCACACTGTCCTCACTTCAAAGAGAGCGCAGAAGGAGGCAGGAGAGGATGGAGGGATGACAGGAGGAGGAGAGGAGGAGAGGACGAGTGTGTATGTGTGGAGACAGACAGAGGAAGGGAGGGTTACGCTTAATTCCCGAGCAGAGGTGAACAAAGCTGTCAGTGTGCGGCGAGCCAGTCTCTCTTGCTATCTCTGCTCATTGCTCTCTTTATTTTCCTCCCTCTTCCTCGGCGACATCTGGCCAACATCTGCTCAGCTCATTTACACTCGGCAGACACAGACCTCCATACCCTCTGCATCCCCCCCTACGCCAGGAAGTTTGGGTGCATTCAGACATCAGCAGGACAGATTGAGTGTCAAATGCATGTGAATTACACGAAGACAGAAACATCCACAGTGTCGTTTACATGGAATTATTTCGAGACTGCATGCTTGATTCTGATTGGCTATATCATAAGTAGGGCTGGGTGATAAACTGAAAATTTACCGTACCTGATTTATGACAATAACCAACGTCATTTTGCCCGTATCGGTATATTTGGGTATATTAAGCTATGGTCTCATGTCCCTTTAAGACACTGTCCTACGTCAGAGACGTGACTCCACCTCATCCAGCCCGTAACAAAGAGGGAAAGACAGGTGAGGAGATGGAGGACGGTTCAAAAGTTGTAGCGGCTGAAATAGACGAAGTTAATGTGGAAGGGGGTGAGCAGCTCGTGGAGTAGTTATCGTCCATTTTTCGTTATCAAGGTGAACTGCTCAATGTATCATGATATTGATTTGAGGCCATATCGCCCAGCCCTAATCATAAGTATTGTTACATTTGTTATCTGTTTCCAGTAATCTGGGGGAGTTACACCTTAAAGGGACAGTTCACTTTTTCCCATTTTGGCTGTATGAGGATTTAATGTTATCAGGGTTCCTACACAGTACTTTTCTATACCCTACTTTTTACAATTATTTTTGGAAATACCTACTTTTCTATTTTTAGAAAACAGTATTTTAAAACTGTGGTAATAGTCTGGAAACATAGATACTTTATTTTTCATTTACCATACTTTTTAAGACCTGGAAATTGTTTAAACTACTTCCATACTTTCCATACTTGCGTAGGAACCATGTGTTATATCAAACTGAGATGCATCAGTCCCATCAGAAGTCTGCACAGAATCTCCAGAGGGACACTAAAACCAAGTCCGTCAGGAGACGACCTCTAACACCTGCGCCACACAGACTCCAGCCTGCTGTCTTCAACAGAAACTTCAGTGTTATAATCACTGATAAGCTGTGTGGAATGTCAGGGGTCATAGCTCGCCGTAACCGCGGTCAGCAGTGACGGGAATGTAGTGATGGCACTCTGCCAGCGAGGGTCTTATGTACAATGGGAGAGGAGTGGGTGGTGAGGCTTGGGTAGCAGAGCAGAAAGTATTCGCTGTAATAATAAGGGTGCAGTGGGAGTGACGTGACAGTGAACCACTCATGATGTTGAACACAATGTTCACGTTGTGTGTACGTGAAGTCAGAATTAAAGGGCTGTTGTGTATTTACTGGAATTCAAGGCCTGTGGAGAGTTAAAAACAGGGTTAAGGGGTTATGAGAGAAACAGGGCCAGAATATTTTTGTTCAATTTTATCCTTTTTTTTTTTTTTTTTTAAACGGCTGTGTGATATTTTCCAATCATGATTATTGCAAAATTTAAATGGTGAATAGCTATTAATCCCACCTTTATTACATGTTTGGAATCCTATTTTTTTACATTTTAAAACTATTTTAAAATCTACATTAATAAAGTAAAGCAGTTCTTACTAATCAACCTCCATCATCAGCCAGCAAATCCTTGTTGCAAACAGAATCCAGTAGTTGAAAATTATGTTTGTCTCATTCTTAACAAACCTGCTTAAGTTATAGACTACCAGTTCATAAAACTGTGTTTATCTGTTTGTAGATGTTGAACGCTCACAAAGTGATGCTAACGTTAGCCAGTCACAGCCTGCTTTGAGTAATGTGAATACATAAATTCACCTGTGTTAAGGCTTTTTCAAATGAAAAAAAATTCTCCTGATGTATGGGCTGTGAACTGTTGACGTCCATCACAAAGAATCGGAATTGAGAATCGTTTAGAACAGGAATCAATATCAAGAATCAGAATCGAGAATTGTTTTGAACAGGAATCAATTTTGAGAATGGGAATCTAGAATTGTTTAGAACAAGAATCAATATTGAGGTTTGGAATTGAGAATTGTTTAGAACAGGAATTGATATTGAGAATCAAAATTGAAAGTGTTAAGAACAAGAATTGACATTGAGGATCGGAATTAAGAATCGTTTAGAGCAGGAATAGATACTGAGCATCAGAATCTAGAATCATTTAGAACAGGAACCAATATTGAGAATGGGAATCTAGAAACGTTTAGAACAGGAATTGACACTGAGAATCAGAATCTAGAATTGCTTAGTACAAGAGGCTATATTGAGAATCCAAATCTAGAATTATTTAGAACAGGAATTGATACTGAGAATCGGAATCTCGAAGTGTTAAGAACAAGAATCAATATTGAGAATTGGAATCAAGAATCGTTTAGAACAGGAATCGATATTGAGAATCAAAATCAAGAATTCTTTAGAGCAGGAATCGATATTAATTTTGGAATCGGACTCAGAATCTGTAAAATGATCATTGACCTTAATTTCCTCCCTACTTTTCAAAAGGCTAATTATCACATGTGAAGCAAAGGTCGGCTTTTGAATTGAGTCACATGACCGCAGCAGGTTTACCTAACATGGCGGTGTCATCAGAGGAGAGGTCCACGCTAAAATGTTAACGGTGGCTGTGATGTTTACCATCAAACGGATCCTCAAGAGCAAACAGATCAAAAAGCAGCCCTCCTTCTATTTCTAAATCAAATCCCAGATGTCTGATCAAAAACATGATTACCATCAGCTCCAGAATTAGCTCCCCCTCTGTGCTGGCAGCAAACCTCACACACTGTGACCCTCGCATAAAGAAGCTGTTTGATCTTGACTGAAGGGCCTCTCTGATGTCGTGCCTTCCCTCTCTACCTCCTCTGCTCTACCTGACATCCATACTCATCTCCAAAAAAAGAAGACCTCCTGATTTTCGCTGCTCCTCCGTATGAAGCTGGCTCCGATATATCATGATGATGAATCTCAGAGATGACAAAAATAAAAACAGACCTATGAAAAAATTCTCACTACAGCATATTTGAACAATTTCCCATCTGTTGGTCAGCCTTACTTTTTGAGTGACAGCACATGGCTGAAATCTGAATTGTAAATCTGAATCAGCAGGGTGACCACAGCTCACCCGACGGCCTGTCACGTTGGCCAGAGCAAAATTTCTTCTGGAGGAGACGCAGATGGGCTCTCAAGCCTCATGGTGTTTAATATTCAAACCGCCTGCCCCTCGTTATGCAGAGCACCGACTGTGTTTACACGCTGACCATAAAGCCACCAATATTACAGACAGGAGTTGACGAAAGCGTGACTGCACTAACTCTTTGAAGTGGCACTTCTGTGATAGTCTACGTGACACGAGGGTTAATTAATACATTCAAATGTAAACGACGAACTAAAAAGCCTGCTGCAAACAGAGATGTTCAAGGCCAGTGCAGGCTGTTCTCAAGTTATGCCTTACAGGTTTTCATATAACCCACATCACGCTGAGCCACACTGGTCCAAAAGATAATTCTGAAACATAGTTATTTTTGTTTGTTTCGACCTCATGACCACATGTAAATGGAATTTAGGTGCCTGAAAAATTTGGTTTTGAAAAAATGTGAATTTGTAAGGACAGCAAAAAAAGAGTGTTGATATGTATTGAACTTGAGCCAAGGAGAGAAAATAATCCGTTTTTAATAGGGATGCACCGAAATGAAAATTCTTGGTCGTAACCGAAAATGAGGAAACCAAGGCCAAAGACTGACACACCAAAAGAAATTAAAACACTAATTAATAGCACCACTGCAGTCTATGACTGTGTACTAATCTCACTTTGATCAAGGCATTGCAATTGCATGAATTCATTTTTAATATTAAACAATACGTTAATATTCATTTATGCAATTGAAACATGAGTTTTGAGTTTTTGAGTCTGTTTGTAGCTGCTTTTCTGAGTGGTTTACCCCTTAAGATGGCGCACGGGGCAAAAACAACTCAAAGGTTTGTCTTCAGCGGGAGAGACCCGGCTAGAAGAAGAATTAGCATCTGTGTGTTTACTTTCGAGCAGCCGAGAGCAGGAGAGCTGAGCATGGATTAGGGTTGCAATGTTGATATCTGTTGAAGTTTTGAATCAAGGTGAGAAGAGGTGAAACTTCCCCCAGCGTCTGCTCGTGTATTTGGCTGCATCTGCCACGGACAGAGTGGGCATGCTCTGAGGGATTTTTGTGGTCCATGCTGCTTTCTTCTAGAGTGGCGATCTGGATGTTTAGATTTTAGGTGACGTGAAGAAACTGTTTGCAGATGCACCCACTGTGCAAATCGCTATCCGTGGTTCTCAGGTATATAGAAATACGTCCACACCGCACACATGTTGGCTCTTGACCAAGAGGCGCATACTGGTCGCGTTTTTTGGGTCACCACAACATCTGTTTCGGTTGTTTTGTTTCAGTGAGAAAAGTGTTTTGACCAAAAACCGAAAATGCACTTTTGGGCCATTTTCGGCGGAAATTTTTGGTGCATCTCTAGTTTTTAAACATTAGTGTTCATATGAATGTGAGTGTCCTCTCTGCTGCACGGAGCTGCGCTGTGCACTCTTATCCTGACATCTTTGATGAGATGGACAAAGAGGGAAAATCCTCAGCAATTTACTGCAAAGTTGATTCATAGCAGAATTGCATTGATATCAGTAATATAAAAACTAGAATATCGAGGTCATTTTTACAGATTTGTATTGTGGCTCGCTTGCATAGAAAGATGGATGTTTTGCTTCAAACTGATCCATGACGTTTAATTCATTTGTACCGCAAACAACACTGACGCACACTAAAAGTAAATTTTCTGGAGCATGTCACTCTTTATGCATGCCCTGTGAATTTGACGGTATATTTTTGGCTTATTCTGAGTATTCCAGCCTTCACAGACATCCACGCTGTAAGATACTGTCCGATCAGTTTCACTTTCAGCAGAGCAGCACGAATGCTTCAAACAATTAGCCAATCTAACACATCCATGGGTGGGTTGCTGTGCTGCTCGACAACTTTCAAGTCTCATTTGTGGATAAAGAGGTAAATTCACTGCCGCTCTCCTTTCTTATGAGGTTGTTGTGCAGTGTGTCAAAATGACATGGCATCACGACTTTCAAAAACTCGATGAAATTATGTGAGAGAAGGAGTTTGTTTTTTATCTAAGATGTTAAAAAAAGAGGTGATGGAGAGAAAGTCGTGCATCAGCAGCTCGAGGTTTAAAAAGTTCAGTTTTTATAACTAGATCCTGATGGTGGGTTTAGTTTTTAATTTTCAGTTTAATTGAATGCACATTATGCAAGTCTTTGAACATAGAAACGGGAAAATTTCCCCAAAACACGAAATGAATCATGTGGGATGGTTTGGAAAATAAAAATGGTCAAACTAGATTAGACTTGGACACGCAGTATCAGCGACTCCCTTTGAACCTTCTGTGAAAGTTAAGTGCCAAACTATTAAATAACTTCAGCTTATTTCCTGCATTAAATGGTTGGTGTGGTGTTCTGAAACTGGTCCTGTGATGGTACGGAGGTGGGGGGGGATTTCCTGATCACAGGATGCCATGTAATGCTGTTAATAAAGCGGGCTCCATGGAGGGAGGAAATCCTTGTTAAAAATCAAAGGAGGCATTAGCCGGCCCTGACCTTACGCCCTGCTCTCACTTTTCTATTTTTGACGACAGCATGCAACTACACATGGAGCAAATGGATGGCCCCCCTGGACACACGTACTGCTGGCTGCCATCTGTGACCAAACACGCACACACAAACAAAGAGTTAATCACTCAGCAATTGCCACCACACACCCACAATCAACTCACAAAGCTGAAGTTGTTCTCCAGGATCCTTGATCCTCCCTTGATTACTAACAGCAGTCAGTGAGCTTCTCCTCAGTCACATGGCAGTGCGATGAAAAATGGTGCAAGGTGCCGGTGAGAGCTTTTGTTGAAGAGATAGTATCCGGGGCCACCAGTTTGACTGATACTTTCATTTGAGTTAAAGATTATCAGAGACAAAAGTCTGTATTTTAAAAATTTGTGCAAAGAATAATTTAGCTTCTTCTGTTGGACATAGAGGAGTCTGAGTCTTTTTCATGTGCTGGAAGGATCCCTGCCTGTACTTCGTTAACATGCATCTTCATTTTTCAGATTTGCTACAGCTCTTTAGCCACAGATGCTCAAGTTCAAAAAGTCAGCACCACAAACTGTTTCAGACCCCTTCAGGCAACATGGCTGCATGCAATTACAGGAAGATTGCAGTCAGATTGTGGTTCAAGCTGCAGAGGCAGCAGAAAAAGGCCAGTGATAAGATCGTCAGCTTTTATTATTATTATTATTATTATTATTAGTAGTAGTAGTAGTAGTAGTAGTAATTTTAATTTTATATATATTATTTTTTATATAAAGCTATATATTATGATTATTATTTTATTGATTTATTATTATTATTATTATTATTATTATTTAGAGAAAGAGAGAAAAATAAATAAATAAATAATAAAAGAATCAAAACAAATATTAAATAATAAATATAAAAAATACATATATATATATATATAAATAAAAAAAATATACATATATAAAAATATATATTATCAACTTTTAATACGACAGAAAAATTGCAGAAGGACTGTTACTAATTTGGCTTCCCTGTGTTTCTGTAAAAACATTCGGGTGCAAGATGGCAGCCTCAGTGGAAGAAAGCTGTTCTGATGAAGATATAAAAATCTCAGTCTGTTAAACATGTGGGTAATATGTGGTTCGATCAGGATATAGCACATTTGGATTCAATCTTTTACTGGACTTGGATCATGGGGGATGGAGGAGTTTTTTTCCACAGTGTATCACACCATTAACCGCAGTCTGCCACTCACTGCTCTTCAGGAGAATTAAGTAAATTTGAGGTCATGATATATCTCTAATGGGGTTTGTCAAAGGTGAATTCCCTCGTGCATGCAGACAGACTGGATTTAAGTGGACAGTTGTGCAGAAATGTCCTCATAAAGATAGATCTTCAGGCTTATAATAGATGTATTTAATGAATCTGAAGAGAATGAAAATTACAGATAAAGAGCTATTTTTATTATTTGGCATATTTAGGCTAATAAATAGGGCTGGGCAATAAACTGAAAATTTACCGATACAAAAATTTACAATAATAAACAACGTCATTTTGCTCATGTCAATATATTCGGTGTCAAAAAATAAATAAATAAAAGTTTGTTTTGGATGTGTGTAGGTAGACAATGGTCTCATGTCCCTCTAAGACGCTGTCCTACATCGGAGACGTGACTCCACCCCATCCAGAGAGGGAAAGACAGGTAAGGAGCTGAAGGACGGTTCAGAAGTTGTAGCGGCTGGAGTAGACGAAGGTAATGTGGGAGGGGGTGAGCAGCTTGTGGAGTAGTTATCCTTCATTTATCGTGATCGAGGTGAACTGCTCAATATATCGAGATATTAATTTGAGGCCATATCGCCCAACCCTAAAGAGTCAGTAAAATTGAATAAAAAAGGTATTATGATGGCTGCCATATACTGTACCTCCAAGTGCCCCCTGTTCAAGTGGTGCTGAAGGGACTTAAGACATCTCTTCCTTGAGAAAATTGACAGATATAGAAATTAAAACATGTGTATGTTGATAGTCAGTATTTGTAATGCTGCATGTTTATTCTATAGCGAGCTACACTTACTAATGGGCTCCATATGGTGTTATAATAGTGTTAAAAAATACTAGTGAAGTAATTTAAAACTCAAAGTAAAGGTACTAGCAGCAGTTATAGATTTTCAGTTGCAGTATAGATCTAGAAAATGTAGAATTTGCTGTAAAAGCAGCTGCTTGGAGGTCTGCCTGTTGTACTTACAGCAGCGGCAGCCGTTCAGTACTTTATGTTCAGGCTGGCGGCTAAAAATGGAAACATATAAAAGGAAGCCTGCCTCCAGTGTGGTAATGACCGGAGCACACATAACATCCTCCGCCTATGACCTTTAACCTCAGTCAGGTGGACGGCAGAGCTGGCGAGAGATCTGAAGCGTCTGAAGGTTGTTTCCTGTCAGCATTGCCAAGACGCCACATCAGAGGATTCATTTCCCATTCATCTCTGTCACACCTAATTGTCATGTACCCAGGTGCGCCATCCACACCCACACTGTTGCAGGATGTTCTCACTCAGATGTAAACACACACACATGGACACACCAGACTAGAAGAACTGGTGATTACACGGTCACATGGACGCAAACACACGGATAGAAGTTGTGTTTTTATAATTCGGCTGATCAGATCGTGCAGGATCTTTGTCAGAGGTGAACGCTGGTGTCTTTAAAAAAGCCTGAGCTGTAAGATGAGCAGGAAACTGAGAGGAGGTTCATGTGGCTTCGAGGAAGTGGATACATCCTCTTTATTTCTCACTCTTCCTCTCTCTCTGCTATCTGTCTGTCTCTGACATCCGTACAGCAGCCGCCCACACACTGAGACGAAAATATCTCGCTCAGCGGTGGACTGCCGTTAAATACAGTGTGAATTCTGACTGCTTCACACATACACACACGCACACACACACACAAGGAGACAATAAACACCTCAGCCACGGGTGATGGAAAAGAAACAGCTCTGACCCGCATGGTTTAATGTCAGCTGAGCTAAATATCAAAAGCGCCACCTTTGTGCACGAATGAAAAAGCACAGATGTACACTGAAAACAACATTCAGACGCTGAGACACACTGTTCGAATCAAAAACATGACACACTACGTAACACACAAGGACCAGAAAGAACAATTAATGCCTCACAAACACACAGCATGTGTATTTGTGGGTCCATGTGTGTCTCTTCTTTTAATGACCGAGCTGAAGAACTACAAGAGACACTGAAAGCTGAAACTGCATCTTAACAGAAACACACGCACGCACAGACAACAGCCCTATAATTGTGTGCTTCTTATGCATTGCGAGGATATATGCGAGTGCGCATCAAGGCGACAACAAATCCTCCATTCATTCAAATTCTATTGAATGAAAGCAGCCAATCTTTCATCCCAGATGAACTGATTTTTATGTAACGAGGGCCCTCGTTGGTTCTTTTGTCTCTCGGTGTCAGCGTTTGTTTGACGAGTTATGCATAATTACCACTTCTGGATGGATGGATGGGAGGTGTGGGTTCATTTTTCAATCCAGACTGGCTGTCTTTCTCAAAATGTGTGAAAAGTGACAGTCAGAGAGAGGAAAAATGAGATCTTTGGAATAGAAGTGTTGCATGATATAATCGGCCTCAATTGCAAAGACATCCATCCTTTTATTTTGATCGAAATATACAGAGTAAGGCCAATAAGTAGGTTTAGATGTTCCTCTCTGACAGAAGCAGCCCCTCCAGGAAGGCTGCACGATTTGGGCCAAATATAAAACCCTGAGTTTCTTCTCTGAAAACTCGATTTTCAATTTCGCTTTTTCAGTGACAACTTCACCAAAGTTTACTTTAAAATTACGTTTATCTATCATCTCTCAAAACAAAACCGATAAAAATGATGTAGTGCATATGCCAAGCCAGTAAGGAAATGTACAAAAGACAGAAGAAGAGTACAGAGCATGTTTATAAAAGTTGTTTTGGATGGACACGCGCAGGCACCATAAAGAGTTACGCTGTGTGTCAAATCATCATTTTGAGAGACGCAGATAAACATCCACATGAAGATGAAATGGTCGTCGTTTACAGATTTATGCACTCTCTGACCCATTTTCAAAAAGTACCGTTTACAGTCACCCGAAATGCCGTTTCCGTGTGGATGAAACTCCGATACGACAAAAAACTTTTGCGTTTACTCCTGAATTTGTTTCCGTGTGGACGGGTTGATACCGCCTTCAAACAGCAGCAGAGTGGTTTGCTCTTCATCTTAAACTGCGAAGCCGTACCAATTCCACACAACTGACTTGCTCTTGTCCTATTTAGCCACGAAATTATCGCCTTCATTTGCAAACGCCATGTTTGTTTAAACTGGTGTGTCTGGGAACTGGGGAGCGCTCCCACAGGAACAGGGAGACTACGGTGGCCTGGAGGCACAAGACATGATGGAGAGGAAAATCAATTTGACAATTTAAATTTTTTTTAACATCTTCATCTGCTTTGCGGTTGCCTCACAGTTTGGAAAAACCTCCAAAAGGACTCATCTATAGGAGGCAGCTCACTCAGATGCTTGAATCACCTCAGTCGGCTCCCTTGGACGTGAACCAGCAGCGGCTCAACTGTGAGGCTCATTTGGTTTTCAGAGCTCCTTAACATGTCTCCAAGGTGGGGTCACTCCAAGATCATGACCAAAGGTGAAAGTTGAGACACAGTTTAAGTGGTAATTCCAAAGCTGTGCCTACCATACATCTTAAAATGGACAACCAATCATATGATGTTATTATTGCACGTAACTGATAATTTTTGCAGCGTCAGAATTGTGAAGAGAAGGGAGCTAAGTCATGAAGACAAGGCGTCTGATTCGGACGCTCCTAAGTGACTAATTTTGTCCATTTCAACATGGATCCTGTATGTTTTTGGCTTTACAATACCATTGCAATCGCCTACAACATACGGTGAAGTAATTCAGTGAGTAATCATTGTGCTCATCATTAAACAGCTCAGACTACAGGCATCCCAAGTCTAAAGTAATACAAACACATAAACGGCCATCTGGGGGTGGTTTTTGAGTCGTGCATTATGTTACCAGCCTCATAAAAAGTACTAGCTTTCTTTCTTTCTTTCTTTCATAAAACTCATCAACATTGATAGAAACCTTAAGGATTTGAATGAAAGAAAAAAACAATCTTGGAGGGTTTAGAAACGAAGAAACTGAAGAGAAAGATTCAGGGAGGACTGCTGTCCATCAGAATATATAAACTAGGCATCCTGACCCACTTCTGCTGGATGGGTGAGTTTGAGTCTGTCGCCAGATACCTCCAAGACTGAAGATGACTCACAGCCTGGCGCTGCCTAGCTCTCATAGAGGAAAATGGGGAGAGAGAGAGAGGCCGCGAAGACAGGGAGGGAGGGATGCAAGAACGTTTATCTAACCTAAGTGTTTACTCATATCCAAGAGCAAGATGTTCTTCTCTACATCAGAGGCGTAGATATGCCGCTATTAGAGTTCAGATGCGTGTTTGGTAACAGTTGTACTTTTTAATGTTTTTTTTTCTCTGTATTTTGATCGTCCTTTACAGCTTGTTCTGCAGTCAGCATGCCCACTTTTTCAGTCTTTGTCAGGCTGAGAGTTTTAGGCGGTGGTTTTAAACATAATTAAATATGATACTCTTAGCTGAAGTTAGTGTGGCAGTAGTTTTTGCTAATGTATGATAGTTTTAGTCTTTTGTAGCTTCATGGATAGGACACAGCACTCACACTGACAGGGATACAGGTTCCCACTCGTGCTGGTTGAAAGCATCCTCTGAAAAAGGTTGCTCAGTGTTCGGTAATTATAGTCAAGCACTTGCAGGGTTGGCTTGGAAACAGGCTTTGTTTGCTTTGAACAGGATTGTTTTAAGATAACAAGAGGACCACCTTCTCTACAGTCCCCACTTCTGGCCCGACGACTCCTTCAATGTATCTGCTTCTCTTTAAGAGGCATGAATCACACTGGAGCGAGTCGTGATCTGGACCACTGCCTGTTCAAAAGCTTTAATTATCACCAGTTGTCTGCTCTGAAAAACAGCACATTTACGGTTACCATGAATGAATTACAAACCTTTGATAAGTCCAATGTGCAGAATGATCTGAAGGGTCGGGTTTAATTAAGAGTTTTTCAAAACGGCTGCAAATGTCCAACGAGGGAGATTAAATTTGATGTTTTCCTGCGGCAGTGTTTGAATGTAACCTGAAACAAACTCATGAGAGTCTAAGGCACAGTGTGTGCAGCACAGACTGTATCTGAAAAACCTCCAAATTGAAACACCATTCCCGAAGATGGTCTGACGGATTTGATTCAGGATTTAGTCAGTGGGCCAGGTGTTGGTGCAGAAACTCTAACCCTTTCTAAAAAAAAAGTCTGCCTCTGACCTGGTGCGCCCAGTTCTAAGTGGACACTCCATCTGTTTTTTATAAAAACACCACGCCAAAGATGAGTCACTGTCATGGGACAAGGAGGTGAATCTTCCTGCAGCGTCCATGAAAATACTGACAGTGATTTTGCAATACAGCTAAAATAACTTAGATACGAGGACACAGAATCTAAACCATTCAGTCTGACATCCACCGTTCAGTAGAGGATGATGGGAAGACTGTTAATTTGACATCAAACATGCTCACTCTGAATTAAACAAAGACTGCTTCTTTCAGTTCAGGTGGCTCAAGTCTTTCCTGACGAATCAAAGTCCATCTGGGGGACCCTTGCTGCGTTGCAGTTGCACACGGAAGTCGGGATTTCCAAGCTCCGAGTCAGAAATTAATCTGGAACGCCCCCCTAAAGACGGATTTCTGACTCGGAAAGTCGGACTATCCTCACCAATCCCTACTTGATGACAACATCATAATCCAAGATGGCAGCGCAGCAGGCTTCCATCTTGGTTTTCCGACTTGTTTACTGGAACAACTCGGGTGTAACGTCATTCCTAGCTCCGACATCCAACTTCCGAGGTAACTAACTAGAACGCAGCATATTTCTCTGAGTGGGCCCCTCTTACTTGTGGTGTCCGTCAAGCATCAGTTCTGGGCCTTATCTTAATTTCTCTTAATATGCTTTTCTATAATTATAACATGTCATTTTGTTGCTTTGCTGATGACAAACATATTTATTTGCCTACAAGTTAAGTCCAGCTTCTTTCAGTTTGGGTGACTTGACTCAACTTGAGGTATGATGTTTACATTATATTCCTACAGATAAAAGACAATAACATGCATGTTGTGTCGTTTGTGTGTTTGTTTATGAGTGTGCATATCTACAATGTGTAAAGGTCGTTCATGTAACAGGCGGGTAGACTGTAGTGGAAATAAGCGAGCATGTGTGGCAGTATGGCTATAGTACATGAGAGCAGGAAGCTATTAACATGGCATTACCAGACCAACAAGGGGCAGGAAATTAAATTTGCCTGCCTCTGAGGAGGTTATATCCCAGCCCTCCCTCTTGGTGGGTAATTGATTTTTATAGCTTTCCACAGCTTCTGCTCTATATATTTTCCATGTTAAATACATATTTACACAGAGCAGGATCATGTCTTGGCTCTTTTTTCAGCTTTTTATTGAGATAAAACCATCTGTATGTTTTACTAATCTAGACTGACCTGGATGTCAAAGAAAATTCAAATGGTGAAATAAGTGATAGCCTGTGTGGTTGCATATTTAAGATTTAAGGGTTTATTGAAGTAACAGTATTTAAAAGCCACTTTTGAATAATTTAACCAACTGCCCTAAACATGTGTGGGTTTAGTTGATCAAACGTCGCCCTCATTACACGTCAGCACCAGAGTACCTAATTTGATGAACAAATTATTAATTTTTTTTATGAATATAGGCCTGAAATACTGCCATACGTCTACAATTCTCTACTACCTGGATGTAAACTAACACAAGTGACTGATGGAATGTTGTATCTTGGTCAAGTTTGTCAATTGTGTATTGTGATAAAAAAAATTAAAATGAAGGTGTAAAAAAATAACCAGCAGGCAGCAAGTATGTGGAAATTAACCTTCAAGGTGGACCGAAGACTGGTGGTGCTAGCTCTGCTAATGTTAGTCACCCCCAACAAACCAGTTTGGAGTCATTAACTGTGATCCTGTTATTAAAATACATTTAATTCTGACTGTTTTCTTAAGACCAGTCTGTTTGTCATACTGTATGTTTCCAATTGAGCAGGGCTGAGACATAACACTAATCTGCCAATAATGGACGCTATTGAAATATGTGTGCCCAAATTTGATACTGATCACAGTTTTTAAGTATTGCAGTTCACTCACAAATTGTTTCCATTTTAAGTCACTTTTTTGGCGTGTTTATCACAGTACTATTACAGACAAACCATCATACAGTCGCTGCACATCACTGTCTATCAGTATAGTCAGGAACTGAAGAGCAAGTGGTTGCTCAAAGTAAATCAAATTTTCCTTATTTTGTGACATTATGATCCCTTTTTTTTGCCCTCAGTTTTTTCAGTCTTGTTCCATTTATTTTACTTCCTTGCTTATGTTTACTTACAATCAATCAAACTTTGTAAACAATGAACACTGAAGGGTTCCTTTGAGATCTCATTTTATAATCCAGATTATGAACTTTAAAGGAGCAGTCGTCAGCGTAAGTGAGTATACTCAAATCGTTGTTTTTCTCACAGTAAGCTTTGAATTGCTGGTAAAGCTGCACAATTGCAAACTTATGAAATATTCACTACAGTTTAGAGGAAGTGGAGTTGCTAAAAGGGGAGTGAAGTTGTTTCTTCTGAAATTACAGGGATGTATTTACGTATTTCTGTCTACCTTTGAAAAATGTTGCAATGCTGTAGCTCCCGCAAAGGTCGGGCCTTTTGTGGATGATTTATACTAAAATAATAAGTATAACCTGACTCAGAGAACATTGATTATAAACACCAAACATGGCTCTGGTCCTGTCCTCGAGAGGACAAAGAAAGCACAACCTACGCTCACTGGGATTATGACAATGCAACTCAAGCACTGACTGCCATACATGATGTTGGCTTTATGTTGGATTACTCTTACAGAGTCAAGGCCATGTAAGAAAAAATAGGTCAGCTGTGGCTTTGAAAGGCTTTGAAAGTGTGGTTAAAAAAAGCACTCGGTTATTTATAGAGTATAACTATCTTCAATAAGCTATAGATGAATTCTCAATAGACAGACGTGTGCGCAGGGCTGAAAATGTGACAGAAATTTAAGACTGCCTTTAACAAAACATATCCAATACAATCCAATTTATATACAGCATAATTTAAAGACATTAAAGTTCAACCAAAGTACTGCACAGTAAAACCAAGAAGACCCAACACTGCAGAAGTAAAAACATCAGGAGGAAAGACATAAAAGCAGGTAAAAAGAAAGAAATAGAAGTGATAGAAAAAAAAGGGATTAGGACCATAAAAGACATGAAAGGACAGAGATTACACAACTCTCAAAATGAACTAAAAGCCAAGGAATAAAATAAGTTTTAAGACATGATTTAAAAGTAGGGAGAGTGGGGGATGTTTTAATCTCGAGTGGCAATTCATTCCATAATTTAGGAACCAACGAGTTTTTGGGTCAATGAGTTGGAGCTGATCAGCAGACCTCTAGGAATGTGTGGGGGTGTAAACATTGAACAAGTCAGAGATGTACTGTGGAGCTGATCCGTTTAACGACTTCAAAACAAACAATAAAATCTTAAAAAGAACGGGAAGCCAATGGAGGGACGCCAGGATTGGAGTGATAAGATCATGTTTTTGTTAACCTGTTAAAAGACGAGCAGCAGCATTTGGGACTAACTGTAAGTGTGTGAGGGAAGTCTGATTAACACCGACGTAAAGAGCATTACAGTTGTTCAACTGTGTAGAGATAGAAGCACGAAACAGATCTCCCTTAGTCGACCATATTTCACACTCCGAACACCCACAAAGCAAATAGACTCATCCCGGAGCGGAGCTGTGCTTTGGATGCACACATCGCCTATAATTCCACTGTCACACCTGGCAGAACTGTACACATGGGCGCATGATCACACCCATGCAAATACACCCACACAGGGTTCCAGCCGTTGTCCTGATGCCGCTAATTGTGTTTACCAGGAGGTAGGGAGCCACCGTTTAATGTGTAACCTTTTTTTTTCCCCTCACCTGTTACATTGGACTGTTGCCATGACAAATACAAAACTGCCTCTGCCTTCAGTACATCTTCATTTCACTCCGGTTTGGTTTCTGGATGCTCGTTAACGTCCAGTTTGTTGTTGAAAATTACGAACCAGACGGCCTTTTCTTACCCCAAATTATAACCCATATTCATCTGAAAGAATGAGAAACCAAAGTTTTCTTCATTTTGAGAGTTTCTACCTAAACACCAGATTAAAAATCACAGCCAGCATCCAGCTAACGAGAAAAAAACTGACTGAATATCACCAAAGAAGAAGTTCTAAGTCTGTGTTCTTGTGCTTAAATTAGACTAGATTGTACACAGTCAAAGAAAAATAAGACTGTTGGTGTTGAAGCAGTGTTTAGGATTCATTCATGTACCCATAGAGTACAACAACGTCATATTAGTAAGTTTAAACATTGCATTTGGGGTGTGTGCATGTATAATAGTTACCTTGCAGGACGTACTATGTCAGTCATATAACCTGAAAGACGTCACGCTGTCACTACTCCCTCCATATCCAGAATAAACCTTAGATAAATGTAAACATGCATGTGAGTCAGGGCGCAGCTACATAATTACTCTGTTAAGCAGGATGGGTTTTCGATTGTGATGTATAGGGCACACTCACAGACTGCTAAACTAACAGGTTTCATAATGCACTAAGTATTCAGGCAAGGAAAGAAATATATATATATATATTTTTTTATCGCTTGCAGTCCTTCATTTTAGCATTTGAAAGTGTTTGAAAGACTGAAAAAGTTCTTATCGTTCAGTATCTTTTATCACAAATTAATACATTTTTATTATTTAATTTTACATAATTGAAATGTTTATTTCATTCATTGATAAAAATCAAAACAATTAATTATACAGCATACACAAACTGTCATGATATGTTCTGTTGATTTAGTTTTATCCCCTGTTTTTGTGATTCAAGTGTATTTTCTGTGTATTTCCCTATTGTTCCTGTAGTCTTGTCTTGTGAGTTTTCAGTTTGTTTCTGACCCTGTTTCCCTCCTGTTCTCAGTGTTTTATTCTTTATACCAGTTTCCACTGTTTCCTGTTTCATTTTGTAGTAGTTTATTCTTTGTGTTTCTAGTCTTGTTTTACTTCTTCAGTTTTTCCTCCTCTGTAATTGTCTGCACCTGTGTCTCCGTGTCTCAGTGTCTCACCTGCCTCCCGTCGCTCGTTTCCCTGAGTGTGTATAAAAAGTCCCTGTCTTCCCCCGTTTCCTCATTGTTTCATTGTGTTAATGTATATGTCGAGTTCAGTATATGTAGTGAGTCTCCATGTGGTTTTTACCAGTACCTTTTTGTTGATTTTGCCTTTGGGAGTTTTTGAGTTGAAGATTATAAGTTTTTGTTGCTTCTTATTCAGTTCATTTTAAATAAATCATTTTTGTTCTGCATTTGGGCGCTTTTCTTCTTTGTTTAACTCCGGATCTTGGCACAAACATTCGCAAATATGAATGAAAGGGAGCAGAAAGAAAAAGAATCTTATATAATCTGCCCCTTTACCCAGAAAAAATCAAATTACAAAGAACTTAAAATTGTATCTGGAATTATGGCACCCTGACTTTTTCACACAAAAATCCAAAAATTAAAAATTATGGCTGTTCAAAAATTTCAATGCAGAAAATTGTTGATATACATAGTTTTCTGGTGGACTATGTTGATTTTCCTGTCCCTTACACAATATATTAAATTACAAATGTATGATTTTCTCTATCTAGCGGGTGTCACCAATTTCATTTTGGGGCCACAACCCTGTAGTCCCTCCTTGATGGTGCCACTGATGGCAACAACGGTGAGGTTCCTAGAGATCTGCCAAGAGATTGATTTATTGAGTTAGTATAATAAGATCTGGAAATTTAAAATACATATAAATATGTTAGTCTGACTAACATGTTTATGTGACACAAGAGGTCAATTGGAAGATGGCGCCAACCTTAGTGAAGGCCGACATGCTTTTGTCCAGAATCCAATCGATTCTTGCCGGGCAACAGTAAACCTGAACAGTCGTCCAATTAAATCATCTAATAAAGTTTAACCATAGCTTGACATGTAAACATACTGACAATCTTGAGCTGTAAATCATTCAAAGCTATCACAAGGCTATCAGTCAGGCAATGCAAAGTTTAATAAAGAGCATAATACCCCTTCTTTAAGGTCCATTTGGTGACTAATTAAGATGCAACAGCCGGTAAAGAGCAGAAAGACAGCAAGGCCACCTGATAATGTTTCTTTAGCCCTATTCTGTGGACTGTATGTGAGCTCTACACCTCCTCTCAATGACCGAGGCGAAGAAACATCCTGAACCAACCAACAAAAACATAACATTTACAGAAGCAAAGATGGAAATTAACCATGAAAGAAGTCATTTTTTATTTTCTTGAGCTTATATAAACTGTTGCTACAATCTTTACCTACACACTCCTCTACTGAGTGAAAGGCGTTTATTCTCTGGGATCTCCTCAGAGGTCAGGGTCAGCAGCAGAGCAGCACCGCTGGAGTAATCAGAAATCTTGCTCAAGGACACTTCTGCAGGATGTTTACTGTCACGGAAACTTAAACAAGAAACATGACCCTCCGAGTTCGCATCGTAGCGGCAGATTTAATCAGCGTTGAACATGTGGATGAGATTTAAGAGTGACCTCTCTTCCAAAACATGAACTGTGCGCGGAGCTCGCTCAGCCAGACTCCGAGCACACGCTTAAAATAAGTCAATGAAGTCATCCCGCCAGACTCTGCAGAACAAGGTTATTTTTCCCCTGTATTGTAACTTTCAGTTCCTTTCTTTCTTCAGCTCTTATCTTCTTTGGACATCCTATGAATCAGTCAGCAACTCTTGTTCCTCGTATTTCATCAGGACCTTATTTTTCGCCCTCCCTGTTCTACTACACTTCCTTTTTATCCTTCCACTTTTCTCACTGTTACGTGCCAAGTGGCATGGGCGCCGTGGCTTATTATCTCATTCCCAGTGAAAATGGGAATGCCCCACAATACATGTTTGATAATCACTAATGTAGGACACCTCTGATTGAACAGCCCAGTTACAAAACGGGCAGAATGTCACTGTCATTGTAACAAAGTAAAGCTGTAATTAGAAAGCTGCAAAATCCCTGTTTGTTTGCTGTGACTCACCACAGTACACTGCAAGATAAGACTGGGGGCTCTTGGGCTTGTCACATTAGATTATGTGATAATTATTTATCAAGATAATGTGTCAACTTTGGCAACTTTAACAAAAAAACTGTATATTAAAAAAAACATTTATCTTGTCTCCTAATTATGCCAGAGCTAGACGAGGACAACGAAAATAAAAAAAATTAAACCCAACTATGTTACGAGTGGATTAAGACAAAAATATTACATAAATTTGCATCACACAATAAAAAGCTCAAACAAATAGAGTTAAAAAGTATAAAAATCTCTCTTTTATAAGATGTTTGACTTTACTTGGATGGAATTAAGTTGGGCAAGTTGTTTGAGCTTTCAATTTTAACTGTTTTCAAAATTTTAAATTTTATTTTAATATTTCATTGATTTTAAGTTGACAAATGCTTCCTCTGTTTCATGTTTCTAAGGGGAATAAAGATCAAATGTGGACCTAACTAATGAAATGAAAAGAACAGGTAAAAGATTGGGGAGCTTCTAAGTGAAAACTAATACCGTCCGAGAAAGACGAAGAGAAAACGAATGACCATCTGGGGAGCTCCGGGTCTGAAAGTTTGCGACTTATTTTGGTTTTCTGGGAAACAATGGTTTTTTATAAATAATCGGGGAAAACACGGAACATACGAAAAAATGTATCTCTGTGTCTTTTTGATTTTGAATTTTTTTGTCTTTTTAGATTTTAAATCGTTTTAATCTCTAGTTTTAAACTGCCAATGCATTTCCTCGCATTTGTAAAGCACTTTCAATTGGCTTATGTGTAAATGGTGCTAAACAAATAAACTTGCAAGTTTTGCAGTCATATTGCGTTCACACCAGACCGAATAAATAAATCCCATACTGCCTTAATTTTCAGGTATTTGAGTGCCTCTGTTTTGTGTTTACATGCTTAAAGAAATTCTCAACATCTGTGCAAAAAATTTGCAAAATGGTTTCATTTGTGTCCAGTGTGAACACGACAAATGACTTTAGCTATAATTTTGTAACTTTATTTGAAATCACACGGACCTGCAGGTTGCTTTCTGTCTAGTCATACAACCATTAGTTTGTTAGTTGACATTGCAGCTCTAATCTTAATGCTCACTCTGACCCTCTGTTTCACTAACACACACTTGATCCTTCTGCTCTCAGGAGGTGAGAGAAAAACTACAGAGAAGCAAGTTAAGCAGATTAACGTTTGTGGACAAATGATACATATATATACAGAGTGCATATTATATAAGCTATGTAAATGGAATTGAGTTTTGTACTTGCAGAGCACATATTCTGAATCACAGTAATCCTCATCAGTCATGTTTTTTTGACTGTGAAACGGCTAAAACTGTGATTTAACTAACTGTGCAGCAATCAGGCATGCTTATTTGATACTGGACAGGATATTGGCTTATATCTGAGGCCAAACACAGGAAATCCACTTTGTCTTTAGCCCATTTAAGCAGCTGAAGTGTTGATGTTGCATCGAGAGGCGCGTCATGATTAAGACTCAACAGATTGATATCCTGGAAGAGGTCCCTGAGAATAGTCCCTTGTTAAAGAGGAAATGAGGCCCTCACTGAGAACTTCAGGAGCTCATATCCCAACCTAAGGTTTTTCTTCACTTTCTTTCCCACCAAGGACTCAAGTGGAGGCGAATCCTTTCACAGGGAGGAAGTGAATGAGCTTCATTGTGGCTTTGCCCGGGATTAGCCCATTTTAAAGCCCCTTAGTAAGATTTACCCACATTATTCACATTTTAATGGACATTCCCACCCACACATACACATGATGCCTAAAAATCAAAATCCCTGGTAATGAATAAGGCTGCAGGAGGTTTAATGCAAGGGAAGAAATTTCAGGGTTCATTGACCTCCCTCACTGTTGAGCAAATACAATGAGAGTATTGAAGGGAAAACAAATATAGGCATTGTACCTGTTTGAAGGAGTGAGCGTGAACATGCAAAGTTTTAGGACTTGAAATGGACCGCACACTTAAAGCTGCTCTTAATTATATGTTTAAATATAGTCAAATATGTGAGGGATAAAGTTAACAGGTGTTTCTGCAAGTTAGAATCCCAACAGGGTACACTGGACACCCATACCAATCAGAATTAAGCGCACATCCAGCCAGGTCATAAACTGTATATAACTGATTTGAACTCTTTCTGTTACAGAGCTTTGTGCAACCAACAGGTGTGGAAAATGGAGTTGAATTTTGTACTGTTGAAGCGTTGCAACTTCCACGTCACATATCAGTGAAATACAAACATGCACATGTTGCTGCTTAAGATAGTTGATATCATTGTACGCAGTGTGGATGATATCTATGAAAGCCACTTGCAACAACTGGTTGATGAAGAAACATGTTGCTCCATCTGTGCTCTTCTTGTTTCTCTGCTTCTCTGTGCAAGAGGTCGAGAAAACCTACCTTGATATACTGACTTTCAACACAGCGCAGATGCTTCTACTTCTGCTGCACATAAGCACATTTGCACATGTCTGCTCTGTTATCTCTTGGGAGGTCTCTGCATACTGGTCTCTGCCTCGGATCAGAGACTCTAATCGCTGCATACTTGCTCTATCATCACCCTTTTACAATTTGCACTGACTGATGTGGCTGCTGCTGTTCAAAACACATCCTGTACTGTCATATCACAGATGGCTTAATAGTATCGTAAAAAAACAAAAAAAGGCATTTTTGTGCGCATTGAGTCAGTTTTATTTTACTTTATCATGCAGCTGTAATTGCAGACTTGCCCTTTCAAAAGCACATCACAATTTTTGGAGCTCATCTGTTCTGACTAATGATTTTGTAACGAAATCAGGGCAACATGTTTTTAAATCTAAAGTAATTTATGTATAAATAATGCTGCATTCCAGTTGGACTCAGAGGTCAGGATTTCCGGGCTCTGAGTCGTAAATTTATCTGGAACGCCCCCCTGAAGTCGGATTTTTTAGGAAAGTCAGACAGTCCTCACCAACCCTGACTTGACAACAACGTCATAATCCAAGATGGCAGCGCAGTGCATCGACAGTAAAGAGTAACAGTGAAAGCTCTCATAATGTATTATTGATCAGCACTTCTGTTTTGTTTTTGTGAAATTAAATAAGTGGTATATGTTGTACCTGCCCAACGTCCAACTGTAAACACGGTGCTATGGTGTTTGTAAGAGTGGAATACTGTATTATGCGTTGTTTACGACTGGTATAGCTAACAACAACTAACAACAGCTGACAAGGTCTAAAAACCGCTAACAACAACAACTGACACTAGCTAACAACAGCTGACAATTGTTAACAACAGCTAACAATGGCAAACAGTAAGTGTCCATCTTGGTTTTCCAACTTGTTTGCTGGAACGCCGTCAACTCATCTGTAACATCATTCCAAGCTCCGACATCTCACTTCCGAGGTAACTAACTGGAACGCAGCATAACTTAAATTCAAATTATTTTCTGTATGTGGTGTTAGCTTGGCTGCATTCAGTCATGGGGACCCTGTGACAATTGGAATAATTGAAGAAAAGCCTCACTTGCTTTTCCCATAACATAACATATCAGCTCCTAATAGTTCAGGCAGCACAAACACGTGCACACACAATGCAGATGTGACAACAGTGTAAATTGCAATTTAAATCCTGCACTTTGCATATCCACATGTGGCCTGTGCTCACATAAATGCGATGTAATCATCCCCTGCATGCACACCTGATCATGCGTGTTCATTTTTATTTGCACCTGTTATATCTTTTTTTATGCAATTACAAGCTATGACAACCCAGCTGATTAAAAAGTCGCTGCCACCGGTTTAATGAATTAGGTGTGCCACCCTGCCCGGCAGCTTTTGTGTCAACGAAACGCTCAAGTGCAATCCAGATTTAATTAGCAGCCTTTTCTACCTCACCAAAGCAGGAGCAGCAGCAGATGAGAGTGTAACAGTTAATGATGAAGCAATTTAGTGAAAGCTATCTTCATATATCTATTGTGGCTGAAAATGACATATTGAGCTTGGAAAATTAAATGTCAACAACAATCCACAGACAGCTCCAACAGCCTTGAGCCCCCCCCCTCTAAAATGCCAGCCTGCGGGGAACACTGATAGCAGGAGGCTAAATGAATGACAAGAAAGGCCAAGCTGATTGGGAGAGAGGGACCTTTCATCGAAGGAGTATAGCTCGCAGTACAGCATCAAAGGGAGGGTTTGATGAAAAAGCTGAGAGGGTTACTAAGATGATTGGCAGCAGGAGCAGTGGGGGGGGTTAGAGGTCATGCTGTGCCTTTGCCCTTCACTGTACAGGCGGGAGGGAGAAGAGAGAGCTGCCCCAGGCCCAGCAGCCACAGGTGGGCTTTGTGGTCTGTCATCATGGGTCCTGTAGCACCAAGCTGCTTCTCAGCCCGCTATCAGAGAGACAAACAACACGCAGGCTTATCTGTCCATGTGTGCGTCCACATATTACCATATGGTTGCATGCATGTGTATATCCTCACCGCTGTGCTCCCATTACTATGAATGTGCTTTTTCATTTTTGCACAGATGCTCAATATAACAATCATGCTTTAGAGCGGTGACTAGTTACAACAGCACACCTACATAAGAAATTCAGAAACTAAATCTTCTTAGAAACTAAATCTGTTAATTAGGGCTCATCTGTTCATAATTAGTGCTTTAACCAAGTGTTAAGGGCTGCAACACAGTTTTTTTTACTGGAAGACACTTTTTTTATGCATCATTTTCTTAACTCGACCTCAGAAAAGTCAGCAGAGTTTCTGGATCATGTTTTATTCATGGTTCCCTCTCTGAGTGGCATAGTTTGACCTTTATTTATGGACTCAGTGGAGAACTGAGTTCACAGGCAGTTGGGATTTTGAGACCATGCAGTGATTTCCACTACAGAGACATTCCCATCATGTAGGCTTCAGGATCACAGCCGCCGAGTGCTGGTTTTCAACCATGCAGAGATTTCTCCAGATTCTTTGGGGAACCGCTTCCCATCTTTATGAAATATGGATGTTTTTAAAAGCTGTTTCTTTTGTCTCCCTCTCAAAATAAGTGTCTACACTGTACTGTTCTGGTGGAAGCACTGTGCATCAGATTAGGACTCGCTTACATAGGCTGACTTCTGCTGCTTTAACTGTACACATCAAGCAATGGGACGCACAAGGACCAAGACAGATTTTCAGAGAAAAGGAGGCACCATGTAGAGAGTTTGCATGTGTGTGCGCTTAAACTCACAGAAAGCAGCAGTTTACAAAGGACACACTTAAAAAAGAAGAGCAGCATGGGCATTTCAGGGTCTGCACAGGGTTGCGAGCAGTTGTGACATGCAATGAGCTCTACATTCATGGCCAAAAAAATGATGTGACCTTAAATCATTTCCTGCAAACTCCTAAGCCGGAGGTCCCAGTTTGCACAAAGCTCCTCTTTCGAGATGTTTGAAACTTACGAGTTCTTTTCCTGATTAATTTGTCAGTAGTTTTAAAGAAGTCCTGTCTGGACGATGGTAAGCCTGAATACTATGTGCTTGATAAGATTATCTTAACAAAGAGATTAGCAATTTAATGGTGCACCAAAGCTGACTAATCCAAACAGCAAAGCCAAGTTCAGCAAATTTATCTAAGCAGACCATTTTATCACCAATCAGAGTGAGGCTCAAGACTACAGCATGCATCAAACTATCCCTCAAAATTAAATATAAAGTCACTCATTGACTGCACTTGAATTGGTCAAAAGCACTGGCGATGTGAGAGTTGCATAATGATCATCAAGGTGAGCTAGGACAAAGCTGGAAGTGGGTGGTGGAGGTGGAGGTGGGTTTTCTGAGGTAGAGGACTGTGTGTTTTTTTCTAATTATTGGAGATGTGATGAGATTAGCCGGCTGAAGAGGCCTTTTTTGGTAACCCCACTGACTTTGCTGCACTCACCCACCTACTCTATAATCCAAGTCAGGTATCTATGTGGGCGTCCAGTATGCAGAACACAGGGGATGGTTACATCAGACTGTGTGTGTGTTGCTAAAATACCTCATTTATTTTTGCCTTCAAGGCCTGGACATCAGGTGACTGTCAGTTTGCATGTTTAATACTTTGCTACTTTGCTGTTGAAACTGCTTCTTTAAGATGTCTTATGATGGTAGGACAGCACAGTGAATTATATGGTCATCATAATTTGGACATGAACGTGTGAACACATCAGGGTTGTCCCCGTTCTCCGCATCTTGAAATAAAGTCAAAACCATTGACAAACCTGTCATATTCTTAAACTCAACTTTAACATTCTATCAGAAACTCTCGTCATTCTAGATAGACACACTCAACGTTCTAAAACTACAACTTCATATTCATTTCAATCCCTAAACATTCTAGAACTACAGCGCAACGTTCTCTTAGGGATCCTCAATATTCTAGAACTACAAACCATTCTTTGGGACACCCAAAAAATTCTACAACTAAAACTTAACAGTCTTTCAAAACCCCCAATATTCTTAAACAATGGTGCAGCATTCTTTCAGGAACTCTCTACATTCCAGAACTAGATTTCATTCTATAAAATCCACTCAACATTCTAGAACCCATCTTAACATTCATTCAGAACCCCCAAACATTCTAGAACTACAGCGCAATGTTCTCTTAGGGACCCTCAACATTCTAGAACTACAAACCACTCTTTTGGACATCTGAAAAATTCTAGAACTAAAACTTAACAGTCTTTCAAAACACTCAACATTCTAGAACAATGGTGCAACATTCTTTAAGGAACTCTCTACATTCCAGAACTGTATTTCATTTTATACAACCCATGCAACATTCTAAAACTACAACTTAAAATTCTTTCCAATCCCTCAATATTCTAGAACCCATCTTAACATTCTATCAGAATGCTCTTCATTTTAGAACCCTAACTTAACATTCACTCAGAACCCCCAACAATCTAGAATAGTACATTCTATCCGAAGATCTCTACATTTTAGACAGACACACTCAACATTCTAAAACTTCAACTTTACATTCATTCCAATCCCTAAACATTCTAGAACTAAAACGTAACAGTCTTTCAAAACCCTCAAAATTCTGGAATAGCAGCGCAACGTCCTCTTAGGGACCCCTCAACATTCTAGAACTACAAACCATTCTTTTGGACACCCGGAAAATTCTAGAACCCTAACTTAACATTCATTCAAAACCCTCAACATTCTAGAACAATGGTGCAACGTTCTTTTAAGAACTCTCTACATTCCAGAACTACATGTCACTCTATAAAACCCACTCAACATTCTAGAACTACAGCATAATATTCTTTCCAATCCCTCAACATTCTAGAACCCATTTTAGCAGTCTATCAGAACTCTTTACATTCCAGTATTAAATCTATATATTCTTTCAGAACCCCCCCAACATTCTAGACTAACAGATGGTGCCATATGGTTCAGCCCAATCACCCACATGCATGCAAACTATCAGGAAATATGTGCATGCAAATGTGCACTCAGATCCCTGAAAAAGATCTGGACCTGGATCGTTTCAGGGAATTTCACGTTCAGTCAACCCGGAAAGTTGAATGAAAGACATTAGACGATGGTGTGAGCTCCAGCACAGCCTGAAATGTGTGTTAGCGTGTTTGTGTTGGTGGGGAAGTCACATCACAGTCTGGTCATCTATGACATATTGTATTCAAGTTGTTATTATAAGAAGGGAGCTATGAATACGACGGCTTTTTACGAAGCCTTTGCAGAGGAGGGAACAGACTCCAGATGCAGGAGAGGTCCTATCAGAAAATCTTCTGAGGTTTTCAGGAAAAATTCATGAGACAGGGGAGGCATTTCAAACAGTAGAGTCCTTCTTGTCATTTACATTGTACCACCTCCACAAGGGCGAGAGAGGTGAGGGGTTGAAGTCAAACAAACCGAGCCTTCAAGCCCACTCAGCTCTGAAACAGGTGGATCAACAGATCTTCAAGTGTTTCCTCCTGGGCACCTCTGAACACTGAGGCTTTTGTGCTCCTCAAGTATGGAGGTAACAGAGGAACTGTGGTCCACTGTAAAGGCGGCTTCATGAAAAAATGGCGTCTGAGCTGTAGGAGCAGGACAGAAAACCGGATTACGGTTTATGGAACCAGTATCTCAATTTACGAGGACGGTTTGAGTGGTAATTGCATTACTGACTCCTAATTAAATTGATCTGTGAAAAATACCAGGACATTAATGTGTCAGGTTAACTCGGTCTCTTATCAATTGCCCTCACATGAGCCGCTCCAAACATAGCTCCAGTTGTGTGACTCTAGTTTACTGAGTCTTTCTTATCACAGGCCCTGACTGTCAGTTCAGGCCTTTGAAGTGGTGAAAATATTCACAAGAGCAGCAAAGGGACTTTCTAAGAATAACTGAGGGAAATAAATGGGTGACTTCCTTTCATTAGGCTCACTTTAGTCTTCAAATATAGCCTGTCACATGGGGGCTGTGTGCACAAAGGTGGGCTGTGGACACTCAGATTTGGGGCATTTACACTGAGTTTGTCATTTTTATTGATTGAATTTCAATAATAGGTCATAAGATGTCATATCTGCACTAGTCGTGACTTAGTTATCCAATGTTAACCTCGAGTTTCAGATTACTGCAATAAAGATAGAAAGGATCATTAGTGGTTTTAACTACTATACACCTCAACTGTGGATCTAATATCTTTATAATGTTTCTTTCAAAGGTTTCTTTCAAAGGGCCTCCCATACCCTCACAACACAATGTGTATCAGAATAAGGAGACCGTGATTTAAAACGTATCTCAGCACATTTGAATCCTGAGTATCTAAGATTTAATTTTGTTGAATGCAGCAATAATACTCTGGTTAGGGATTCTGGATATTTACCATCACAAGAACGGTAAATAATACTTTAAATTATCAGTATCAGCAGATATGAACATTTTCACGATAGGTAAATCCTATTACAGGAAAAGCTCAGTGTTACAATGAAAATAAGGTGTATATTCATTGATATCAGCTAAAATGAGCAAAAATCCAATATTGTGCACCCCTAATGCTAGTTTTATTTGACTATGAGTCTACTCCTTTATGCTGCAAGAGTTTTTTTTACAATTAATTGACTTTTTGCACGTCCAGCAGTTGGTTATAGCATAGCATGGTTTGCACTCATTACACAGCTGCATAAAACCAACTACATAAACAATCCCGTCCTCACAATGAAGACTAAAAGAGGTGTTTTATGTCCTCTCAGCCCACTGAAAAGTAGAGTGAAATTTTGATGTGAAAGCTTTCTTCAGTGTTTGTGAAGATGATACACGCTGGCCCTGTGTAGCAGACCATCCTGCTGTAATCAGAGTGGTTACCTTCTGAATTGTGTTGCAGTTGTATTTTGCCTTTTTTTTTGTTGTTGTTGTTTTTGCATAGCTTGCATATTCCACGACTCGTGTTCAACTCCTGACCTCCTGGTGTTCGCAGGAAACTGAAATGCTTCCATATCTGTTCTTTCAGTTATGTAAGCAGCCGCCCAAGTTTCTTGTTCATGCTTGTTTGTTTTGGTTTGAGACATGCTCTGCTCCATCTGGTATGAATTTCACCTGCGAAAACTGGCTCTTTTTTTGCACTGCAAGTAATGTGTCTTTCAAAACTACCACCACAGCTTTTGCTATTGTACTGATCCTATAACATGCATGTTGCTGCACATAGTAGCAACATGTATATTTATATATGTATTCAATAATAGCCCCATTAGATATGCTAGCATTCCAAAGGTACTGGATTCCTAGATATATCATGTTGCAGCAAATGCATTGTTGTTTATATTGGACTATCTAACCTCCTCATGGCAAAGAAGATACCTCAAGATGCTGCATAGTAAACTTTAAAGATTAAATAGAGGGAGATGATGAGGTTTTGTTTAAAGAGAAGTTAAGGTCAAGGGAGATCGTGACACATTAAACCAACAGTAATTAATGTGCATGTCAAGTGAGTCAATTGCATTTATTTGTGCAGTAAGTAATATCATTTTTCTCCCTCTTGTCTACTTTTCCACGCAGGAGTCAGAGCTGCTGTAAGAAGGCTAGACACTGTGATGAGTAGGGAGAGAGGTTATGCATCTTTGGATTAGACCCTCAAATTTGACATGGTTCTCTAACATGCAGCAACGAGAGCGCACTGTTTGTAAATCCTCATCTTTAAAAATAATCCACACATAAATCAATAACCAATTCCTAAAAAGACAACACGTCAGAAGAAGATTGTTTATCTCTGCTTAATAAAATCCTACTCAAATAGGATTACATAAATACACATTAATGCTGCAACTTGACCAATAAAGTATCTTTCATTTGTGCGTGACGTTGTTTCAGTGACCTGGCATTCATGTTTGAACTGTCAGACAATACTGATGTAACAAGAAGCCACCGGGCGTAACACAGCCCATTCACAAGTTGTGCTGTTCTTCTGAATGGTGGTTACATAACGCCGTGCAGCTAGAGAGAGTGAGTTCATACTTAAAACAACCATGCACAAGAAGGACAGGCGGGAGAATAAGTGCCAGAACACAGGAATAGCAAAGTGTGTGAAGAAGCTCTAAAAGTTGTAAAGTGCTCTATTTTTACGTCTAGTTTTAAAAAGAGAAAACAAAAATTTGGAGCTCTCTGAAAGAGAAAGCTGCCTCCCTCATTGCATTATTTAAAATTAAACGTAAAGGCCGTCCATATGGAGGGCTTAGATGTATGTAGGGCAGGAGGCGGTTAATCTTTCCTCATAATCTTGACACATATTAAACTAACGGCATGACTCATATCCACCTGGAGATAACTATCAACTCAGAGAGCGAGAGAGACAGAGAGAGAGAGTAGCTAAATCGGACAAAAAGCACATGTGGTCATTGAAAATATGCACTCTCAGGTTCATAAAAGGTCCCTATAAAAGAACAGAAAGTAAGAACAAAATCATCCTTTAAGTCCGAATATGCACCAAAGCAGCTATTAACCTCTTTAACCTGACTGCTCACATGGTCAGGCTGCGCTGCACCGAAGCCAAGCTTTGTTAGATTCACAGGACAGTGCTGCAAGTTTGAGATAAAACCAAACCAAATATTTCTCTTTGAATTGCAAAGAAAAGTGCACAAGATGTTGCCAAAGACATCTGAATATTTGGTAGTTTAAGTGTCGTGTGTTAATGATACTCCACAGAAGTGAGAGGCTATCGCAGGAAATTGCTAACAAATAGCAAGTATCCATAAGGGAGATTAGCTTGAGCTGCATTGCCACACAAATACCCGCTAATCAGCTTCAGCACTTACACTAATACCAAAAAGACTGCAAAGTACCTGTGGGAAACTCATTTGCCATTCAGAATAACCCCACTGCTAATTGCTAATTGTTCCCCTCTAAGACAATGCAAGCTCAAGGCTAGCCCCCTGATCCCCCTCTCAGACTACGCTAGCTAACTAACCTTTCCCACGTTCCCGCACATACCAGGCTCACTGCCAGTGTAAAATACTGAAGCGTCTTTCACCGAGAGCATTATATCTAAAACTTGAAAGCTATTAGTACTCTCAACCTAACAATATTAAAAAAAAAATAAAAATACTTAGGAACTGTAATCGCAGATTTTTGGCAGAAAGATAACATTCTTCACAAGCACAAGATTTTCTCTCAAGATCAACAGCTCTTGAAACAAAGTGGCAAAATATCTGAAACTGAGGGAGCTGTGTTCAGATGTCCAGAATTCATGATATGACGTCAGGGTTTCCCCTACATGCAATTGATCGTGGCGCACCACCACGGCTAAATAAAAGCCGCAACACTTAAATTTTTTTTTTTTTATCTCACATCAGCAGTGTTTCCCCTACATTCATGATTCTACTCGCACTGTGTGAGCACAACAACACACAACGTTATTTCCAACTTGTTGTGAGTCATCAAATCCTGTCGGACCCTCTTCTATCAATGTGAAAGGTAACTTCGTGCTTATACACGGTCTACATAGCGAGTAGCATTAATAGAATTAGTAGCATTATCATCAATGTGGCACAAATGATTTCTATTTCTATTCGCACTGTGTGAGCACAACACACAACGTTATTTTCGGCTTGTACACACACACACACACACACACACACACACACACCGCCGCAGCTGCAAAAATTTCTAGGGGAAACACTGGACCTACCATGATACTTCGCAAAAAAAGGACTTTGGTAGTTGAAAGTTTTGGTAAATGCTAATGAGCATGAGTAATGAGTCAATGGTGCATTTAGTCGTATCTGGGAGCACTCTGTGATCGACTCGTCAGGGCTCCCCCACAAACAAGTGGCTGCTGGAGTAGAGTGGGTGAGTTGTGTTTGGTCTCTTTGCTAATGAAACCACGCAAAGCTAAAACGATCTTTGATGGCTAATACTAGGGCTAGGACCCTATATGCACTGTTGATGAGGTTAGGTGCTGTTCTGAGCATTATTTGTGGCTATAGAGTGGCATTTTGGTTGAGGTTTATCTGTGGAGACACAGACCGCTGTGTATTGCTATTGTGTGGTCGTTACTAAAGTTGATATAACTAGAGAAGCAAGCAGTCTGCAACATTTATCTCTCAAGGGGGTGTCTTACTCGGTGTTACTGTGTGGTTGACCATAACTTAAATTTACACCGGAATATCCCTTTAAAATCAGACAAGTTTGGGGTGGGCACCTTCACTTGAGAAACACGTGCTGCTGAAGGCTGTACTTTGCAGTTAAACTCTGTTTGTTCATATCTCAAACTCAAATCAATCCACGAAGGTCAGTCCTTGTGTTCCTCACAGAAATATCTCCTCGGATTTGGTCTCTTCTTTTCTTACAGTGGTCTGAAATATTTCTTCTCTATCATCTTGATTATTTCCAGAGCATTACAAGGTCTTGCATTTCTACTCTGTGATTGGATAACTTTAAAAGATGTGAACACACATGAATGAAAGACTGTAGGAGAGGTTGTTGATTGCATACAGGTCAGAGACCGAGTGTCCTATATCGCCACAATATAGTCATGTTATAGCCTGTGTGATTTTACATGAAGGGAAATGGAAGGTAGTTTATGAGGTAAGACTTAAGCAGATAAAGTAAAGAGATATTAAGAAAGCAAGATTAGATTTGGAGGAGGAAGAGGAAGCGCCTGGAAACATCAAACGGTAAAAATCCCATTAAAGCCATCCATCAGTGCAGCTGTGGTCAGAGGTGGGGGATCCAGTTATCCCTCTCCAGGGAACAGAGAGATGAATGACTTCCTAACAGGTGGACTACGAGCTTAACACAGGCGGAGGCAGCAATGAGAGGAGGTGAGGTTTAACCTGGGACTGGGCTGGTGTTCGGTTACAGCTGCACCTCCGGAGAGAAACCCTGACCCCGTGGCTTTGTGGACTCACAGGAAATGGATTTGTTTTCCGAGCCCTCTCCTGCTAATCTTCCCTTCACTCACATGTACAAGGGTGTGGAGATAAAAGTACGAGGGTTCAAACACTCACAGCGGCGCACATACTTCACACATGTCAGTGGAGAAGAAGAAAAATGTACAGATGAATGCTCGAGCACTTTCTTGTTAAGAAAGCATGGATTTGGTTTCTCATGTAAAAAATAGAAATCGACAGTCCAGCTCTTCAGCAAACAGCTCAAACACAGATTAAGAGGATAATAAGCCGGTGCCTCCTACGTGGCAAACAAACGAGACAGACACTTTCTAAACCTGGCTCAAAAAATCCATACCTCGCTGTAATGAAAGTCTTACTCAAGGTATAGTTCTTCCTAAGCCAACCTTCGCCCCAGTCTTTCAAGGTCTTTGAGGAAGCCGCCTCCCAATTGGAGGAAAAGAAAAACACAGAAAAAATAATTCTGGAGAATCAATAATTTGTTTTTACCGCAGGCCTGGATGAGCCGAGCAGAAATAAGCCCGGCCGGCAACAGAACCATGAGGCGTCTGATCTGCCTACACAGTTCACCGGGCCACATCCTCTCTGCCTCCACTCGGGGAGAAAATAGCATCAGTGAGCAAAACTGCCAGATACAGAGGTAGCCTGTTATTATCAGAGGCACAAAAACACTCATGGTTTCATTACATTGCTGTAACAGCAGTCGGCTACCACACATAAAACTGTGACTTTAATCTTTTAGACTTCATTTGTTAGCCTGTCTGTCATTTAAATAACACATTAAGTCCATAACACGCCATCGACACGTGTCTTCTAGTCTGACTGCAGGAGTGCAGCAGTCCTAACAAGAGCAGCTAATTGGACTGCAGCTGGAACTGTGTCCTCAGACAGCTTGCAAATGAGAGCTCAGTTGCAGACAGTCAGGGAGGCACTGAGATGGTTTCTGGACCAGTTTTCAATCCAGATCATCGAGAAAGTGCTAGTCCTTTGTAATTACGCTGCATCTGTTTCAAGGTAACCTTTATCGTCCATTTCCTGACATGCAGTTATCAAGAGTTAATGTTGCTGAATTTGCATTTGTCGGCCAAGAACTAACGCTGCGTTCAAGTTGGACTTGGAAGTCGGGATTTCCGAGCTCCGAAACGGAAATTTGGACAATCCTCGCCAACCCCAACTAGAGGACAACGTCATAATCCAAGATGGCAGCGCAGGGCATCAACAATGAAGAGTAACAGTGAAAGCTCACTTAATGTTTTATTCATCAGCACTTCTGTTTTGTTTTTGTGAAATTCAATAAGTGGTTTATGTTGTACTGCCCAACATCTAACTGTGAACACGGTGCTATGGTGTTTGTAAGAGTAAAATACTGTGTTATGCGTTGTTTACAATTGGTATAGCTAACAACAACGTGCAACAGCTGACAATGTCTGACAATTGTAAACATCAGCTAACAACGGCTAACAGTAGGCATCCATTTGGTTTTCCGACTTGTTTACTGGAATGCCGTCAACTCGGGTGTAACGTCATTCCCAGCTGCGACATCCGACTTCCGGTGTAACTGGAACGCAGCGTTATTTACACGAGAAACTAGCAGGTAACGCTCGAACCTGTTTTAATATTTGACATTTTAAGGAGAGGTAGTGAACTGATGAATGTCTTTGTTGAACACGTCAAGGTCACTCTAAAAGGATATTCATCCTGCAGACAATAAATAGGTAGAAAACACTTGCTTTATTTTTCACAACCTTCAGTGTGGCTTAATAAAGGAAAATAAAGAATAAATCTGGAAGCTCAATAACACGGAGTCCACAGTTTCCAAAAACAAGCAGGGTCCTCTAAATAACATGATCACATGTGGAAGGCAGGATCCCCACGAATGTTTTGCTCTGTGTTTTCTCTCTGCCCCTCATAATCAAATCTTGGGTCCCTTTTTTATCTTATCAGACTTCTATTTTCATCTCCCCTCCCCGCCTCTTCCCATGTCTTCGGGCAGGGATAACGGCAAGCAGGGAAGTAAACAAAACACATCATGATTTTGCCTTTCAGGTGTCCCGGTACCTGTAACAGACCTTGGCGGCTATTTTTAGCCTCCCCTGCATGGACCGACTGTCAGCACGTTCTCTTCAAAGGTCCTCGAGGACATGAGCTGTACCCTTGAGACAGCACAGTCAGAGCAGAGGGAGGGTGGGCAGATGTGAGGATGGAGGAGGTGACATGAGGAAACCAAAAAATACTCTAATTTTACTCGCATATACTTGTACAATGCATGTAAAAGATGTTTATATTTACATGTGCAGTACGTGAATTTACCCTTTATACAGATTTCAAACATTCAACCCCAAAAGTGTCGCAGACAGAGAGGATGTCACCGGCCTTATTTTGTTCTGAATCTTGCCGACACACATGCATCCGATGTGTCTCAACTTAGATTAACATTTTCTGCACAGGGACAACGATTTCCTTCAACACTGGAAAAGTAATATTTTTACATCTCTACAGCTTCATTTTCGACATTAAAAGGAACAAAAACTCTCATTAATATTTAATTTTTACAGCTTTTTTACACTGAACATGGGCAAAGTTTCAAATTGTCAGGTCACCATTTGTTGGGGTAATCCCTGTGTAAGACTGCATGAATCTCCTTAAAGACTCACTCTGATGAAAATCATGTTTTTCTTGTTGTCCTCATGTTCATTTGGCATTTTTTGATGCTACAGGACATACCATGAGAAAGGTATCATGAGCATTTCTGCATTCGAATCAATGTGAATCTCTGACAGATCCAAACGGCAAGTTCAGACACGGTGAGATTTCCTATGTCACAAATCCAAGCCCCGCCCCCGGAGCCCCGCTATGCAGGCCAGACTCAGAAAAGTAGAGAGGATGATCGCGGAACAAGCATGTGCGTTAGTGGATTGCAATGCTTGTAAGAAAGCTAATTATGATATTAGCTTTCATCATGTCCCTAAAGATATTAGTGTACAAGAGATGAATAGCTCCTAAGTTACCTGCCACTTCTACTACACCAGCAATGCTAGGCTACAAGCTAGCATGAAGAGGAGCGTGCAGAGCAGTTCTGTCTTCGCCTACGACTCAGAGGCGAATTACTAATGAGCTACTGGAGCTCTGCAGAAGAAAAGACCACTGAGAACACTTTAAATCATAAAAAAACTGTTGTAGCATGGCAACAGTGAAAGAAGCTTCAAGAACGTCAACAGTGTGTACGCCCAAGATGAGACCAAAATATCACTTTACCGTCTTCAGAGGGCAACAGGTCCAACCACAACTGGTTTATTCCCTGACACCCACTTCATAGTACTGAAAACTTGACATCAACTCCATAATAGCAAATCTTCCTACTTTATATACTAACCTGGCCAATCTCACTCTGGATGTGTTCAAATATCTTTAGAGCTTTTTTTCATTCATTCAAAGATAAAGAAGTAGCGACTCAAAGAAGTCGTGTGTCAGTTTTGAAAACATTTTAACCTTGAAAAGCTCTTTTCTGGATGCAAAGATTCACCGCACAGCCATTTGGGAACCGGATGCATTCTACAGGCGAGTGTTGCGTAAGCTATAGATAAAAGAGATACAGGGGGGAGAGAGAAACGGGGAGGATGGGAGGGTTGAGAGAGGTGAGGCAAAGAAGAGCATGGGAATCTGAAGAGAGAATCCTCCTGAATAAGTGATAAGGTTTGCCCTCCTCTTGTATTTTTGATGAGGAAGATCAAGTTTTTGAACACTTGCATCCAGCGCCGAGAAGACTGGAGCCACCACGGGGCGGGCGGGGGTGTGTGGGGGGGATCTCACAGGAGAACATGGAGTTACGGGATGTGCAACGTGTCCAGAGGCGCCTTATCACATTGACTCTGCTGCCTCTGTGGTGATCATTCTGTCAGGAGGTGTCATGTTATATTGTAGTTATGCAAGGTTGCATCCAATATACAGCTGCACGGAGCATTTCCTGCCCCAGGATTGAACTCACATGCCAGATGTACTTTCTGTTGAAAATAGATAAATAAATCCACATCTACAGGAGACGCCAGACATGAGTCATCGCTTGGTTCCTGGATTGTACCCCAATAAACTGTTGATGGCTAAGTATCAGGATCATTCTCCATGCACAATCTTTTTCACCTCCTGGGCTGAAAAATTAAGCCGATGCCGAAGGCGACTCCTAACGCCAATGAATTCCCACTACATTAGATAGTATAAAGGGTGCAGAAATGAACAAAAGGCATCGATGAGTTAACAGATAGATGGGAGCATAGGAGCTGAAGGCCCACCTCAGCTTCAGCGACTAGCCTTAAAAATAAAATTTTAAAAGTCCAGAGTGGATAAATACATAACGCAAAATAACCTCTCCGAAATCTTCTAGTTTGGTGAATAAATTAGCTTTAAAGAGTCACTCAAACTAGACACCAGCCAATCATCATTTCTAATGTATAAAGCATTTAGGGCCTGTGTCCACAGACAGCATTTTTATTGTGCTGGCAGTGTCTGAAACCTAAATGTCAAAGCACTCCTCACCCGCCTTAACTTAAGGTGGGATCCCAAAGTTATCTATCAGTGTTTCCACTTCGAGGTCCATTGCTCTGTACCGCTCTTTATGACGAAAATTACCTCCAGTTTTACAAAAAAAAGAAATTCAAACACAATCGAAAGGAGTCATGTTCTCGTGTTCTGGTGTCTGAGCACCAAGATCATAGCAACAAAAAGCAGCTGACACAGAGGAAATGTCTGCACTTTAAAAATGGAGGGCTGAAAATGTTGTTTTTTGGGGGACTCTAAGCACTGCCAGCCACAAGTGGACACAGGCCCTTAGTCAAGCCAAGTTCAGCCAAGAAAGTTGATTCTCTGAGTTTTCAACACCACGACTCTTGAAGATTAAGTCATTTGTCTCTAAGTGGCAAAAACACCCCAAACAGCAGGTTTGATATCAGGTTTTAAAAGCCATCAAGGTTTCCACGTGTTATGTGCGGCTGAATGTTTATTAGGTTCTTCCTCTATCAGACTCAAAGTGAGTTAAAGATTGGAGTCTAACGGTGAATGGGAGACCACAGTATGAATGAATGAGTCCAACTCTGCTTTCACTGAGAGTGTTTGCCTGAGTGTAACAGTGTACATCCGTGTGTGGGCATGTGTGTGTGAGTGTGAGGGTGTTATGCAGCCTCTGGGAGCCCTTGTCCTGGTGGAAAGTGAATCCCCTCCCCTCCCCCCTGGAGCTGTAACTATCTTTAGCTTGTTTCCGCCGTGTCTTGTCACTCGTGTTCTCCTCTACAGCACTTAAATCTGGTATCTAAACCTCCAGGCCATCTAATATCCTGCGCTTCCCCTGAACATGAAGCTAGAGAGGACTGGGAGAGGGCAAGTGCATGAAAGTGTAGATAAAGATGCACTGTAAATCTACATACATGCACTGCTTTCCTGTATTTGTTCAGTGGTTAATGACCAATGGAAGGAAGAGTGCAATATAAGATTTGCTTTATTTACAAAAAGGGGCAAAAACAGAAAAGTGCAACAAGCACAGACAGGGTGTGTAACAGCAGACCTGTCAGCAGAGGACACCTTGTCTGGTCGAACTGGCGTCACGAGGACACGGGAGATGCAGCAAGTAACCAAATCTGCTCCTCTGCTATCTATTTACCTTTTGCACACGCACATGCATGCACAAACAAGTACGTGCATGTGCAGAATCTCTGAGACCCGTTTCGGTCAGCGGAATTACTTGAAATCTTTATCCTCAACTTTGCATTCAGTAGATATACCCGAACTGACCCTGGCTTTTTTTTGGCAGATACGACTCCAAAGCAGCTCCACTATTTATGAATGTGCTAATGTGCACACTTCAGTCCTTATAAAGATAGACACACACACACACACACACACACACGGGCGCATTAGAACGCTCGGCTGTCTCGCTTGGCCTCATTTCACGCTTGCCGTTCTTCATGTGTTTCACAGCTGACTTGATGTCTGTTAAGTGGGATGGGTTTGACACTGTGTGCTTTCGCCTTTACCGCCTGCCTCAAGTAAAAAAGGCAGAAAGATGAAATGTCACTGTCTCTGAGTTTTGAAAGAAATCCACAGTTAGCTTCTTTTGGGAAGATTTGTTTTAGCTAATTTCATGGTATTCAAAAACAGCATCAACGAATGTTATTTTATTAAAGCAAGAAAGCTAAATGAGAAAAGGGAACGCTTTGTTATAGATGAATCTCGACTTTAATGGCAAAGTCACTCAGTTGATGAACCAGAGGGTCACTGGTTCAAGTCCCTGGTGCACACCGAACTATGGCAGAGACTTCACAACGTAAGTTAGCTGCAGAGAGGCGGAGTCAGGTTTAATGCTGCTTTCCATTTACCTCAGAAGTCAGGAGTAGGAGCTGAGAATGACGTCACACCCGAGTTATCAGCGTCTCAGTTACAAAGTCAGAAAAAAGTAGCCAACGGCCAAAAACGAAAGCGGAAACAAGATGGCTACATCTACGAAAGTTATCCCTGCGCTTGCCTTGTCCAAATATAAACAACTTCTGGACAAATATGCGGTCCGTCTGCAACCTGCAAACACGGTGGGGGAAGAGGAAACACAAAGGCACAGAAGGTAGCCTATTTCTTCTTTCACAGGAGCTTCTACTTATTGTTTACAACTGGTGCCGCCATCTTTAAATGTCAACTCTGGGGTTGTGTGGATCGTCCGACTTTCCGAGTCAGAAATCTGACCTTGGGGGTCATTCCAGTTGAAAGTTCTGACAAGGAGCTCGGAAATCCCGACTTCTGAGTACAACCGGAATGCACCATAACTCAGCCAGAGTGTTCCAACTGTGGACAGTTTCACATAGATAGATATAGTGCAAAGAGTAGATATACTAGGAATTATGTCTCACCCGAGTTACCAGCATAAGTCAGAAGCAAAATCAGAGGCGGAAACAAGATGGCTGCATCTACGAAAGTTATTTTAGCGCTTGCCCTGTCCGAATAAAAGCAAGGATGCAAAATAAATAATGTAATGTGATTAATTTTATCCACAATCTTTTAATATGTTGAGATTAACCTGCAGTCTCAACATGAAAACATCTACAATTTCAACATCTCTATATGACCGCATCTATGAAACAAGTAGACTAAAGTGTGCTTTACTCTAATCATCGTAGTCTGAGGCTTTCTAGAAGTTCCTCAACTGAGTTTTCCCAAAACTAGATTTGTAAAAACTGTCAAACATTAGCTGCAAGCTGTGTGAGAAGAAAAACAATTTCACAATGCCATTACAAAAAAAAGTGATATTTTTAGATATCTGTTATGCACAGCAGCTTCTAAAAAGAGAACAGAACATTTCAGCGCTCAAGGACATACACAGCATCAGCAGCATCAGCAGCAGTTATAGCTGTCTGTGTTTTTAGACACGTCACTTTGCGGCCAGTGGTGTGTCTGTCAAAGCTCGGTCATGTCAACGGAGAGTCGGGGTGCCACCCTGGGCCTGTGTGAGCTCTGAAATGACATGGTGTTTGCTGATAACGCTCCATTCAGAAGCACTGAGCCCTGCTAGCTCTCTGCAGAGCTGAATGGCTGATGTAGGAAGAGGACAAAGCTGCAGCTGATGCCACATTAGTGTCTTCTGTCATTGCTGACATCACCTCCGTGTTCATTCAAAAGTCCTGTCCTGTGCACAAAGGGTACAACCTCAAAGAAAACCTAGAGTATGGTACTGTAAACGTTTTCTAGAGTGTGTTATTTAATGCAACCAAAATTAAAGAAGCGACAAAGTAAAGTCCTGCATAAATAATAACAGGAGAAGGGACTAGATTAGGTACACAAAGGTCACCAATAGGAGCAGGAAGTAACTCTGAGTGCAGGAAACTCCCCATAAAGCCACCCACGTACTCCCTTGGGCCATTTGCATCTCCCGTCCCATCCCTCGTTTGGTTTCCGCCCACATTTAGATCCATTAAGGCAATGGTGGGGAAACACGGATGCAAAGGCGGAAGGGAAAGCTCTTAGAGGACATCAGCAACAAGGAGGTACAGAGAAGGAAATGACTGGAGGCGAAGAGGAGAGGAGAGGAAAGGAAAGCTCCTCCTCGGTGATGGGGATGCGAGCTGACAGGGGGGAGTAGCACTGGGGGGCTCCGTGTTCTGAACCGAGCTAAACAGGGATGACTCTCACACGCACATTCACACTCCAAAACTCGGTGAGTCACGGGTGCACGTAAACAGACCCTTCTGTGCATTAAACACACACACACTTACACACATAGCTTTGCACGTTTGTATATGTCTGATGTGCACACACTTCTGCACTCATTCACAAATGTATTCAGAGAAGCTGCGAGGAGCTGCAGGAGGAGAGGAGAAGAGATGGATTTGCATGAATGAATGAGGAGATCAGTGTGTGCATTTTTAATTTTGTGTGTAGGCATGTACGAACAAAAACAGTTCATGATGCTATTTTCAGCCAAATCTCCAAATCGGATGTTTTAAACGTGTGTGACACCAGGGTGCAGCGAGTTAGTCAGTGAGTTAAACAGGCAGGCACAGCTCCAGCGAGTCTATTATTAGAGCTGCGGCTTCTGCCTCTGCTGCTGCGGCGGCTGCTGCTCCTTGGTAGGGGCCCCCCTCCAGGGCCAGTACACCGGCACGTGGATTCCTGCTTTCCCCCCACCCATCTCTCTGATCTCTATTCCTCTCCATTTCTCACTCTCTCTCTTTCTCTGATCTCTCAGGGGTCTTTCCATTCAGGCATGCTCGGCTGATTCATGCGGGGAGCGAGGAAGAGCTCCTCCAAAAAGAGGAGAAAAAAGGAGAGAGATGCAGAGAGCGTGAGTGAGTGAGAGATGCATTTGAGGGAGGCTGTGCGGTCGTCTGCACAGCAGCGTGAAAAATATTCAGGTACTGAATAAAATGTTTGTGCAGCTGGGGCAGGAGAAAGTGGAAGTAATGGCATCCAAACATGATGTGTTTATCGAAATACCTCTTGCTGCAGAGCCTCATGCTGCAGCATGTGGAGGCTGCACAATTCCTTTAAATAGGCACATTAACATTTCCTATTTAGACATGCAAAACACCCACACAAGGTTTCATGAGCATTGTATGAAAGGACGCCTTATATGAATCCAGACACAGACATTTTCATGGATATTTACCCCTAACAGTCCATTTAATGACCTCCCTCTACTTGACATTTACTGGAAATGGTGCTAACTGTATATCCATCCATCAGAGACTCCAAACGACTCCCTTCCTCTGCCCATTCATTTCCAAACTTCCATGTTAACATCCGAACATTTCAAGTTATGAATGGCTGTTCTGCAGGCCTGTGTTTACTGGAGTCCTGAACCCAAACTACTTATCTGACTTGGCCATCCTGACTCTAAATGACTTCCACTTGGCTTGGTCCATTCATGGCTTTTCCTCCCACAAAGCAGCCAAAGGCACAGGCAGAGACGCTGAGAGAAATAGGACAGCACGCTAAAGGAACATCGCTGGAGTTAAAGTTCATGTGGATAAGTTTTCTGAGTCTTTTCTTGGAAGGCAGAAAGTTTTTAGACTTTTAGATCGGAGACTTTTTTTTTCCAACAGCACAACAGAGAGGGGAAACAAAGAAAGAGGTTCAGAAGGGAACAAAGAAAAACTCAGCACAACCCAAAAGAAAAAGCACTGTGCTCGACATTAAAGAAAGAAACCATGCTTAGGTTATTGTCCTTATACATGGACATTAACAACAAAACTCCTGCAGTAGAAACTAACATAAAACATCCTCGAATTCAGGTTAAATAAGTGCATATTAAATAAATTCAGGCCAACTAACTTTTGCAGTTTAAGGTCAGTCTGTAGATTCTTCTTTTGCAGAAAAAAAAAACAAAAGCCTGACATGGAGAATAACAAACTGCACAATGTTCACTGTATAAAACCTGGGACGTCCATCCTTCAAAGTCAAAGATGAAGAAAGTTAGTCTGCTATATAAATTAGAGCTGTCACAGTATCAGACTTTCACCTCACAGTTATAAAATATCACAATAAAATAACAATATTTATGAATGACACAATCTGTCATGCTTTTATTTTGAAACTGTGTGTTTCAGATGCTCTCTTTCTTGCATAGTTGAACTATGCTTTTATTTTGAAGTAAACTCCTCGAGAAGATCAGTACAACTTCATTTTACATGGCAGTATTTACATTTAAAAGTAACTGTCACAGTCTTGCTTATTTAGTCCTTCTTAGAATTGTGTCATTGTACCTCAGATAAATAAACCAAACCTCACATATCTCTCCATCTTCTGTCCTCATGTTTGTATCTTACATAGGGTGACCATATTCTGAATCCCCAAAAAGAGGACACGACTATGCGGGGACGGAGTCACAGAGTCGCACAAAGTTGATTTTGAGAGTTTTCAGATCAGGTTATAAACTCCCCTGGACAAAGCCGGACAGCCCCCAAAAAAGAGGACATGTCAGGGTAAAAGAGGACGTATGGTTACTCTAATCTTATATCATGATCCAGCACTGAGTGTCAGAGAAACTGTAACAGCCCGCTTTGAGATCAATAAGGATTTCTGGCTCAGAATCTACCTGCATTAAAATCTGTTCAATAGTCCACATCATGACTGAAGGAAATAGAGGAGAGCAGTCATGAACACGTGCGTGTCTCCTCTTTCATTTCAAGCCCTGTGCTTCTTTTTTATAGCAGTAGGGGGCACCCGTTACATCAAACTCCTCTTGGATGCTCAGTTAAGGGGAAAAATCTGCAAATCCACCTCCTACTGCTCAGTCAGCATACTTATGTGCAATATTGTAATGAATGCATTTGTTAAAATTCAAATTAAACTTTCAGTTAATTTGCTGCTTGGTGGTTTGAATTGAACATTCAATATGCAAAGCCTTCAAAACAGGCCGTCTGGGTCTGATTGAGACCTGCAGCCCTCTGCTGCATGTTACCTACCCATCTCTCTTCCTCCATCAACCTGATGATGATTTGACACTCTGTGAGATACTCTTATCCAAATAAACAAAGCTTTGTGTTTACACCTTGTTTCCCTGACACTCCTTTCACCTGTGCATTCACGTTCACCTACATAAATCTCATGTTTCTACACGTTTATCCAGGATCAGCATTTGTGGGGTAAGCGGATAGCGCTAATTCACATCCAGGATTTTACCTTGCGACATATCGTGAACTTGGCTGCAGTTCAAGTTCAAGGCCGGGTCAGTGCGCTGCGGCCTAAGATCGCTCCTGCAGAGTGACAACAAAAACTATACAGAGGGAGACGAGCCGGAAACAAACACAAGTTGGCACTCACATGGCGGAGGGAAAATGTAAACAGTCAGTAAAGAGGATATTCTCCTGTTGTTCTGACAGAGACAGAAGTGGCTGTTGTTGTATCAGGTACAAATGTCAAAGGTCCAAAGAAACACAAAAAAGTATAATGTGGTCAAATATGAATAAAGAAAGTAGAGATGTGATAATAGTTTAAATTATGAAACCCAATATTTCTGCATTCGTTAACATTATGTTATGTTGTATTATTATTATTATTATTATTATTACGTTTCTGAGGATGATATAAGATTAACAATGACACACACAAATCAGCAGAGTGTTGTTGTTGTTGTTGCTGTGACTAATGAATGGGGCTGTTGTCCAAGAGTTAGTGCCAAAGCCGAACTTTACACCAGCCTGCACTGCCCCCTGGTGGTCATTTTGGGAACACTGCTCAAAATAGACGACCAAGTCATTGTAATAACAATGTCACTCTGACAAGCACTGATTTTTTTTTTTAAATCTCAACCTTTAAAAAGAAGCAATCAGACTCTTTTATGACAGAAACAAGCACCTGGATTTTAGTTCAGTGCTGTCAGTAGTTTCCATTTATAATGTTGCATGTTGACATAAACAGCCACCTTTCTGAAAACTCACAGGACTAATGAGAGGTCTTGTTTTAATCAAGTTTGACATGAGAGTGAATTATCACCCTGCAACATCTATCTGTAAATTTTCATTCTCCAAAGACAGCCATAAAACTGGGCCAAAGTATTTAAATGGAAACAAACTAAAACAGAATGTCTATAACTTTAAGTCAAACACCTGTATCTTTACTCCATGCGTGCAAAGCTTTGGCTGGTGAAAGGTTAAATTCAACTATCATTCCATTAAAACAAGTGTGTTCCTTGTCTTTAAAACCTTTCCGAAGCCCTTTGGTTGTTTTTGAAAAAATGACTTCAGAAGCTGTGAACTGAAAACTGGCTGAACTGGAAGCTCCTGCAGCAGTGATTTGTTTTGAAATGCGGTTTTCCCGCTTATTTCTACTATTTACACCTTCACTGTCATCATATGTTTTGTTAATTTAGTTTTCCCCTCGTGTTGTTTTATTTGAGTGCTTCTTCTGTGTATTTTTCCTCGTGTTCCCGTGTCCATGTAGTCTTGTCGTGAGTTTTCAGTTTGTGTTTGACTGTTTCTCTCCTGTTCTCTGTGTTTTATTCTTTATGTCTATTATCAGTGTTTCTTTCCTGTTTTATTTTGTAGAAGTTGAGAAGTGTTTCTAGTCTGGTTTTGCTTCCTCAGTTCTCCCTCCTCTGTAATCGTCTGCACCTGTGTCTCAGTGTCTCACCTGCCTCTCGTTGCTCGTTTCCCTGTGTGTGTATATATAGTCCCTGTCTTCCCCTGTTTCTTTGTCGGTTCATTCTGTGTCTGTATGTCGATGTGTATGCATGTGTCCCCTGTTGCTCCCAGTGATCTTTATTTCTTTGGATTTTGCTTCTTGTGTTTAGGAATTTCTCAGTTGGACATTTTTAAGTAACTTTTTGTTGCTTTTCTTTTCGTTCCTTTTAAATAAATCCTTTTTTGTCCTACATTTCTGATCCTTTCCCTTTTTATTTACCTCCAGATTGCGACATCCACGAGTGAACAATCTCAAAAAACATCAGTGGGTTACTTTGAATATCTTATATTCATACGTCATATGTTATTTTCCTCAAGTAGCTGCTTTACTTTTATGAATAAATCACTTCATTTATGTAGTATCTGTCCTCCGTGTGATTTAGGATGTGACCTGCTTTTTGTTTCTCTTTGACTGTCGATTATTTACTATTTTGCCAGCTTACCGTGTCGCTGTACGCAGCCTCGCCCAGCTCTATGACGTGAGGATCAGCTGACTGTGTGTCTGCGACTGTTGGGCTGATCTGTGATATATAAGAAAAGATGTCTCAGTGTTGTTTCTAGCTCAAGTGAGGGTTTTTTGACACATAAGAAATCGACTGAAACTCATTTTGATGCCTTTCTATTATTTCCAAAGTTAAAAAAGATCTTAATTGATCGTTTTATGTCATAATTTTCTATCTTTGTCATGATTTAGTAAAGCATGACTGACCTGAATTGCTCTGGGCTGTGGGTGGTGAAGGTGGGGTCCTCTGGGGTGAATATCAGCCAAGTGGGGTGGTGGATCTGGAGTGGACCTCCTGCTGTGCTGCTGAAGGACCTCCTGATAAGATTTTTTGTCGAAGTTTGTCCTCCACATCAGCACCTGGTGAATCAACAGACCAACACGTCTCCTGTGAGCCACATTTTTCAGGATTTACACTCCAGAGAGTCGATTAAAAACTTTAAATGAAGAAACACCGACCTGACAATCGACTCCTCCAGAGGCAAAGAGATCTCCAGTCCTGGAAAATGATACTGTGATTACAGCTCCCTGAAAAACAAAGGACTCAAAACATCAGAAACTAGGACTTCAATCACCATGACTCACTCAAGCATCTGATATTGTCTTGTGTATTCTGGAGTCTGTGAGTGTGGTGAGCCGGCTCCACCTTGTGTCCATGCAGGGTGTAGATGAGACGCCCCTCCAGCAGGTCCAGGATCTTCACTGTGCTGTCACTGGAGCCACTAATCAGGTAGTTACTGGACGGGTGGAAGGAGAAGCTGTTGATTCCTGCACTGTGGACTGATTTATGAGGAAGAGAAGGAAGTCAGACATCTGGATACCCCACGAAGGGTAACAATTGGGCTACAAATCCAGGTTTCTTCCACAGAAACATTCTAATAAACTTTTCTGACTGTGTATATGGCATCATTATGGCTGTGAGGTTTATAAAGTACCTTGATAGTGCTGGATCAGCTTGTTGGTTCGAAGATCCCAGATCTTTAGGGAGCTGTCGGCTCCTGAAGATGCAATACAGGTGCCGCTTGAGTTAAAATCAACAAATGTGGCAGATCTGGAAAAACAAGAAGTCATTGGTGACCTTTATCAGTCCAGCAGTCTTGGGTGTTTATATACGAAAAGAGACTGCTGTCTATGGAAAAGAAAACATGTTAAATTAATCAGCCTGTTTCAGTTTTATGTAAGTTTTAAAAGGCGATAAATAATTATTACTCTGAGTGTTCAGTCAAGATCAGTTTGGTCAAACAAGATTTAGTATTTGTGTGCAGTCAGTGAAATACGTCTCTAATCTAATCTGAGAGCTCCATGTCCTTCCATGTGTATAGGAGGAAAGGCAAAGCTTGAGGTAGGCAGAGCAGACCCGCCCTACGTTCAAAAGTGAAGCGGAGAGCAGCAGCAATGACTCCCTGATAGGGCTGGGTGATATGGCCTCAAATCAGTATCACGATATATTGAGCAGTTCACCTCGATAACGATAAATGGACGATAACTACTCCACAAGCTGCTCACCCCCTCCCACATTAACTTTGTCTACTTAAGCCGCTACAACTTTTGAACCGGCCTGCCTGAACTAACACTGTGCTCAATCTTTGGCCTTTTAGTCTGAATCTAGAGAATAACAGCCAAGATGTGTGAGGACTCACCCTCCACAGTCAGTGAAACAGTTGATGCAGTGTTTGTTGGATGTGTCCCACAGTCGGACAGTGCGGTCGTCCCCACAGGAAGCTATCAGGCGGCCATCTGGAGAGAACCTTCATTAAGAAAGGAGAAGACAACACAAGCTTGTTAAAACAAAGAGAAGATGTATTTTTCTTTTCTCAGAAGTAACTCTCAACTTTTCTCTGACTAACTTGGTTTGAGGATACTGATTTTTAATTTGATTATATCTGGAAAGATCTTTAAAATAGACAAAGACCTCACTTTTGAAGGTTTAGATCCACACATTCAGTCACACACACACACTCAAACATTAGAAATAACACAGCGTACCTGGCACAGCGCACCCAGTTGGTGTGCTGGGTCAGAGAGTAGATGAAGCACTGCCTCTGAACGCTCCACACTTTGACAGACTTGTCGTCAGAGGCTGTCACCAGCCTGTGTCCATCGTGGGAGAAGGCAACACTTCTGACAGCAGCTGTGTGAGCTTTGAACACCGTGGACTCTCCTTTCCTGTGATACACAGACGCATCAAAACACATGATTTAAAACCAGACCTCCAACAGTCCTCAGATACTATCAGGTCAAGAAAGAGGTCTGGAATAGAGCAGCGAAAACACCTACATTGAAGGTGTCCACAGTCTGACCGTTCTGTCTTTGGAGGAGGAGGCCACCAGGTTTCCAAAGGGAGAGAACTGCACCGACGTGATGACATCTTGGTGGCCGACATAGCGGAAAGCCCTCGCCTTTGGAGCCAGATTCCAGATCATGAGACTCTTATCAGCTGACCCAGAGGCTGCAGGGTGACAAAAGTAGGAAACATTGAGAAAATTCAGCACTGCAAGAGGAAATTTTTACTTATTACTAAGATTTATGGGCATCAAATGTAGGCTCAATAAGGCTTCCCTGAGATGGTCCCTTATTCAATCTCTGCAAAGTATGGGTGCGTGCAAAAGAGGATGACATTTATCTTGTATATAAAACAATTTTTTTTTCAAAATCAGACACTGGAATGAATGCATTTGTTCTTTTTCAGTAGCAGTTAAAATTCTCATTGTTAGAACTGTTGTGGCCGAGTGACAAAAAGCAGGTCAAGATGTTAAATGGAAGTATCAAAGCAGCTCTAGTAAAGTGAGCATGATTATAACCAAACATGCCACGGTCATTTTCTGTTTATGAAGTTTGAAAATTAAAGCTGATTATGATTTTTTTTTTAATCAAATTAAATACCCCCAGTGACATTTGTGTCTTAAATGAAAGAACTGAAGTAATGTTTCTAATGTAATATTGGTAAACTATTCCAGCAAGATCTTTTGAATCTGATCAAAACTAGAAAAGTCTGGATGAAGTTTGTCGGCTGACCTTGTTTAGTGAAGATAGATAGACTTGGAAATTGAACTAAAATTCAGTTTGAGGTGATAAGACTTTGGATTGGTTATTTCATGATAATATCAGAAATGTTTCTGTGAATTTAAGCAGAAATTACCCAGTTGTTTGCGGTTTGGATTGAAGTCGGTGCAGGTGACAGCATCCTTATGTCCTTTCAGGTGGCGCTCAAGAGCCGGATCCTCCTGCAATGACGACAGTCAGCCAGGATTCATTCTGATGGCTTTGTTGTAGCTTCACAGGATTTACAATTTAAAGCAGGGCTGGGCGATATGGGAAAAAGTTTAACACGATATATTTTTTTCATATCAGTCGATACCGATATGTATCACGATCAGGAGACCTCAATGTGAGGAGACCTCGTGGCCGGCCCAGGACCAGGTGCCTGGGAATCCCCCCAGAGGAGCTGGTGGAAGTGGCTGGGGTGAGGGCCGTCTGGGCTTCGCTCCTGAAGCTGCTGCCCCCGCGACCCGGACCCAGATGAAGCCGAAGACAACAACGACGACGACTTATGTTGGAACAGCCCTTTTTTACAACAACTAAACCGGGTTTCATGTTACGTCATTTCCCTTCCCGAGCTGGGTTGTAACACCATGTTTTATATTGATATTGAGGGAAATTAATCTTCGATTTATATTGTTTTATCGCCCAGCCCTAATTTAAAGACTAAATTTTTCCTCATGCTGGTGTCTCTTGTTTCACTACTGTCTCTTTAAGGCTTCCTCCAGCACTCCTGAGGCCTCTTCCACTGTTGCCATACTACAAAGCTGTGTTTCCCAAATCAAGATGACAAATTATGAAATACAGCCACACTAAATCTGACCTGTAAAGTTTGGAAAGGGACAAAAATCTCTAAAATTTAAGTTTTCTGTTAATGCCTTCCTTTAAGAGTGTTTGGGAAAAAAAAGTCGGCAGACTAAAGTGTAGTGAAGGATTACTACTGTGTTAGTAAGTAGGGAAAAAGCCCCACAGGACACTGCATTTCTGAGCAGAAACAGAGCTAAACATCTTTATTAACCAAGAAAACAGTCCTCCACTATGTTCCTGACAGCCCCACTACACAAATCCTATTAGTATTTCTGCTGCAGCTAGTAAACTCACCGAGTCTGCCTCCACTAACAGCAGTAATAATGTTATATTAAACACGCTTCAGCTTATGACCCTTCTAAAACGCACTGAGAATGCAAAACTTACCAAAACAGACGCCATTTGGTTGAAAAACAAATGTTGTCAAAGAGAAAGTTGATCCACCCTCCTGCTCTTCACTCTTCCTTCCATGGCTGTCAAACAGTGCGCCTTCTGCAGCTCAGACCTCATCTATCGAACTCAGATAATTCGTGTTTTCCGCGAAAGTCTAAAAGTTACTTTAATCTAATTGTCTCTCAGTACGGTACGGTACAGTACGAGTTGTTTATTTTCATAAAAAGTCCAATGATTGTTGCTAATCTTGAAGCCAGGCAACTATCTGCTTGTGGTTGGATTTTGTGGCAAGAGGAGAGTGGTGTGGGATTCATGAACCAGATAAAAACAAGGAAGTTAGATACCCATAATAGAAATTCGATTCAAAACTGTAAGATATTGTGTTTTGGCGAGATTAAAGTTTGAAATAAATAGCTGGAAATGCAAAAAGTTAGATTAAAGTATCATTGCACACCAATTCAGGCAAAGAGAGAGAAGCTTTATGCTCAATATAGTTGTTATTGGAAGAAAATAACAAATAAACGAATAAAACAGATGAACAATCTTATCTAATTGTCATACGGTATTGAATACTGATCAGAGGTAAAGTGTCGAAGTTTCGATTGTGCCAAAAACGTAATATAAAAATTGTTTAGTGAAATTTCTATTGTTTTTTTATTATACTTTAGAATTTCCGTTGACATTGAATGCATCATATCCTGGAGGAGGCGCGTCTTCCGCTGCTAAGCAACTAACTGTCCATATCATATGAAACCGTTCTGAAGGAGCTGTTGCGCAGTATCAGCGTCTGTCATTGGTCCGCGACACTGCAGTAACCAATCATCACCGAGATTGTTTAACTTGGAGTTTGATGTTATGTATTTTCAGTTTGAAAAAAGATGTCGCTAAACCGGGGTATCGGCAGTGTTGAGGTAAGGCTAATGTAACTCCTCCAGCGGTTATCGTTTCTTTTTTAATACCCGGTTTCTCGTGGTGTTTTGTTTCGATGATAAAATGTAATTTGAATACAGCCTGAGCAAATAAAAACAGATGTAGCAGTTCTTGTAAGCTAGCTCGTTAGCTCCTGTCAGTGTGAAGTTACCATGTCAACGGCAGTGCACCTGTACGAAAACCAACATTATCTAACTCCTCCTGTTTTCAAGCTATCTTGATCATCTTAAACATTTCTTCTCCCGTTTTATAAACTGTCATTCAGTTATTTCAAAACCCTGTTCGTCTGTTTTTCTTGTAGTACATGAAAAAAAGGATCCCGAAAAATGCTAAATATCAACATGTCAAAACAAGACTGGACACCGGTATGCTGATCAAATACAGACAAATGTTTAAAAGTACATAAATAGATACTAAACTCTTCCTCACTGTCACTGTCTTATTGCAGGATGCAGCCTCACCAAGTATATGGAAAGACTGGAGGACATAAAGAAAAGTAAGAATTCTGAGCTGGTATTAAGGGGGGAATTATGAAGGGAAATTCATTATCCAATACCTGACACAGTGCCCATGAAAACAATATTACTACATCACAGTGATTGTAATATTTTAACTAAACTGCAAAACCATGATCTCCACAATGATCAGGGATAATGTCCTAAAAGTGCAGGAGTAATATGATTAGTGCCACCACAAAGATTTATAAAGTCTCAGAGTGAGTTAGTTTGACAGGACATCTCTTTAAAGTCCTTATTAACTCATATTAATAATAATAATGCATCAGATTTCATATATATCGCTTTATCAGAGACCCTCAAAGCGCTTTACATTGGATACATCATTCATTCGCTCACACAGTCACACCTTGGTGGTTGTAAACTACCTAAGTAGTCACAGCTGCCCTGGGGCTGACTGACGGAAACGTGGCTGCCAGTTTGCACACACAACACTCACAATCATACACCAGTGGAGGACACACACTGGGAGCAAGGTTGGTTAAGTGTTCTTGCCCAAGGACACAACGGACAGACTAGGGATAGGGGGGGAATCAAACCGCCGACCTTCCAGTTATTGGACGACCGTGCTACCTCCTGAGCTACTGCCGCCCCGATTAAATAAGTAGCGGTCAATTGTATAAACATAATTAGAGGAAAGGTCAGATGGTGGCCAATAGGTGATACAAGTGTTAAATGTTGTTATTAATCTTCTGCATTTGTTAAAATAAAACAAAAATCTTATAATAACCAGTGAGAAAGAACATTGCTGAACTTTAATGAACATTTTATCACATAAACGAGAACATAAAGATATTTGTAAGGCAAATATTTGGGTTAAAAACATCAGAGTCATATACAATCACATTAGTCCATGCATTTCAGCTACAGGACTGATATTTGTCGAATCTTCATGCCACACTGACAAGGCTGCCTGCAGTGGCTGTAGACAATGTTTGAAACTTCCTTTCATGAGCACAGGAAGTATCAGGGTTTTTTTTTTTTTTACCCCTTTGGAGGCTTTACCACTGACCACAATATCATCACAAAAAAACTGCCCAAATAGCCTGATCCAGGTGTATAAATGTTACCTTTATCTCGCTGGGAGTGTGGAAACAGAGACCGGTTTAATTTTTTTTATATCTTAAATAGAGGTGATGAATATGCAAAATACTCAAGTGATTACATGCACATCTGCAAGAAATAGAAGATCAAATACTCTTACAGTCCTAAGACCAGTACCTACACAAAGGTTGCAAATGAAAGACTTCCTTCAAGTGCCTGGGTTTAACTTCCTTTTCTCCTTTTTGCAGATTATAGATACAGAAATGATGAAATCTTTAAGCGGTTAAAGGTGACAACATTTGCACAGTTGGTAAGCATTTATGTTTCGTTTCAGTCGTGTGTCAAAACAGAAACTCAGAAAAAACTAAATACATTAAAAAAAAAAACTCAGTATTGTCGGACAAATGATGTGATGAGCTCTGGACATAAGTCCTGAATCATTTATTCAGTATCCTTACATTCAATTCCAGGATACTTTTTTTCACACTTTCACTCGCAGATTGTCCCTTTTTTCTGAGATGAAGCACTTTTGGTTCCTTTTCTGCTCTAGATACTTCAAGTAGCCTCCATATCAGAGCTGACTGAAAGTGAGAATGACGCTGAATCACACGTACCAGAAGGTAACACAGCTAAAGCCAAACTAATTGATGTCTGTCTTGCATTATCATCATCGTCACATTACTGAACACACTGAAATGTGCATCATTTGCTTTGGACGAAAATTTGTTAATGACAGCCCGTTTGTTTACAGACGGTGTGTCAGTCGTATCTGATGCAGATCTGGAGTGTCCATCTGAACACATCAACGGCTCCACTCAGGGGTCACCGCCTCCAGATCACCAGGGTGCAGGAGACAGCAAGGACATCTGCCACACTGCCAGGTCAACGTTACTGAGGTAATGTACAGCTCAGTTCTCTGTAAAGCTGCACTCTACAGCCCCTCCTGTACAACATCCCACACACTCTACCTTTTCCCGCCTGTTACCCCAAACCTACCATCAAATCCTTTCAGAGCAAACTGTGCTTCTATTTCTTGTCCCTTGAGACATCTGCCCGTCCCACGCCCCTGAACTCCTCATAATAACCCACTCGGTTTATTCGCAGCGTCTCCTCCTCACACCTGCGTCCTCTCCGCTTCAACTTGAACATGAACCCCAGGAGTGTAACTCTACCTCTGGCCTCTCCAGGGAGGGCACAGACTGGGCCTCTAATGACAGATTGTGAGGTTACCCTCACCTTAGATTGGAAGAGAAAGTAGGGCGAGGGGAAAGTGGTCTGTAGTCTGGCTCAGCTCCAAATGGACTTAAGTTGCCCAAAATCATTAATGGATGAAAGGCAAATAACATCATTTAAATGGTTGTTATTGTGTGCAAATAGATGAAGAGAAATCTGGACTGTGAGGGATAAAAAAGAAGAAAAAGAAGCACAAAAAAAGAATCCTGTTTTTATGAAAACTAATGCAGCCTGTTGTCTTCTCCCCCTTCAGTGTTATTAGTGGTGTAGGAGAGCTGAGCCTCGACAAAAACAACCAGAAGAAGGAGAATGACTCACCCCTGAGCCCTGAGCCAGCTGACAGGCCTTACCCAGACTGCCCCTACCTACTGCTGGACGTACGGGACCGCGACCTGTATGACCGCTGCCACATCATCAGCGGTTTGTGCAAAAACATGAAGAACATTTCGCTCCTGTTGCTCATGATATAAACGTAACTTTCATTCGTCTCTTTCTCCTTTAGCGCAAAGTTTCCCCATCGCAATGCTTTCTCGAACCATGAAACCCTACACAAGAGACGTGCAGGAATATGTATCCTTCTGCACCAAACGTTTACCTGTCTGCTTTCAGTGGTGCCACAGCTGTTTTTGAAAGTGTCTGGACTTAACCCATAAACTGTGCAGAAAAATGCAGAAGGGAAGATCATCATCGTGTACGACGAGGACGAGAGAATAGCCAGTCAGGCAGCCACCACCATGTGTGAGCGAGGGATTGACAATCTCTTCATGCTGTCCGGAGGTAAAGTAAAGTTTGCTTGTTGAGAGTCTGTTTTTTCTTAAGGATATATTTAGCTAACATTTGGCCGTACTTTGACTGGCAATAGAGGTCTGCTTTTTCTTTAAACTGACTGAGTTCTCCAGGAAAAACAATGTTGATGTACAAATCCCATCTAAAGCTATATGTCCTCTTTTACCCAGACAAGTCCTCTTTTTGGGGGGCTGCCTGGCCTTGTCCAGGGGAGTTTATAAAATCCTTCAAATGTCCGGGTTTTGGTATGGAAGTTTTGAGTTTGTGTCGCGTGGACCTACTGAGTTAGAACCACGTAAAAAACACTCAACCCAACCTGAAAAACTCTCTAAATTTACTACGCGTGACTTCGTGACGCCATGTCCTCTTTTTTGGGATTCAGAATATGGTCACCCTAATTCAATGCAAAACAAACTTTAATCAGCTCTTGTTTCAACCAATTGTCAATAGATTGATTAACATTCCTATCCCACGTCTTTTGCTTCTTTGCTGCCCTCTTCTAGGTCTCAAGGTAATCGCTCAGAAATTTCCAGAAGGCATGACGACGGGTTCCATCCCAGCATCCTGCCTGTCCCCTCCGACGTCATCGCGCAGGAAAAAGAGCACGGTGCAGCCGCAGCAGCCTGCGCAGGCGGCAGAGAAGAGATGGAGGTTTACATCGGATGAACTCACAAAGATCCAGGAGCAGCTGGAGGAGATTCTCATCCCCAGCAACTCCAGCAGTAAGAGAACATTTTGAAGAATGCAGATCCCAGTATTTAATGAGAGTGTTGGTTTATTTGTGTAAAATATTGTTTGCAAACAGTCCTTAAATTAAAAAAAAAATGAAAAAAAACATGCTTTGGCTCATATGACGTATGATATCATATATTGTTTGTCTTCACCACAGGCCGTATGTCCAGCCGCTTGTCCTCCAGCAGCTCCCAGTCGAAAGCCTCCAGCGCTCAGAGTCGACAGAGCTCCTGTGCGTCTGGAAGAGACAGCTCCAGGGTTCAGAGCAGCAGACCCTGGAAATAACCCCCATCATCTTCCCCCAGTTCTCATGAATTACACACATCTAAACATACAAACATACCTCCGATGAAAAAAAGTCCATATATATTTCAGGTTACAACACTCTCTAACTGAATATAATCCTCCATCGGACTGCTGCAGAATCACAACATGACGCTCTTTTTCCTCTCTGGAGTTGAAGGTCAGACTGACGCAGTTTCAGTTTTCATTTTCATTTCAGATATTATAAACAGTGTGTGTTTGAATGTTTGCACAGTGCCTCATCTGAGAACCTAAGAGGTGATAGATCTATTTGCACTCTTTAATAACACTAATCTCATTCATGCTTTCCACCTGCCAACGACCCTGGAGAAATAAACGCTCACTTTATTGTAATTTTCCCCTTCCATATCAAGTCCTGAAACAATCTTTAACCCGGTGGCATTCCCTAAAGACTGGCATTTCTTTAGCTACGGTTAAAGACTGAATGACTGTATGTTTTTATGACATGAAGGATATGCATGAGATGTAATTTAAGGGACTAATGAGCTCAGTCTGTCTTATATAAGGAAAAGCTGTACTGTATTTTCATGATGTCGAACTGTGATGCCTGAACTGAGAGTGCACCGTCAGCCTTTACGTGCTGCTCTTCTGGTCCACTTATGCTGTAATTTGTGTGTGTGTGTGTGTGTGTGTGTGTGTGTGTGTGTGTGTGTGTGTGTGTGTGTGTGTGTGTGTGTGTGTGTGTGTGTGTGTGTGTGTGTGTGTGTGTGTGTGTGTGGACTTATTGAAGCCTTTACACAGACTATGATGAGTTTTCCTGAAGGAAGGGGACAGTGGCATTTTGTTATTTCTGTTACAAAAACGATAAAACAGCACTTGATCAGCAGTGGTTGCATTCTTCAAACAGTATTGTTGATTTGTGGCCTTTTTGTTTTTTAGCGTGGTTGCAGTTTGTTGCATGGTTCACGGCCAACTTTCTCGTAGTCTTCAGAAGTGCATATAATGGACTCATCCGCAGGCCTTGATTGTGACTTGTTTTCACCATCAGTCTTAGCTCGAACTAATAATCTGATCAGATGATTTTGTTTTGTAAATGAATGTCAAATAAAGAGCTCGGTTGTTTGCTGTATCTTGGGTTCTCATCTTAGCTAGAGGAGCGTAACGTCCAAACAAACTGAAATGTTTTCAAATTAAACTAATTTCATCTGTTGTGTCGGTAAAAAAGTTAAACTGTGTAATTCTTTACGACATGACAGAGTTTATTTTGAAAACAAGAAGGTAACTGATTCTAGATTAGAGATGCTGTCATTAAGGATAGAAAACATCACTTAAGAAAGGTCATTGTGGCCAAAGCCGGAAAATACAATTAATTGATTAAGCTCTAATTTTAAGACAATTTGAATGGGAAGCTCTAAGATTAAAATCTCTTTCTGGGGGGATGTCCAGTTACAAAATCTGCAAAATAGATCAGACTCAATAAAGAGAAAAGACCATTTCTCCTGTTTGCTCTTGTGATTAACCTTGAGTTTCTGTGGTGCGACTTAACGATCAAACAATATTAGTGACAAACTAACTAGCTTCAGGGTATGGTTTAGAACAGACTCGGCACCTCCAAGTCCCACTCCGATCATTTATTTTTACTACTTAAAGTGTTCTCAGCAGATTTTAAATTGTGATGATGAAGTTTTTAGTCAAAATCACATTACTTTTGTCACTTTTAAGGACTTTTCTTCTGCAGAGCTCTAGTCGCTCATTAGCAATTCGCCTCTGAGTCGTGGGCGGAGACACCACTGCTCTGCACACTTCTCTTCATGCTAGCTTGTAGCCTAACATTGCCAGTGTAGTAAGAAGTGGCAGGTAACATAGGAGCTAATCAGCTCTCGGACATTAATGTCTTTAGGAACATGATTAAAGTTGATAGCATAATTAGCTTTCTTAAGAGCATTGCAATCCGCTAACGCATACACTTGTTCCGCAATCGTCCTCTGTATTATGTCTCTATATGCAGAGTGTGGCCTGCATAGCGCGGCTCCAGGGGCGGACATCTTACTGTTTCTGAACCTGCCATCTAGGGTCTATTAGAGATTCACAAAGATTTGAATGAAGGAATACTCTGAAAAGCAATTTTGCATTTAGTGTTCTCATGATATGTCCTGTAGCATCAGAAAAAAAGTCACATGAACATGTAGACAACAAGAAAAACATGATTTTCATCGGAGAGGGTCTTTTAACTCTAAAGTTAAAAACACATTTGTCCTTGTCCTTTTGCATTTCAACTCATTATCCATCCTATAGCATTGTTTTGTTGGCCTATAATCTTGAAAAAAGCTTCTATAAGAGGGTTTTTAATTGGCTCCTGTGGTGATGTAATAACAGGAGTCACAACCATATGCTTGCATGCGAGTGATTAATCTTCCTCTTACTCTGTTATTGTTTGCTTTGGTTTTGCTGTCAGGATGTTAAAGGTCAGATTCAAACATGCCAACTGTTTCTAAAAGTGGATAAATTTCACTGATAATATTCCTGGAAATTTGGCGTATACAGGGTAGTAATTCAGGAAATGTGTAAATGTGGGTCTAATATTCAGAGAAAATTCTTTAAAATATAAAGAAACAGACGAGGACATGAACCAAAGTACTTGTTTATTTGTCTGTTTGTGGTATGTCCAATCAGCAATGATGATGATGATGATGATGATGATGATGATGATGAAGAAGGTGGTATTAGATTATAAGAAAAGATTTTGCAGGTGGGATTACCCATCCTCTCTCACACGCACACAGATTAATAGGGGTTCTGGTAGGTGTGGTTCATGATGGCCATCAGAGCCAGCCAGGTCTCGGTGGCGGTGGGGACGATCTGCTTGGCTGGCAGGAGGAAGCCGTAGCGGCCGGTATCCCTCAGCTCGAAGGTGTAGGAGTACTTGATGCCCTGGTCGTAGGTCCAGTCAACAGTGCTGCCGCTAGCCTGGTCTGTAAATCAAAGAGGAAACTCTCAGGGTTGTTTGTATAAAACATGAGTTTACATGTGTGAAGAAGGAAGATTCAGTCAGTTAATCTACAGGGGGGTCTTTTTTGATTGGTCCTTAATCTGATCTGAATGACTTATGTTAGAATCGATAATATTTGGAGTTTAAATATAAAAATGAAATTATAATAAGAAAGGAGAAAGTTTGTGGGTTAGCTATCAAATCCTGTATTCGTATATATATGATGGCCCTAAATAGGCCTACAAAACTGATGCCAATGAAGAATTGACTCAAAACTTTTCTTTTTAGCACAACTTTTAGTCCCTCCTCATGGATTCTTTTTTTGCTTTTACTCTTTTAATGAGATTTTTCTCTTGTTTTTAACCAACAACCTGTTTTTATATTCCTTTACTGTGAAATTTCTTTGCTTTTAAGATGTAGCCCTTTGAGGTCTTTAGATGTAAAGGGCACTAAAAATAAAATGTACTATTGTTATGATTAATAATAATTGGCCTCATCCTGCATTCTGATTATTCACCAGCAGGGGGAAACCCTACTGATAACACCCCAATTTTTATCTGAAAATAGTGCAAAGACAGTAGATTTGGGGAATAATTCGAACACATACAGTGATTTAGACTACAGAGTCATCCCTGTTTTGATCCAGTGCCTAAAGATCACCATCCAGTATTGTTTAACCCTGTCCCTTTTACACAGATAATCCTCCTTCTATGGTTTTCTGTAATGATTATGATAAAATGCCCAAATTCTTAGTAATCCACCAGTGACTCCACATGAACCGATGTTTGTGATATAGATAAATAGAAATCTATTCAGCTTTTTAGGTTTAAATCGAGATTGTCATTCTGTATCAGCAGTGAAAATGGAATTATAAGTAGAGAGAATAATATTTCTTGGTGTGAAAGTGGAAAAAAGAGACAATATTGTGAGTAAACTGAGTCAAACTTACAGATGGTGTTGATGATGCTGCCGTATCTGTAGCGAGTTCCATACAGAGTGGCAAGGTCAGTGATGGCCTTCTTAGCCAAGCTGTGCTGTAAGAGACCACAAACATCACAATATGTTATTTATCTTCATTACAATTGAAACTCTACTATATTGATAAGTCTGGATTGCTTTTTACCAGCTCAGCCTGGTGCTTGGCGGGAGTCTTGGTGTAGCCGTAGGGGTACAGGAGCATCTGGGAGTAGGCGTGGATGGAGATGAAGGCCTTGATGTTACCGTGGGCCTTCACAAAGTCCACAATAGACTTGACCTCAGACTCAGAGTGAGCTCTGGGTCCACGGAAAGTCTCTGAGCAGGGGTTGTTACTGGCACCGGGTGCTACAGGTGGGCGATGAGAGTGTCAGTGAAAGTGCAAGAGCAGAGAAGCCACAGTTTGTCCATAAATATCATTTCATCACGGTTAAAATGTACCCAAAAAAATAAGAGACAAAAAAGTGCAAAGTTGAGTCCTGTGTATGAGAATTGATTATCAGGATTTTGGCACCATCTAGTGGTGATATTGTTAATGATATCAGGGGACAGGAGTAGCCAATAGGTTTGAAGAGTGAAAATAAAAGTACTTCTAACCCACGCAGTTATGTCAAAAACACAACAGTTGTTTGGCAGTTAGACAATGTGTTTTCAGAGTTACATTTCCTCATCAAATTTCAGCGACAGTAAGAATAAATACCTCCAAAACCAGCGTCCCAGTTCCTGTTGGGATCAACTCCAACACAGCTGGAGCCGGGGTTGGGCTTCCTGGTCTTACGCCACATACGGTTCTGGAAATATCAGAGAAAGTCATCACAATTTGTCAAACTAATGTTAAAGGTGGTTTCTCTAAATGAAAGAAACACATTTATATTTTTTCATGTTGTCTGAGCAGCTCCTAAAAGGCTTTAGTAAACTATCAACTTTTGAAAAAGTATCAAAGTTTACCAAAGTTTTGTAGAAGATCGGAAGATTTACAAGTTTTAATGCTGGAGCCCGAGAAATATCAACACTCAAATACATATATAGCCTATCTTATGTATCTTATCTTAACTTTTAATTTTTTCATCCTTTAATTCCTCTTTTGTATTTATCACTGCTGTACTCACGCTGTTGTGGGTGTAGTGAAAACCATCAGGATTGGTCACAATCTCCAGGAAGATGTCCATGTTGTTGAGGATGGCGGTGAGAGCAGGGTCAGTTCCGTAATCGGTCACAATCTACACGTGAAAATTTTAAAACTCCATTATTTAGTGCTCAGAAACTGCAAAGACTGTGAGATAGAAACAAAAGCCGAACTTGAGTTTCAACACGTCACCTTCTTGGCGAACCAGGTCCCGCTGGCCTGAGTGACCCACTCTCTGGAGTGGATACCAGTGTCGATCCAGATGGCGGGACGGTTGGTTCCTCCAGTGCTGAACTGTGACACAGGAGAGACACAGAAAAATCACATAAATCCCAAACTATTAAAGGAAATATGAGTGGACATACTTTTAATAAACTGCTCGTTATGTTTACCTTGAGCACATTCAGGGGACGACCCTGGTAACTCTGACCAATCACAATCTTGCTGACTAAGTTGGGGTTCTCAGCCACCAGCATGTCCTGGAAATTGTAGATCTAAGCAGGAGACAAAACAGCTCTTTATCAACATATTGACATCATTTAAGACGTGATGTAATGTGAATAAAAAAAATGTTGGCGTAGACAGGGTGAGTTAAGTGCTGACCTCGTCGATGCTGTGGTAGTTGGAGTAGTCAAAGCTGTCTGTGTTCCTGGGCTGAGCAGCACGAGCAGCAGACTGCATCTCCTCCTTCTCCTCATCCAGCATAGCCTAAAGAGGAGAAAATAAATCACTCATATCACAAAATAAGGTCAACATTTGGCTGAAACTTCTGCAAATTTTGGTGCGTTTCTGAGTCACAGAATCCAGACTTTGTCTCCGTCTCTTACCTGCAGGTCTTTGATCATGATAGAGTACTTGATCTCCTGAGTCTCCAGGTAAATTTTGACGGACTGCAGGCTTTCAAAGGGAACTCTGATGTCCACAGGAGTGTCAACATCGCTCACACCTCTCCACATGTCCAGCTAAAAGAAAACACAGATATCGTACAAACGTCAGAGCGAGTCTGACTCTCTTTTCATTTGTGTTAATTTGCTGTTGTTCATAGGTGTTGTTATGAATTTACCTCAAGCTCGACCATGTCCTCCAGCTCCTTGATAACAGCCAGCTGGGATTCATCCTTTGCCAGGATGCGGAGCACCTGATGCCTGTAATAAGACCACAATGTTGTTTCACATCCTTTTACACAACCCAAAAGAGAGATTGGTACACATACTGTGAGGTAAGACTATTGTTTGCCTATTCTAGCTGGTAAACTACTCATAATAAAACAAAACACACCATTCAATCTGAAAGTGGAGTTATCACCGATTAGCCCATTTGAAGCAGTTTATTCAAGCAAGCATCACTGAGCAAAAGCAGGAAAATGTAATTAAAGTCAGTACTTTGAAATTCAACATTATTGAACATTTATACACGCATATATTTAGAAGTAGAGTACACACAGTGAGAGGCCCCTGGGAGCCCGCTTACCCCTCAAAGGTGTCCTTGCCGAGAACGGCCACAAACAGTGCGGTGAGTGCGAGCAGCCCCCTCATCATGACCAACAGAGTCAACCTGTCAGAGCGGAAAACATGCTTTTATAACTGAGCACGAAAGGTCATGTGACCAAAACCACAACCTTACTTAAGGTGAGGGCGTCAGACTCAGCAGCTGGTGCTGTACCCACGCAGGGCCAGAGGTTGCACCATGCGCTTGTGTGTTTTTGACTCTTTGTGTTCTTGTAGAAAGAAAAAATAAGCTGTCCAAGGTGAGGTAGGTTTGTTTAGCTTTTTTCTTTCTTAAGATTAGCATGAAAAAGTTTAAATTAAAAACTTCACAGATAAAAATGTGTGCATGTACATGGATGTGTACTGTTTTTGTTGTTTTGCAGACAGTGTGTACTCACAGCTCAGAGCCTCTTCCTCCAGCTTTCTTAACATTACAAAAGGTGTGCCACAAGGTTCTGTCTTAGGACCCACACTCTTTCCTTTTGATCTTAACAATGTGGGTCCAAATATAGATTTATCATATACTAAAGATGTTAATTTGGCCTGTTGATGAAATATTTGTAAAACGATTTGACTCTAAAGGCCAGAAAGGTAAAAAATGTTTTGTACCTAACAAGTTTCAGCTACCTTGCCTCTGCAGCCTTCATCAGCGGTGTTGGTGTGTCATTGTCTGTGATGAGTTATTTGGGTTTTGCCATCCCACCTGAGATGGTAGGATGGTGGTGTCCCCCGGCATGGGTCACCAACATCATGTGACAGCTCTGATGAAGGCTGCAGAGGCAAAGTAGCCGAAACTTGTTAGGTACAAAACATTTTTTTACCTCTCTGGCCTGTATAGACAAACTGTTTTATAAATGTAGATTCATCACTTCATCTCTATGCAGATGATACTCTTATTTATTGTTGTGAAAGACTAGGACTCCTCAGACTAGGACTAAATGCAAACAAAACCAAGGCTATGATGTTTTCCTGCTGCAGACAATACTTGTATTGAATGGTTGTTTACAAAAACCTCGGCATCACTATCAATAGAAGTCTTTCTACCAAACCTCACACTGAACGGCTTTTGAAAAAACAAAATTAAGATTGGATTTCTTCTACAGAAATAAATAATGTTTCTGAAAAGGTTGCTTCTGGACTGGATATGCTACTGCCAGAGTTAGATAGATGTCAGAATTCAGTACATGACAAAACTAGCCAACTTTCATGACTGAATGAGCTATCCAACAAAAAGAGGTACCATGGGCCAGGATAGATCTGTAATGGACTCAATAGAGCAACGGTTCCCACAAAGTACCCATTATAGCCTAAAAAAACTGTAAAAGCTAGAGCTAAAAGAGTGCTCTGTGTTGGGGTGTTGCGATTAAAGCAGAAAACCTGAGTTCAGTTTCAGTATGTGGCTCCTCTCCCTTATGTCACTCCCCACACTCGTTCTCTTTCTCTTCCCATTTTCCCAAATAAAGGCATTAAAATTCAAAGATATAAGAAGAACTCAAAGATTTTGTCAACTCTGCTTTACAAGACCCAGTTGAGTTAATTTTCTGTTGCTTTTTTTCCTCCCTCTCTCTTTTCATTCCCATATCATGTACATTAGATCATGTATACAGTCAGTAGGTTGCAAGTGCTGGTCTTTATTCTGTTCACAGCTCATGGGGAAATCTCCTCAGGAAGCTGCGGCCCTCATCTGTTTGTTTCAGCTTCCTCTTTGTTACAGTTGAGGCCAGAATTAGCAACGAGCTACATTTAAACCAGCTGCTGGGTTACAGAGTAAGTACTGTGAACATGTCAACAGGAACACAGCAGATAGGAGGCCACTTCAGATATCAGGGTGCAAGAATTCACATCTGGAGCTTTCACAGGGTTTGACTGCAGAGCGAGATATCCACCAAAACCTGTGATACCAGTGCTAAAGCAGGAACACACACTCAGAGCTAACATGAACAGCTAAGTTTGCCTCCTGTAACACAGACATTAGACGTAATTTTCCACATATTTTAACAAAACATTGAAATTATAATTCCTCTTTATGAAACGCCGATCACAAATGTAAGAATTAACTCTACCAAAGCAAGTTCACATCACAGATAGATATTGATATTTGACATTACTCACTAAATCAATGTCTCTCTGCTGTTCAGTCTCCAGAAACTGCAGGTTTTTGTTATGTAACCCGGCTGATAAGAGCTTTGCAAAGGGAAAAGTAAAGAGACAGAGTCAAGTGTGGAAAACACCTGTTGGAGAGTTTCCGATTCACAGTGACTTACAGCAAAACGAGTGACGTTTTCATCCCCATCCATGCGGCCTGCTGGAGCGTCTTCGAGAAAGACACGGAGTTCCTACTCGCTTGTTTTAGGTGTTGATAAAGTGCATGAAACACAGATATGTCTGAGTGATGCTCTGGCCACAGTGAAGCAGCATATTAATAGGTGCGAGACGAGGACTTCCTTATTTTACTCTTCTGCTGAAAGATGAGTCGAGAAATAATCACCATGAGTTTAACAGAAATACAAGAAAACTCAGACATAAATAAAGACTTGAGATACATTTTTAATTCCCCCTGTCTGTGCTGATACGAGTGTTTGCAATAAGCAATGGTGGCTAATATGACCCAGCCTTAGAGTGACCACAGTTATGCTTTAGAGCTGCAAACCACAACTCAACCGGATGGGGAAACATCTCTGAGAATTTAGTAACCACTCTGGAAAGAATTTGATTGAGTTGTTTTTGTTGTTATGCACTAAAAAGGTTATTAATAATAGAAGCATTAAACCATGTGAAATCACCCATTTAAACAAACTGCATGCATGGTGAAGAGCAAGTTACTAAATCACACACTGTCAGCTTGTCTTTAAAATAGTCCTCAAACTTCAGTGGTGTTTTTTTTTATATATATATGTATTTCTATTGTTTATATTTTTTGTCGTTGTCAGAAGTTCTGTAAAATGAAGACAAGATTGCAGGAAAGATGATACCCATAAAAACAAGTGAGTTTTTCAGGTCTGGTCTTGGCTGCCACCTACAGACAAGAGCAAACAGAGAGATGGATGCAAAAGGAAAAATCCAGTATCATCTGCCAAGTTGTACCTATAATTTAAAATCAATACTTAATATTTAATATATATTTTTAAATTTCAAACCAAACAAAATGATATCTCACATACAACATAACAAGAAAATCCACAAGACACCATATAACCATATAGCAAACAGGCACGAGCAAAAACAACAAACACTAATAACAACAAACATGGTTTGAAAAGGGGGTGGAAGAAGCAAAGCTTATATATTTCCAACCCCAGGCAACACAAATACCACGTTTATACAAAAAAACCCACAAAGTCACTCTCTGAACCCTTCATCCCCACAATCATCTCATCAGTTTACACCATCACTGTGGCGTGGTCATTGCTAGTAAAGCCATTTTTTCCCTCTGCACAGTCACAGGAAGTGACACCAGTGCCTGTCTTCCTCTTAAAGAAGAGACTTTCTGCACATTAAAATCCCTGTGTCATGATATCACGCAGCTGCACCGCACATGTGGAGGTTGTGATGAGTTTTGTTTTCTGCAGGAGAAATGACGCCACCTCTCCTAATGAGGGGAACAGCTGTGTGACATTTTCAGAGGATGTTAGGAAGATGTTTAGAGGATATAAAACTTCAAAGTGAGGATAAAAACAACCTCAACATCACAGTTTCATCATGACAGACAACCTCATCTGAGCTGTCAGGGTGTTTCTGTGTTGTTTCCTGTGAAAAGGCCAGCAGCAGTTCACAGGGGAAGTTACAAACCGCATTGTTTCCTGTCACTGAGCCCATGAGTTGCTTTTTGAAGTGCTGTATATCACAGATAGATGACTATTTGACTTGAAAAAATAAAAATTAAAAAATCCAAACAGCTGTGGTGTTTTGTGTCTCTATGTGTGTCAAACTCCCATTCCCTCAGCCTGTATGTGCCTGTAAACAGAGGCGTTTGAAACATGGACAAATATCAACAGATTCACAGCACTAATACAGAAAATTTCGTCTCATTTCAGCCTCTAAAAAACCCCAAAATATATATAAAGAACTTTTGCAGAAATAACACATTAACCGCATCGACTACAGCAGGTTGAATGTGTCAAAACACAGTCACATCCTTTGTTATGACAAGAACACGCCCATGCTACTCTTTGATTGGTCATCCTGCGCAACACAGCCCGTATTCTCTATTCTTATTGGTCGACATGAGAGTCTATCAAAGCGGAGGGGCCGCCTCGAAAATCAATGAAAAGTAGACGGGACCTCCAGAGTGAAAGCAACGTCAAGCTAGAAAGAAAAACGCAAAAACTTACCGGATATCAGGTTCATATGATCTACAAAATAAAAGACATCAACCGTTACTGCTACAATACGTCTACCTGACTTTTGACACTTGTTCGAGAAAATAAAACAAAGAAAATAAGATCTGTCATGTCTATCCGGTCCTGTCCTTTTCTGGTTTAGGCTGCTAACGAAAGAAACTGATATGCGATGTCAGATTGATATGTTTTGCTATTTCAAACATTTTGACCGATCGTGAGTCATTTGTCTTGTTTGAAAAAAAAGAAAACAAAAGAAAATATTGATTAGATATTGATTTGGAAATCCAATTATGATACACTTTGACCATTCTTTGATTTCGGATAGAAGTCAACTTTGCCTTATATTTCTCTTTTCTTTTTGCTTGACTTTTTGCTTTTGTATCTACCACCATCTAAACCAATGTTCCATGTTGGTGGTATTTTATTTTGAAGGGTCTAACCGGAAACCACTCTCTGTACATCGTTGAGCCTGACGTTGTGCGGAGCAGGACCTCCAAAGAGTGAACCGTAAAGGAACCTGCCCGCTCTCGCTTTTTCCTCCTTTTTTATCCGTTTCTGGGTTTGACAGATTTTAAACCTGCGGCATTTCTGTTCGCTTTGTCTGGACCGTAAAACTCCCCCTGACAGACCCAAAAATGGAGATAGAGCGGGAATTAAAAAAGGTAAGTTTTCCTCCTAGTGTAAGCTAGTCCGTATCGCAGACTGACCCGGGAACGCCCTGGAAAGGTGTGCTGAACCCGGGGCAGGTGGAGAGAAAAGTTACGACATCCCAGACAGACTTTTCCGCTACTTTCCTGCATTTACTGTCATTCATTTATTGTGTATTTTGCTTTGATCAACCTCGTATCTTTTTGTTTTTTCTTTACTTTCCTTTTCGGCTCAGAACCAGCGATATGAACGCAACGCCGAACTCCGTTTGTATTGTAAACAAAATACTTTTAGCCTTCATTGAACAAGAGCAGCCAACTCTGTAACTAATTTGCAGTAATGAACAAGAACATAAAAGAGTAGTGCAAACTTCGGCGTCAATATTCTGCATAAAATAGTGGTAATATTTTACAATATTGAACTTTTAGAAGTAGTGCGCACTGAACTCTGCTGTCAACAATTCTTGTTCTCGCACTTAAATGTCGTGATGTTTAAAGTTTAATCTACCTGTTTCAGAAAAGCCAGGCGTTATTCTGGTAATTTTACAAACGCCGAATTTTAAAACTTCTCTTATTGCAGCATATTTGCGATAAAGTTATGTTATTGTTTAAAGTATTATGGCATTTTAGCGAAATGATGTTAAACGTGGAGAGATCTCAAAGAGGTTCTGACAAACAAAAGAGGAGGCGGTTACAAATGTTCAAGGGGTTTTTTAAACATTGCAGTGCTAACTACTTACACATGGTTTACATGAAGAATAGAGAGGGACGTTTGTATAGCTGTTTGTTCATACAAGACAAGAGTTAAGTTAGATGTACATCATTGCAGGGCATGTGCTGCATTCATTGCATTCCCTCTGGTCAGTCAATTTACAACCCCTGGATGAATTTCTTTTGCAATGTTAAAGGTTATAAAAATAGTGCATTGCAACAGCTAACCATTATAATTAACATGTATTGGTAGCATGGTGAGCACACTTATGTCTTTGTTGCCCAGGCACAGATTTTTGTTTGATAGAAATGTGGGAATTCACCAGCCTGCACCACTTGTACAGTGTATCACCATCATTACTTCAGCTCCATTAAAGCACACCAAACACAATGATACAGTCTGGATAGTAAGCTGCTGTATTAAAGTGGTTCTGAGCAGCTGAGTGACCCAGACAGGCTCACTCTGACATCTGCTCTTAATCCCCGGGGGAGATGAATCACCAGCGGCTGCTGCAGGTCTTGAGGAGTTTTTGGTCGGTGAGAGGTAACTGTAATTCCAGCCGATCTTGAACTGTGTGTTTAGGTTATATTATGCTTAATTAATCTCACACAGTCTCCTACAATGAAAGGAATAACTGAAGTAATGAGTTATGACAGTCAGCACACTGCGTACAGGCTGGTGGATCGTCTGTAATCAGGATAATTCTGCTCACTTTCAGATGTTTCTGGTGATCTGACTCTGAGGCTCTGACCTCATTTTGAGTCATGGTTTTCTCTTAAACACTTAACTGGTTGTTGAAGTCAACATGGGCAATAATTCTGAGGAAAACTACACAGCAGAGAAGAGTGACATAATCTGAGTTCACAGGAATACTGTTGCCAAATGAACGAGCAAGAAAGAAAACGGTCTACAATTTAGCAGACAGAAAAAAGAGAGAAATTAAAGGTGACAGCTTTGATTTAGGGATTCCCTCATCCTCAGTCTGTCTGTCTAGCAAAATTGGCTCATATAGTCACATAGTAAAGGTCAAGGATCACAATAACTTGAACGCTTATTCAACTCCAACTGGGAATATCTTTAAAGTTGGTAGAAACGTCCACTTAAAGTCAAAGATTAAAGGTCCTTATACACCAGGGCTGACACAAATATGGAACGCGAAATTACGAAATATTCAGAGGCGAATTTTGATGGGCCTGACTATACACATCAACCTCCTTCACCTCTGATTGGCTAGAAAAGCTGGAAACGTCATCACACACTCAAGCCAAACAGTCAGCCAATCAGAGGCGATAAGATAAGCACATGAAACTATGGTAACAACCGTTAGCTTATGTTAGCACAGATGAAAATTAAAACAAAGACGTTTAGCAAACTGTTAAAGCACACAAACCATCGTCATATGAGAGATCCGACGCTATGACTCTCCACAAGTTGTCCTTAAGGTCGTTTTCTTTCAAATATGTTTGTAAACGATCATAAACAATCAGCCGGTCAGCCATGTGTGAATCTGACGTTGAACAACACGAAATCTGATTGGTCAGAAGTGGACACACAGTATGCAAAACTTTGGAAAAAAAAAAATGCCGCAATATTGCAGGACGCGAAAACTATTGACATCCAAGATAATCGCACGTAAAAAACGGTCCCAGTGTGAAAGTGTTGAAAATTTGGAAGCCATACAACACCGTCTACACTCGGTGGTATCCCATCATCCTTTGCTTTGTCCTCAGTTTGTGTACCTGTCTTATCTGATGTTATGATTAAGTCTAGTATTGATCACAGGCTCTGCAGAAATAATCGAACATCTCTGGAAGCTGGATTGAAGCTTTAGTTTGACTTTTTGTTGAGGCATGAACATTTGGATAATTTCATCATCTTCACCTCGCCCGAAAGTGTTACTAAGAGGAGCGTGTGATATTGTGTTGCATGATATCAACTGCTGCAAAAAGCTGTTTCATTTAAGGAAGTTCCAGCTGAGTATACTTAAATATAGAAAAGGCGGTTCTTAAGTTTAGGACTGGCTCACTTCTGCATGCAGAGAGTCTCAGCTGTAAGTGTCGGATCTTTGCTGCTCTGACGTGACGTTTACATCTAAATGTTTGGACGTGTTTCAGGACATTGTGTGTCTCTCTGAGCCCTGATGGTCCGGTAGAGTTTTAATGACTCCATGGTTGATGACGGCCATCATTACAGCTGCCCTGAACTGCTGCAGAAAAGTGACTCATGAATGTGACTCACCAGCCTGAATGAACAGTACGCTTCCTGTCTGGACGGCCTCATTGGAGAGTTTGTCACTTGGATTTTTCAGCCTGTTGGCCCAGTCATAAAATACAGTCAGTGATCAACATGGACTTTTAAAGTATCTGTGAAACTTTGCTGTAAGGAAAGACACACACTGAGGAACCTTTACTGAAGATGAGCAGTCATTCATTCAGAGCTTCAGACAAACATTTGGACTTCTTCAAGACGCTCAAGCACTTATTTTGGGTCTTTTTGAATCCTAAAGACTTTCTGAGGTCTTCGTCTTTACTTCTGTTTGACAGAGGCAATGACAGAAACCAAACTCCACTGCAATCTGGAGTTGAGGTTTATATTTCCTCTGAAGACAAAACAGAGAAGTAGGTAGACGTGTAACCTCTTCAGTGATCACCCTCAAAATAACCATTAATGCTGAACAGTATACCGGTTTGGGTCAAATCATACCGCCATCCAAACAGCATCTTTTTCAGGAAATACCGCACATATTTCACTAAGACGACGTCAGCTTCTTTTCTATAACACATGACTTCATCTACAACAGCATGAAGATAATCTGACCGGCCTGCAGTCAGATGACTTTTCATCTATTGAAAACATCTGGAATATCATGAAATGAAAATATGACAAAAGAAAGCTGTTGAGTGATCTGACATCAGGCTTTTCACTCACAATACTCTAAGAACTGGTCTCCAAAGTTTTATGAAGCATTTTTTAATAAAGAGATGATGCAAAACAGCAACTGTCACAACTTTTCAAAACTTGGAGCTGGTATCAATCAGATTCAATGAAAAATGACTTAAAGGGATACTCTGTCGTAAATTTAAGTTATGGTTAAACACACTGTAACACAGAGTTAGAAACCCCCTCCAGAGATGAATGTTGCAGACCGCTTGCTTCTCTAGTTATACCAACTTTAGTAACGACCGCACGATAGCAATACACAGCGGTCTACGTCTCCACGTGCAAACTTCAATCAAAACGCCACTCTATAGCCCCAAATAATGCTCAGAACAGCACCTAACTTCATCAACAGTACATATAGAGTCCCAGCCATAGTACTAGCCACCAAACATCTTTTTAGCTTTGCCTGATTTCTTTAGCAGAGAGACTAAACACAACTTACCTACTCTCTTCCAGCAGCCGCTTGTTTGTGGGGGAACCCTGACGAGTCGAATCAGCGAGTGCAGCGGATCATTTCCATGAAGTTATAATCATAAATGTTCTTCATTGAGCTGCGAAACTCCGCTGCACTCTGTAATCGACTCTTCAGGGCTCCTCCACAAACAAGCGGCTGCTGGAGGAGAGTGGGTGAGTAGTCGGCAACATTCATCTCTCGAGGGGTTGTCTAACTCGATGTTATGGTGTGTTTGACCATAACTTAAATTTACGCTGGAATATCCCTTTAAGATGATTTGGAAACCTGAAAATTCTGTTTTTATCGACATTGTAACACAGCACCCTAAATTTTGGGGTTTGGGGTTTGAAGTATGAAATCTTCTGTTACCAAAACAATATATTTATCACAGATTTATAAGGAATAGCCTGGGTTTGACATTTTTCTCAGGCAGCTACCTCATATTTCAACTCAGACAAGAATAATATTCATATTTGTTTTCTCTATAAAGGAACATTGTAAGAAAAATGAAGCAAAAACATTATTAATTTAGAAAAAATCTCACAGATTTAACCTTTGAGGATTTACAGAGAAAAAGAACCAAAAAAAAAAAACTTCGATTTAAAGAAGTTACACATAAACACAAACATACAAAAGCGCATGAGTGAAATGGAGGGAAACAATCGAAACATTCATCAGAACAGGAGAGCTCTCACTTGTTTTCCAATTTATTAACAGATTGACAGAAGTTGATAAAAAAAAGTTTAACATCATGAAGTTTTCTTTACTCTGCCTGTAAAAATCTTTTCCAGTTTTGCTCAGAGCTTGGCAGAGATCCACCGCCGTGTCCCCCACTTTAATCGTGATAACAAATCACAGCGATAAACTCTCTTCTTAACGGCACCCTGGGGAGGAGAGTCTCTGCGCGGCTCTGTGGGGTCTGAAGGACGCAGAAATGTTGTCATGTTGGCTCGGCTCTTAAGAAACAGGAGTCACCGTCTGCATTCCTCAGCAGTGAGTGCGTTTTGGGTCAAAAACATCTTCTGACAAAAGAGCTGCCTGCTGGGATCCCACAAAGCTTTCACCATCATTGAGCAGACGCCCATATATGGTCAAACAGAGCAGTAATGGCTCCAGGCTGTGAGGGCGAGAGAAAGGGATGCAGATGGAAAGAGTCAAGAGAAAGCATTTAACCCGTTGGGGATTAATTAATCAAAATTTCTGAAATCAAATCCTTTCTTGATTCATAAATCAGATTTTCTTATTCAGCACAGCTTTAATTCAAAAAACTATGTGAAATTTGTCCAAACCGCTTGCCTTAAACCTCAGAATACCTTGTCAGTGTCAAATCAATCAAAACCAACTCTTGTCAGCTCTTGTAATCTCTCGTATTTTGTGTTTTCAGGTGACCCTCGGGCACGAGTTTGGCGCTGGAGCCGCCTGCTTGAAATGCAAGGACAAGTGTGAAGGCTTTGAGCTGCACTTCTGGAGGTTTGTTTGAGCAGAAAGGAACCATCACTGACAGACGCAAGTGGGGTCAAAAACACCAAATCAGCAAGACGAGCTTTGTTGCATGAGGGGTTTGGGGAAATAAATTGCACAAAATAAGAAACGAAAGAGCAAGAACGTTCAAAGTCCTGCAGCATCTCAAGTTTCATCTCACTGCACAGTTTATGAAGCTCCGTCTGAGGTTAACTGGAGTCTTCAGAGCAGCCACATCAAGCATGAGAGTCATGCTGAAACACGCTTGCCAGTCATAAATTATGTCAGAGTTACTCGACAAATATGAGCTCGCTGTGTCGAGGCATGTGAGAAGAGAAGGTTTCTGAGTTTCACACTGTGAATGTGCATTTCTTATTGGGAAAACATCACAGCAACGTTGATTGTGATTGGAAAAAAAACAAAAGGGAGAGTTTTTGTTGAGAAATAGTGTCTTCAGAAAGTGCAAAGGAACACAAGTTTTCCTTAAAGGTCCTATTTTGTTTGGATCACATGACTTGTGATGTTTTGAACAGACCGTACGTTAGTTTGTCTGTCAATACTTTTACATCATATCAAGCATTTACCACAGGAATATAAAGACTTATTCAGGATACTCAGACACTTTTATTCATATTAAAAGTAGGGGTGTCCCGGTACAACTTTTTTACTTCCGATACAATACCGATATTGTAGCCTTCAGTGTTGGCGGATACTGATATTGCTCCGATATTGGCACAAACTTGTGCATGACAAGTTTTGCACTCAGCTGTAACATCTTTTTTGGACTCCTACTCCCTGCTACTTTGTTAGAGCCTTAGTACACACTGTTGTTGCATGCTGGATCCGGGTTCTGCTACATAGAATAGATAGAATTCTGCTAAATAGAATATCCAAATCGGATCAGGACATCCCTGGTTAAAAGTGCACAATTTAGGATATTTCCTGCATAAGATAAGAACTTCAAATACGTTGAGAGTCTGATGTAAAAAACCTAATTACCTTTCTTCTCCTCTGCAGGAAGATCTGCAGGAACTGTAAATGTGGCCTCACGGAGCACAACGTGCAGATGAACTCAGAGGAGAACAAAAAGGTGGGGAAGCTGTTCGAGGACACCAAGTACACCGGCCTCATCGCCAAGCTGAAGAAAGACGGCGTCCCCACCTACAAGGGCAACATGGTGACCGTCACTCTGCCCTGCCCCGCCACTGCCCATGTTTTACCTCCCAGTTCGATCTCCACAGTGGTACGGCCCTCTGCGGCAGCTGGCTCTGTGCAGCCCGCTGGAGCTGCTGCAGGTTTAGCACCCAACAGTGGTGCAGCTCAGGCGCCAGGACAAGCTCCAGGACAAGCTCCTGGTCAGGCTCCAGGACGGGTTCCAGGACTGGCTCCAGGTCAGGCTCCAGGTCAGGCTCCAGGACAGGCTCCAGGACAAGCTCCAGGTCAGGCTCCAGGAATGGCTCCAGGACAGGCTGTATCAGCTGGTCTCACACCTGTCAAGGCGAACACAGTGCCGATTTCTGTTGGCACCACATCAGCCAACACTGTCCAAGTCCCCAAAGACGTGCCAATGACGTCTGTCACCTATGAGTGGGCCCCACCTGTAGCCAATAAGTACACGGTAAGAGTTTTTATGAAATTATTTGTTGGTAAAAGTCATGACGTGGCGAGCTCACATATCTGGAAAAGCACCTTTAATGCAGACCCAGAAGACCCAGAACTGTAAAACAACTCGTTTCTCTTTCAAAACTCCAGAATCTGGTCTTCTTGGTTCCCAAACATTCACAGTGTTGTCAGAAGAAGTTCCCTTTTGTTATTGTCTCATTATGAATTGTTCGGCTGAGTGATTGCAACTACTTTACTTTACTATATAATGCATATCAAGAAATCTGGACGCGTCTGCAAGAGTGCAAAATAACCCTGGAGAGTAGGGCTGGAAAATTTACCAATACTGAAATTTATGACAGTAACCAACGTCATTTTACCCATATCAGTATATTTAGTGTGGTAGGCTATGGTCTCATGTCCCTTTAAGACGCTGCCCTACGTCAGAGACGTGACTCCACCCCATCCAGTCTGTAACAAAGAGGGAAAGACAGGTGAGGAGATGGAGGACGGTTCAAAAGTTGTAGCGGCTGAAGTAGACGAAGTTAATGTGGGAGGGGGTGAGCAGCATGTGGAGTAGTTATCATCCATTAATCGTTATGGAGGTGAACTGATCAATATATTGTGATACTGATTTGAGGCCATATCGCCCAGCCCTACTGGAGAGCTTAGAAAACTTCTTCACATACTGACCCTAAAATCATTTTTCTAACAGTTTTTGTTGAGCACTGGCGTTTAACTTGACTCAGCTGTTCATTTGTGACAAATTGTTTATAAGTGAGAGTTTTATTTACTGTCTTTAAATCTGTTATTTCAGTTTATTCAGCCTATTGTGTCATTTTATTTATCTCTAGTGTGGACTGAGTTTCTGGAAGTCCTGTATCCTTCTGTTTAGTCTACCCCTGCAGCTGTATCTTTGTTTTGTGTGTCTATCCAACCACAAATCCCTTTTTTAAAGATTATTTCAACAAATCCTAGCACTCTTTGTCCTGATTGGTCCTCAGCATCTCTCTGTCCTTCATACAGTCCTTCTCGAACCACCTGCAGGTTAACACTTCCCTCCTTTTTCATTCTGACTCCAGGCGGTGCGTTACATCGAGCTGCTCCCCCCAGAGAAACGTCCTGTGGCCGGTACAGTGGGGGCCGATTATCGCCGGCAGCAGATGGCCTGCCAGCTCCCCGAGCACGACCAGGACCCGTCCATGTGCCACGAGCTGAGCCCCGCCGAGGTCAAACAGATGCAGCAGTACGTCCGCAAGTACAAGGACGAGGCTCTGGGAGTGGGAGACGTCATGCTGCCTGAAGAAATGGCTCTGCTCCAGGCTCAAGGGCAGGGTGGAGTTGCTACCGGGGGTGGAGGGCCAGGGTTTGGACCTGGAGGTGGTGCTGGTGCTGGAGCTGGAGGGCCTGGGGTTGCAGCAGGTAGTGGTTCTGGGCCAGGGGCTGCAGGCTCTGGTGTCGGAGGAGTTGGTGCTGGCTTTGCACCTGGAGCAGGGGGCAGGGGGACCGGAGTTGGAGTTGGACCAGGTGGTGTTGGTTCATTATCAGGTCCTGGTACTGGACCATCTGCTGGTTCTGGAGCAGGAGCTGGAGCCGTGGGTACTGCTGCTACAGCTGGAGCCATGGGGGGTCCTGGTGCTCAGCAAGCCGGACTACCTCAACAAGCCTTTGTGAGTATATTCTAGATGTCCTTTCACTTTTCTGTACGTGTTTATTTTACTGGGATCCAGACAGACCAGTCGGTAAAACCAGTGAAAATAAAACACTCTAGATGAACAGTAACAGTCTTGGCGATGGATCAGCTGATAGCAGAGGGGAATTGTTGACACAGACACACCCTCGGTATGTGGATCAAACTCAGGCCCTCATCATAGCAGGAATCCAGTCTGCAGAAACGTCACAGCTGATCCTTTCTGTCTCAAAGGTGATGAACTGGTCTGCATGGAAACCTGCAGTATATGAGATACAAAACATATAATTAGAAGCTATAGGGGGATTTTCTTAAATATGCATTTTTAGCTGTAAAGGTCCCGCAGTAAGCAAATCTGCAGATCCAGTGTGAAGGTTAAACCCATGAGTTTAGTCACAGTGTCACAAAAGTCATGCCAAACGGTAATTTAGGCAGCCTTTCTTGACTAAATAAGCGGTGACAACTTTTTTTTAGTTCTTCCCCTTTTTTGGCAAAAAAAAAAAAACCTGCACAAGTTTCAGAGTCGGGGCTGTTGTTGTCTTTGTAGCAGACAGAGGAACATTTCCAAACAGCACTGCTCTGTAATGTGTTCAAACAAACTTAATTTGGGCTTGCAATGCTCCAAAATACAGCCTCTTCTTCTGGGCTGCAAACCCACATCACACTTTGAATCACACATCTACATTTTGTTCTTTCCTATAATTGTTCCTTTCAAAATAAAAGACCTTTAATAAACATCATTCATTTCTGCTACGTACCAATTTTCACCCATTAATCCCTGAGATTTATACTATATCATAATCTGACTCTTGAACCTGTGATTAAACCCGAATATGGAGTAAATTTGATCACTAGATGAACAACTCAATAAACAAATGAGAGCTGTTTTTATAAAGATGCACTCTACAGTGGTGACAGTGAAACCACAGTCTCTGCAGCTTCATAAAAACCGTGTAAGTCCTCAACTTTCCACTAGGTGGAGACATAAGACAGACCTTGAGTCAGGCTGTGCCACACAGGATGAAAAATAGTGATTCAATTACAGGTCATGAGTCACAACTTGTGCTTTCTTTTAAGCCTCATCATTTCCATCTGCTGTCAGCTTATTTTTTTTTCAGTATGGCCTCTTATAGTTTATTTCTGCTTCTAGTTTAGCGGTGACTCATGAGCGAAAAAGGCTCTTGAAATTGAGACAAGATGCAGTAGGAGTTATGCAAAAGTAATGAGAAGCATTAGCTGAGTTTTTTCTCCTTTAAGCTTAAGTTTCTTATAGATTTTTTTCCCCTAGTTTTTGGTTCTTTGCTTCATCGTCCTCCATGATCTCTGACAGTAACCATGACTTCACACGGTCAAAGAATCACTCTTCTCCCCTGGCAGGCAGTGTCTTAAAGGGATATTCTGGCATAAGTTTATGTTATGGTCAAACACACTGTAACACCAAGTTAGACACACCCTCGAGAGATGAATGTTGCCGACTGCTTGCTCCTCTAGTTATAACAACTTTAGTAACAACCGCACGATAGCAATACACGTGTTCTGAGGAGCCATAAACAGACTTCAACCAAGAAGCCACAAATAATGCTCAGAGCAGCACCTAACTTCATCAACAGTACATATAGGGTCCCAGCAATAGTACTAGCCATCAAACATCTTTTTAACTTTGCCTGATTTCTTTAGCAAAGAGACCAAACACAACTCACCCACTCTCCTCCAGCAGCCGCTTGTTTGTGGGGGAGCCCTGACGAGTCGATCACCAAGTGCAGCGGAGTTTCGCAGCTCAAGGAAGAACATTTATGATTATTACTTCATGGAAATGCAATCAGGACTCTACACAGTCCAGTTACCTGTTTTGGATTCTTCAAGAAAACCACTGTGTATTGCTATCATACGATCGCTATTAAAGTTGGTATAACTAGAGAAGCAAGCAGTCGACAACATTCATCTCTTGAGGGGGTGTCTAACTTGGTGTTACGGTGTCTTTGACCAAAACTTAAATTTACACCGGAATATCCCTTTAAGATCTTTGTATGAGCTTATTGCTAACTGCAACTTTACCAGCAGTCATCTCCTCTGAATTAGCGGCACCAGCTTCTCATCACAGTGAACTGAAGGGGAGATTCCAAAATGTGCCATTTTTTCCAGGTTCAAAGGCAGAAAGTTGAAATATTTCCTGACCTATTTTTTTTTTTTTTAGAAGAAAGGAGGTCTGCTCGACTTTGAAACCGACTCAAAGAGAGGAATATTGCTCATTGTGTTATCGTCTGAAAGTCCTGGAAGTCCTGAACATATTTCTTTGTTATGGCTGAAGGAGATGAAAGAAATCGTTTATGAGGCAGGATGTTAACGACTGCTCCAACACAATATTTGTGCACCTACATTGTTAATTCCTTGTATTGGTCCATTACAAACATGCATGATGAGTCATTAATATGACAACTGAGTAACAATTTAGCGAGAACAAAGTGACGCTGAAACAAGAAGAAACTGCGAAAATAATCAATCAACACTTGATTAAGTGATCAATCAGCCAGACCTCGAATTGTTTTCCAAAGTTCAGTAAACTTGAACTCTGGGATCTTTGGTGGGCCGTTTTAATCATTTTTGGACATGTTTTTGGCGTAATCATCATCTGATGGATTAAAAAGTCTTTTAGGAATCATAAATCATGATAGCTTTGTCCACAGGGGGCGCCAAATACCACATGATTCAAAAATTCCTCATAGGATCTTTAAGTGATTAATCATACAAACCATCTTGTCTTCTTCATTTCCTCTCCAGAACTGCCGTCACTGCCAACAGCCGATGAAACGGGGCGACCCAGCCGTGTACGCGGAGCGAGCCGGTTATGACAAGCTGTGGCACCCGGCGTGTTTCGTGTGTTGCACGTGTAACGAGCTGCTGGTGGACATGATCTACTTCTGGAAGAAAGGGAAGCTGTACTGTGGACGCCACTACGGAGACAGTGAGAAGCCGCGCTGTGGAGGCTGTGATGAGGTAACAGATTAAGATTCAAGACTTAAGATTGTAAGATGAACTTTGCATTAATCATCGTATAAAAGATGGATGCAGAATAAGATAAAGTCCCTTAATGCTGCACAAGGTTGGTAGCACTCCTCACCTCTCTGTTCTGATGTGTGTCCACAGCTGATCTTCAGTAATGAGTACACTCAGGCTGAAGGACAGAACTGGCATCTGAAGCACTTCTGCTGTTTTGACTGTGATTGTATTCTGGCCGGAGAGACGTACGTCATGGAGAACGACAAGCCGGTCTGCAAGCCGTGCTACATGAAGAACTACGCCGCGGTGAGACAGACTCTCTGTTTGTTTGAATACTTGACATTTCAGTGTTTCTCTGATCAAGGATGTTTTGCAAAAGCGGGATTTGGGCAGTTTCAGTCAGTCACAGTATTCATCCCAAAGAGGCTCAACTCCTGACTCTATACAGATGCGTGCCTGTGTAAAGATTTATGTCAAGTATTAAGCTTCATGTCATTAGCGAGAGAATTAAGCTGTCGTTGTTGATCAGGTTAGAAAAATGTAGATGCTGTATATTCAAGAACAATGTGATATGACTTGTTTGTGATTTTCTCATTTAATTAAAGAGAGCTGATCAAATTGGAGAGGGTAAAACTGTTCACATAACAAAAATGTAAATAAAAGGGTAAAAATTCAGACATTTGATGGATTTGTGGCTTAACGTCATTCTTCTCTTTGTCGTCACAGAATTGCATGTCCTGTCAGCGAGCGGTGGAGCCGGAGGAAGAGAGGGTTTCGTACGGCGGTCACCACTGGCACGCCGCACCCGACTGCTTCAAATGCTCCGGCTGCTCCAAGTGCCTGATGGGTCAGCGCTTCATGGTGGTGAAGACCCACCTCTTCTGCTCCGTGGAGTGCAAGAAGAAAATCATGACTTAGAGAGCCAAAAAACACGCCCTCCATCTTCTCCACAACCACTTGTGAAACCAGGACAGGCAGAGCAGGAAGAAAGCTGGAGCAGTGAGAACGCCTGATAGTTTTTATAAAATTAATATCGACAATAATAAATCCATCTGTTTTGAGGTGTTCTCGCTCGATAACTCTGTCTTGACTTGACGCCTGAACTTCTGACTTCCCGTTTGCCTTAAAACCACTTGTTTTGTTTTTTTAACAACTAAATTTTGTTGCTTTTCTTGCACTGTTTCTTCTTCCTGTTGAGATTAGTTTTGTATTGTTTTGGACTTTTGCCTTAAAACTTCTTTATTTGAATAAAAAAAAACTCCTGATCTGTGCAGCGATAGGATGAGTGAGATTAGCCATATGAGGTTGACTGTCCTCCCACTGCACTGTATCACAGATCACACTAATATGAATTTGATGAATAAAACTCAAACATGGTGTCTTTATCTAAAGTATTTCTAACAGTATGAAACCTTCCAGTATAGACCAGCAGCTACAGATCTGTGATTTACAAACAGCAGCAGTGACGCTAAATGATGAAATTACACTATGTGAATGTCAGACATTTCTAATGTTTTCTCTAATGGGTCTAATTAGAAGACCAAAGTACCAGGATGTGGGTTTTAATAACAACATTTAATGAATCCATAACTTTATATTGTCGTATGAAATATCCTGCTACTCAAATTTGATTGTACAGCTGTTTTCTTTGATTATTAGTAGTCTCAGGTGCCCCTGAAAAATGACTGTTAGTATTAGTTTAAGGAGAATAATAACAGATACATGTAAAAAGTATTAAAGGTGAAGATCACCTGATTTGTTTCTGTAATTACTCTGAGCTCCTGCATCTTTATTCAGGTTTACTTGGATCGGCCTCCTTGATTCTGATGGATGTCTGACTGTTCATCTGTTTAAAAGCAATAACTGCATGTTTGCCATCGTGCCCAAAAAACACTGGAAATTATACCAACGTGAACTTTTTTTGTTTTTGAGCTTTGTACTTTCGTTTCAAGCAATAAACTGCACTTTAAATCAGGTTTCCTGCTTATTCTCGGAGTCTTTATTTTCTATCAAATCAACATTGTCTTAAAGGCATTTAATGAAATGTGTTTTATGATTATTATTTTATAGTTTTTAGCAGCTTTGCTTGTTCATGTGACAAATTCAACATTAATAAAAGCTTGTTATGGACACATTCACAGACCAGGAACTAGGGTGACCATATTCTGAATCTCCAAATAGAGGACACTATTACGCAGGGCAAAGTCTCACGCAAAATTTTGAGGGTTTTTCAGGTCAGGTGGAGTGTTTTATACGCACTTCTAAGTCAGTTAGTCCACACTACACAAACTCAAAACTTCCATACAAAACCCTGGACATTTGAAGGATTTTATAAACTGTTATTAAATGTCCGGGTAAAAGAGGACATATGGTCACCCTACAGGAACAACACAGAAGAGAGAGAGAGTAATTTAAAAGTTATTTAGCTTCAAGACTAAGAGTTAAATATGTGCAAAGAAGTTTTCAAACTTTGCAGGGATGAATGTGTATTAAATCAGCTACTTTAGTGTAAAGTTTTGTTTGATCTATTGTGCAAAAATAGACTTTTCTCTATTTGGACCTTATAAAAAAAAGTCTTAAAAGAGAGAAATTTTACTTTAAAAAGTGATTTTAATTTTTTTTAAAAAATGTTTCATATCAGTTAGCTTCTGCGATGCTAACTCAAGTCAAGACTTTTACCAAACTGCTGAGTAAAGCCTCTAAATTTATGGTCAGCTTACACTGTTGAGTTCACTTTTACTTGGATTAAGTGTGAGAGTAAAGAATCTTAAAAGTATTCATCTACGTCACATCATCAGTGTGTAGGATTTAGGGTTAAGACCACAAAGTAGTTCCTCACCTTTCCCTGATAAGCCCCCACTATGACCCTAAAATCTCAAAAGGTCTCTGTGGAGCCACTGTCTGGTTTGTCCATTCTGGGCTCCTGTAGGAACATGGTGGTTCAACATGGAGGACTTTGGAGGGAAGAGGAGCTGCTCTCAAACAAAGACCTCTTACCATGGTAGGGTGAAATCTTTTGTTCAGGTTACCAAAAAACATGTAAATGTCATATACTACTAAACATATACCAATAAATAAACCCGCTTGTGTGTCTGATGCAGAGCAGCAAAAGTAGGCCTACCATTTATCCTACCTCAACATGTGCTAGCCACCAAAAGTGCTACTCAGAAATTCTGCAAATACATTCAACCTTGTGTTGTCATATGACTGTACAAGCAATTCAGTGTGAAAGAGGCTCTTTCTGGTTCACAATTATGTGGGTTTGAAGTTAAATGACACAAATTAAAAACCAAGAAAACGTAAAGAAACTTTGGGGGTTTGCACCAGCAGGGTAGCAGAAGTTACCACAACACCAGTAGTATTTAAGTTAAGTTTCCTTCCACATTCCATCAATTCATAAGCTCAACTGCTGGTGTTTTACTCCCAGAAAGTCACTTTTTTTCTTAACCAGCGCTTTAATTTTGTATGAGAAAGAAGGTTAAAGTTCGAGCTCAGTGTTCTGACAGCAGAAAGTTTCCCCGTTGTTTGCATTCTTCATGCAAAGTTTTTACCTTACCAAAGACTAATGTAGTAAAAGGCAAAAGTACACAGATTAAAATGTAGGACAAGTTTTAGTTTACTGCAACAGTGACAGATCTGACCGTGTGTGATGACTGACTGAAATTAACAAATGAGTTTACTCATGCAACACTGACATCAACTTCAACATAGATATTTGTGCAAATGTCCTCTGTGGCTTTAAAATGCTATACTTAGATATTTTCTAATAAGTGAAGCATATTGATGATTCTTCACCCTGACTTCAACACTGAGCAGAAACCTCTCTGACGTATCAGCTGTTCCCACTCGGATGGGAACTCTGAAGCAGAACCAGTCGTGATGGAAAAACCACCTCTGAGGGGCTCGTGTTTTCATTCACCGTGTGGAAACTGTGCACAATTCAAGGAAGCTCCATCTCCTCGAAGCCCCATTGTCTGAAGTGGCACTCGGCCCAAAGTGTCTCTGCTATTTCCCTCCTTTCAACCATAGCTGTGACCGAATCACCTGGCCGGCCAGCTCCAGGTTCACCCAGTCGTAACCTCTCTACCGCCTGTGTCCTTACTTTACTTAAATGTGTCAGGAGCTCCTTTCTTTACAGCCTCTACTATCACAGGAACTCAGGTCATTTTTGGTAGTAATTCTCTGAGGATTAAACCTTTTCTTTTCTTAAAGACAGGATCTGAAACACCGTGTAGCTCTGGGTGGGGTCTTCCTGTAATGTTTTGTCCTTGTTGGAATTTGCATGTGATTCGTTCAGACTTGATTTTGCATTGTGCTGCAGTTTAACACAGGAATTTGCATTGTGATTCATTTCTCAATGGAATTTGCATCACTTTCATGTTCACTCCAACTTCCACGCTGGTATGCTTTTTGGAGTGGTCCTTGTTTTGCCTCTTCCTGAAGAAACAGAGCAGGGATATTGAAGTGTTGATTTTTCTGCGGTTTGCCTCACTTACGCCCCACGGTGATGAATGTCTGTGGTTCTCCCAGTGGAGGCAGATGATACAGATGTGAAGCAGAGAAGTGACAGGCCTGGATGACAGACAGGAGCAGCATTATCTGCCTTTAAGTGTCCTCAACTGAGTCCATACAAACAGTCAGCTGTTTAAGACATGGACATCTTCATGGCAGTGGGTCAAAGAAATTAAGATTTATTGGGTTTTGGTCCTGATGACTCCTCTCACTTCACTTTTGTCTCATAACAAAGGGGTAAAGATGTCAAATAAAGCAGTTGATCACATCACAAAAATGTTCCTGTCATGTAGTCCAAATGAGTGTGTCCAGTCCTGGCTGGGGGGACTTTGGTACTGACTTATGTAGAGGCGTAATCAAGTTCTGTATTCTCCAACAAACTATCATACAGTTACCATAGATTTGAGAAGATGGATCACAGACAGCTTGAGCATGATTTTCATCTTGTAGTTTTGAAGTAATCTGCGGATCTTTAGGAAATTGCGCAGTTGCTGTTGTTTCTGTGTGAAGTTGGATTAGGTTAGGTGAAGCCAGATGTGTTTGTGACAATAGCCTGCTATGTTCTGCAGTTGGTTTCTTAATACCACCAAAATTTTTTTTGTGTGGTTACCTCCCCGATGACCCCAGAATCTGGGTTTCTCTGTGTGTACAGTTTAGTTAGTCTTGATCGGTTCTTAATTTGTACAAATGTGTGGATTTGGATTCACAAACAGATTCATACCCAGTGTATAAGAATTTTGCAAACAATGCACACATATTCCAAATGCAAGTTGTGTGCATGGTTAACGAATCTGTGCAAGGGGGGTTTACAAAACCTCCAAATCCAGTCCCAGTGTGCACTGAGTCACTTTGTACATGGTTCAGAACACGGCTCCTTTGTTTTCTTGACCTGGCAACTGGTTCATGGGGGTTTCCACACAAATAAGAAACATTGAGGGAAAGGGGCTATTCCACCCAAGGGTGCTCTCTGGACACGCCCCTGGATGGATGGCATTTAGTAGAGTAGATCATTTCAGATATTACCTTCTACATGTGTGGGTGACTGTTTATTTGTTTGGTCAGATACTTCTGTCTTATAAATTTGGAGCTTTATCTGTGCAGCTCTTGAGGTCCAAGACAAATTTTCCGAAGGGGACAGTAAAGTGTATCCTATCATATAGTATCGTAACATATTGTATCATATTGTATCTAATCCTATCATATCATATCGTATAACATATAATCGTATTGTCGTATCCTATCTATCATGTCTTATTGTATCTAATCATATCGTATCATATTGTATCTAATCGTATCTTATTGTATCGTATTGTAACTAATCCTATTGTATCATTGTATCGTATCGTATCGTATCTCTCTATCGTATCATATTATATCTAATCTTATCGTACCATATCATATTCTATTTAATCGTAGTATCGTATTGTATCTAATTATATCGTATCATATCATTGTATCGTATCGCATCTAATCGTAATGTATCGCCCTATTGTTTCATATTGTATCGAATCGTATCATATTATATTGTATCTAATCGTACTGTTTTGTCGTATGATCTGATACAATATCTGACCATATTGTGTCAGATCGTCCTATCGTATCATACCGTATCGTATCATATCTAACCATGTTGTATCCTATCGTCCTATGGTATCGTATTCTATCGTACTGTATCGTACCGTCGTATTGTATCATCTCGTATCATATCATATTGTTGTATTGCATGGTAATGTATCGTATACACTTTTTCTCGGTGTTTAGACCTTATTACGGGATTTGTTAGAATCTAAAAACAAACTCAGACAACTAGAAAGTCATTCTCACAACACGCTCTTCGTGTGGTAACATCTGTGTCAGAGCAGCTTTATAGGGACTTTTTACCTCTGCCTCACATCGTCAAACTTTACCCAACTTGCAGCCAAAAAAAAAAGTTAAAGTTGAAGAGCTTCAATCTTAGCCAAGTCTGGCCCTCAGGATCATAGATCATAGCCATAAATGAACAAATATGGGGCAGCATCTGTGCAAACTGTATCCAATGTGTAAAGAGTGAGTCAGAGTCACACGCAGAGAGCAGGGAGATTAAATCAAGATGAGATTTTGTTTGCTGCTCGGAATTTCCACAGCCTTTAGCTACAGTGACAAAGAGCGGAGACGCCACATGAGAAATGGAGACTTTTTACAGCCGACTGACGGGTGTGATGCCATCCTGTATCTGTTTAGGCTTTTATTCTTTGGGACAGACTTTTTTAAAAAAGAAGCATTTATAATATCGGTCAGTCCATGTTAATAAAAGAGGACATTGTGCTTCTTGTGACAAGGACCACTGAGAAAGCCAGTTTATGTGAGTCAGTGCTGCGGGGCAACAATCGTCATATTTATTTAGAAATGATAGAAATAGACAAGCTTTGATTCTTTTTTCAATCACAGTAGAAGGACAGTTCAGGAAATGAGGACAATCCCAAAGAAGCTAGAGAGATAGAAAAACCTGAAAAAACAGAACAAACAATACAGAGATAAATAGTCAGAGCACCCTGACAACAAACCTTCAACACCAGAAGTGAAATATTCCTACTTATTTCAGGCATATAGAGAGATAAAGTACTGTGATAAGACCAGAACAGAGAGGTCCAGATAGACAAATAATAATAATACAGGAAGGAGAAACTCAAAGCTCTTTCAAACTCAGTATCTACGGGAAGTACCTGGAGCTTAAAGTCCAGGACCCAGACTTAAATCCAGCCTGAATGATCTGAGATTACTCCCAGATTATGACTATTAGACAGAGAAGAAGTGGCATTTTGTCATTATTTAGTTGAAGGAAGTTCTTCGTAGTTCAGTAACTAATCGACAACCTAGTGGATTTTTTCTCACTTATTTGGGTTTAGAGTAGAGGAGTAGGTGAGTGTCATCTGCATAGAGATAATACACGATGTCATAGCTCTTAATAGTCTGTTTTAAGCGCAGCAGGTGAAGAGAATAGTAGAGGCCCTGGTGCTGATCCCTGAGGCACACCACATAACGATCAATAATCAGTGTTTTCCACCAATAACATGTGTTTGTTTATTCCTGCTGGGGTTGTAGGGACTCCAGTCTAGATATCAGAGTCAGAATGGAGCAGGACAAAACTGTATATTGGTATCTTGTTTTCACCTCAGGCAGCAGGCATCTCAACACAAAAGCTCTAAGTGCCGTTTTTTTGTTCTCAAAGCTGTGATAACTTACCACCCACATTCCTGCTGAGAGGGAGGAGGCAGCGATCAGGAGAGATTCACCTTTATGGAATTTCATTACAGCGGAGATCTGCGCGGTAACACGGGCCGTGATCCAACCGACAGGAGCGATCATGTTCAGTGATACAGTCTGATGAGCCGTGAGCATGGGTGGCTTTACTCTCTATCCTACTTGGACCACAGTGGACGATTTCAAGCATCTTTACTGGTTAAAGGGTCAGGTCACCACGAAAATCCTGACAATTTCTGGACTTTTCCTCTGACACAGCAGGACATCATCTGTGATAGATTCAGTCCTCCTATCACTGCTATCATGTGTGTCTTTATCGTGGTTTATCCTCCCACTTCTTAATCCTTACTTTCCTTCTTTTTGAGATCTTTTCCACCTAAACTTTCTTCACACTCGTCTCTCTGACCTTTCAGCTACCCTCTCATCTCTCATTTCCAAAACCCTGTGATCCAAAGAGCTTTGACGTGAGTTACAACGACCACGTGTAACTTTCTCTAACTCTGACCTCTCTCTCAAAGACTCCACAGAGTGGACTGAGGTGCCAGATACCTGTTGGTATGTGGATCATATGGCATCCAGATTTTAACTTTCTGCTTCATACCCAAAAGTCAGGCCAACAGAACGTACTGATCCAAGCTATGACATAACAGTCTTTCTTTCATTATAAGGCTGGAAAATTTGAATATGACAAAGGCAGAGCGAGCAAAACTTGACAGTGCACTGAAGCTTGAATCAGGAAAAGAGTATTCTGGTTATCATGAGAAGAAACAAAATAGTAGAAATTAAATGGGAATGAACTTATCCCTCACAACAACTTTTATGTTCTCTTTAAAGTCCCACTCTGGTCATTTGTTTTTTACTACTTAAAGTGTCCTCAGTCATCTTAAATTGTGATTATGAAGTTTTTAGGCATAATCTCATTACCTGTGTCATTTTCAAGAACTTTTCTTCTGCAGAGTTCCAGTAGATCATTAGCAACTCACCTCTGAGTCGTGGGCAGAGACAGCTCTGCTCTGCACACTCATCTTCACATTAAGTTTGTGGCCTAACATTGTCAGTGTAGTAGAAGTAGCAGGTAACATCGGAACTATTCAGCTCTCAGACACTAATGTCTCTAGAGACATGATGAAAGTTTATTTCACAATCAGCTTTCTTACAATCGTTGCTTATGCACAAGCTTGTTCCGCAATCATCCTCTCTTCTTTACAGAGTCTGGCCTGCATTGAGGGGCGGAGCTTGGAATTGTGATGTAAGAAATCTCACTGTTTCTGAACCTGCCATTTGGGTCTGCCAGATATTCATAGCGATTTGAATGCAGAAATAGTTTTCCCATTGTATTGGCAACATGAAAAACATGATTTTCATCATGGGTCTTTGAATTTGTCATAACTGGAGAGTTGAAAAGGATATACGTATGAAATCCACTTGTTATGCTCTTGCAAATGCAAGAGGAACAAACTTCTTTCTTTCTTGGCTAAACACGGTGAGATCTTCGTTACAAGGTGTTTAACAAAGATCTGGTTGTTTTGCGTATAAATACATAAATCACAAACTGGAGGAAAGGAAGTAATTCTAAAAAGTTCTGGGCTAGCACTGGTTCTGGTCCATTGGAGAAGATTTTGGTAGGGTTTGGATAAAACCAGTAGGAGTCACTCTTCTCTGTGGACATGTGCTCTAATAATCAGAGCTTGGGGACTAAATAGGCTCTTAAAGTCTGCAGGAAGACTTTGAGGGTTTATAGTCTGCTGCCTGACACAGTGGAAGCACCTGTTGAACAAATGTCCAACAGATTTCCATCTTTTTACGGCTCTGACTATAATCCTGCCTGCCCTGCCAACATTTTTTCTCCCTGATTTTGGACTTTCTGTGTCCAGTTTGAGAGTACAGAAATATTTTCACAACTCATGTTTCAAAAAATGAAAATCAAACACCTGTGGAGCCAGTTAAAGAGCAAAAATAACTAAACTTCTGCTCAGAAGTGTTCATTGTTAGTTGACATTAATTAATAAGTCTGCACCCTTGATCGAGGAATCCAAACTACGCTGGTTGCCAGGAAGCTGATGTTGCCACAGCGGCCGAGACAGGCTCAGACATCTTGATTGTGTTTACGTCTTGAGGAGTAGATTAGCGGTTTGAGAACATTCAGTCACTGAGGGATGTTTGATTCCTGCACTGCAGCCATCTTCCTGTCAATATAATTCCAGAAATACCGAGAGCAATTCGGCTCCAAATTCGTATAACGACGGAAGGCAGAGCCAAGTTGTCCACAGTATATACAGCCTATGATTAGGACTGATATGCCCAAATAATGTGAGTGGGGATCCATTTTTTTATTGGAGCACTGCTACACTCCACTCTGATGGATGCAGAGTGTCCCCTGTTATTTGTTCTGTAATGTCATGACATTGATAGATTGATGGTACGACCACGACAGACTGAAAAAGAAACATTACGGAGGAATAGCGGACAGTTTAAAGCATCCAGGTGTCATCTAGCTCCTCCTTTCAACTACACTGGGAAACTTATTGTGACCGGACGAGTACCAACCTGTGGATAGTTGTGCATATCAGTAAAGTCACTACACGATTTATTTATTTATTCATTTGGCTCTGTATACACCAAATCTGACACATCCTGATGGACCGCAAGATCTTGTGTTGCTGCCTCAGTATCACGGGCCAAAGAAAGAATCATGGTTTAAGGCCATTCAGTATAGACTTTGTTTAAGAAGCAAGCAGGAAAAAAAATTCTGAAGTACATTTCAAGCTCCCTGATCAATAGTTTTCTGTCTGAAACTATACTTGTGTACTCGCCTGTCATGCACTCACATGTTTAGAGCTCTGTAAACACATGTTTTTGCCGTGTAAATGAACCCTAAGAATGAAAAAGAAAAAAACGAGACAGCATATTCTAATGCAATATTTGTTTGACTTTAAGCTTGATGATGCCTGTTAAAGCGACAGAGGAGATAACAGATTTTTATTGAAGCATATTTACCTGAAGCTTTATGCTTTTGTTGGTGTTTTATCGACTGCTCCGTCCACATTGACTTTGTGTTTCAGGGTTTTGTTTACATTTCATGGGTCTCACAGATGGCAGTATTTGTTTAAGTCTGACATGTTGGAGCTGCTGCAGACAGATTCTTCACAGTCTTTTTTAATACTATAGAAATAAAGTGATTAAGTTGGTCTCGGCAGAGTTGATAATCGCAGAAATGGCATGCTTGCAGCAAAAACAAATAGGGCACATCATCAGACATGCTGCAGTAAGTTTAATTATTACCACCAGCATTTGTAAAAACATGTTTTAGCACACATACATGCTCTCTAATTCTGTTTTTTCATGAATAGCACTCCAAATGTGGAAACCTTTCACCCGACTGTGACGGCTTTGTCCTGCCTGCTAACGCTGTAGCCAAACTTTTCATTAGTAGTTTCCTTTTCCTCCTATTGTTAACCACATTTGTGCTTTTTTGAATGCTGTAGATAAAAGCTGCAGCTGAATTCTCACAGAGGTAATAAGAGCAAGGTTGTGACGTAAAGTAAAGAGTATGATTTAACGATGTTGGTACTTGGATCTCAGGATTGATTCAAAGTTTTTGGTTCTGGGACATTTGATTCTTTTTCAGCAACAGTTGTTTCAGCTGAAGTGATAAATACTTGTGGGTTTTTTAGCTCATTTTTTATCCACTCTTGTTATAAAGGGAGTAGAAACTGGCCTTGAATGCATCATTACTCTCTGTGCGTGACTCATCCAAACCGTTTACACATTCAGTGTCCCTATTTTCCCCTAATAGGACTTTTCCAAAGAAACCCTGTAAGCCTTGCATTGTTCTGAGTGTCTCTCTTTAGGGCTTCAATTTTCCCCCTGTGCACCTTTACTGTTTTATTATAATGGACCATTTGTAAACTGACAGTAAAGGGAAAGACTGTGTGATGTCACTTTAGATTCGCAAGGACAGAAAACAAAGATATAGACGATCAATTATTCCACATATAAAAAAAATTCAAGCATGAAAATAATAGTGTGATACTCATTTCAACAAAGCAGCAGGGTCGGTGTTTTGGAGTTATCAATAAAGTACACGGCGTGGAAATCGGTGAAGAAATGAGCAAGAGATTTAATTTACATGTACGTCTAATATCTTTGATGGGAACGTAGCCCTCACCAAGATAGATGCCATGTAGGCAAGTCACCAAGTGGGCTGCAACAGTGCGCTAACGTATCTAGTCATATATATTTGTGCTAACAAGAGCCTCTCGCTCAGTCGCTCCAAGTCACAACTTGCGGGTCACAACAGACAAGTGAATGAAACTTGAAGTACAAGGTATCAATGCATGTATTTTTTATCTTCGATTTCCATTTGAAGCCACGTCACAGAAAGTCAAATACTGAGTTGTTTTTTTGTTCTCTGATTTTTATGATCAAATTGAAAAACAGAAAACAGTTTGTTTTCCGTTTTTCAATTTCCTACTGATCATTGGGAGACGGCTCGTTTTGAAATTTTCATTTTTTCATAAAAAAGTGAAAACCTGTTGGCCGCTAAGTAGTTTTTTACAAACTTGTTTTATGCTTATCAGGGTCACAATTTGGCCAATCATAAGCCATATAAGAGGATAAGACGACATGACCACACCTTGAAAGTGAAGCCAGAACATTTGGAGCTCCCTCTACTGGCAGGTGGCAGCTTTCTTCATATTTAATAACAGCTGAGCCACAAAAGCACATCAAATTAATTTCACCTGAATATTTAACTCTTTGATGTTAATCGAGGGGATGTGGTTAACTGATATTAGTTTTTTTTTAATGGCTGATGCCGACAGTGAGAGAAAACTGTGGTTGCATTTGCCAAACACATAAGAAAGTCTGTTGTCTGAGAGAAGCTTGAACAATCAGAGGTTCATTCTTTCCCATCGAGCTTAATGACCACTGAGAAGTATTTGGCTTCAGCGCTCAAGGTCAGCAAAGATTGTTGTCTGAGAAAGTCTGGCTGAGGCTCCTGAGTCTGCGGTCGTCAGCTCTCCAACATCTTATCAGATAACTATGCATCTGATTCCTGCTACGGTGTAATTTCACATTTTGAAAACATTAGATACATGTGGTGAGTTTAAGCCTCACTCTAACAGTGTGTTATTGTGTATCATGGTACTTATTGCAGCTGTTGTAGTATTTGTATGTTTTTGTGGCCACAAGTTATTTCAGGTGAACATTAATTTCCTTTTGAGACATGCAGCAGACAAAGAGCAACATTAGTCACTTCTTGGGTTAGCATTCCTGTGATTATCTCCAGGAAATCTGCTGTAGTCACTTAATGCTTGTTGATGAAATTATGTGGCTCTAAAGAAACAGACTTTTATTTTTTAAATTATAAACATAAAATTTAACAATAAAGCACATAATGCTCACCATTGTCTCTATTTAGTCATCAATAATTAGCAGGTAAACGAGCATTTGTCATCACCTTTTTTGACACTGGTATCATCAAAGCATAGATCCAGTGTTGCCAACCCAGCTTTAGCAACTTTTCAGACCCCCCTAGCAACTTATTTTTCAAAAAGCACCTAGCAACAAATCTAGCGACTTTTTCTGGAGTTTAGAGACTCTAACATGAAAGCAGGTATCAATGTTAATCTTCTCAACGGGTAGACGGTGTGCACCCCGGACAGTGGCGGTCAGTGGCAGTGGTAGGTTTGACTGAGGAAATTATGCAAATTAGGCAATGATGTCACCTAGCGACTTTAATGACAGCCACTAGCAACTTTCCTTACTGAGGAGTTAGCAACACTGCGTAGATCATATTTTTAAAACCAAAAACTCTGCACACCCTGAAAAGACCCACATTATGTTTACTACTAAAAAAAGTTAACTGTTTTTTTTTGGGATAGAATAAATAGTAAAGAGTAAGAAGCACTTGTGCCTGAGCAGGTGCATCATGGGAGTGAAGTAACGAGAGATGGAAATCAAACTGTACACACATCTATACACACACGCACACACACACACACACAGTTTTTAGAGGAGGCCAAATCAGACGTTTACGATCAGTGATAAGAGCCGTCCTGAGTGTGTGAGGGAGGATACCCGTATATTTGTGTGTGTGCGTGTGTGTGTGTGTGTTGGATTTGTCTCCTGTTACATCTGGTTTTAATGAGGGGATTCCACCGCTGTGCCAGGCAGAGCAGAAGAGAGCAAGAACACGCACACACACACAAACACACACACACACACACACACACACACACACACACACACACACACACACACAGAAGAGACTCTTAACTCATGACATGGAACAGCGCTCTTATTCTGAAGAGGTGCACAGTGTGTGTGTGTGTGTGTGTGTGTGTGTGTGTGTGTGTGTGTGTGTGTGAGGAGGAGAGGGGGGTTACGCTGACATACCGCTGTCTCTCCTAAACTAACACAGATTAACTTACTGACCCTCCTCTATATACAATCTTGACCTTTTTGACATCATTGAAGAAGAATTACCACCTCATTATTGTGCACCTCTGTCAACCTCCATCAGTTTGCAGTGAACTTCTATCTCTGTTTCCTTACAGTCAACCGTGGTGATAGGGGGGATATACAGTACACATGTAGTATATAGTATTACCAATAATAAAGTCTTAAAGCCTGGAAGTTTCACTAGATTATGTCATATGTCATACTCCCAAAGACCCAACATCAACATGGGATAAGATTGAGCCCCATCTTGTAAAATCAAACCAACTTAACAAGCTACAGTTGAGAGGGAAAACTTTAACAGGAAGAAAACTTGAGCAGAACCAGACTCATCTGCAAATTGGGGTGGTGCTGGTCTAGTGGTCTACGCACATGCTCCATTCGAAGAGATTATGTCGGCTTGGGGTCAACGACTGAATCACGGCAACTGCAGTGGCATGGATTAACAGCACTTTAAGACAGATGTAGAGATGTTGCTGCAGGACGAATCATTCTTCATGGCTAATACTCTGTTTCCAGAGCTCAGCTAGAAGTACTGCAAACCACAAGGCTAACAGAAAGTTGTAGCTAACTCAAGCCGAATGTTGTATCAGTGGGTTTAGCATAGCTAGCTGTTGATATTTCATTATAAAACTTGTGTTGATTTAGGTGTTATCATGTTGTGCCTTTGCACAGCAGTGTGGCTCACATGTACCCTCCACTCTTTCATTAGAAGTTCAGAGCTTTGATTTTTCTTCTGCATGTTTTCTGTGTTTGCACATGTCTCGTGTGAAATCAGCTGTCTTGTCTTTTATTTTATTTTTTTTTAATTACCATTTTGATATATTTAGGGTGACTATACATCCTTCTTTACCTGGACATGTCCTCTTTTTTGGGGGGCTGTCAAGCCTTGTTTGGGGGGCGTTTATAAAATCCTTCAAATGTCCGGGGTTTTGTATGAAAGTTTTGAGTTTGTGTAGCGCGGACTAACTGAGTTGGAGGTGCGTAAAAAACACTTCACCCGACCTGAAAAACCCTCAAAATTTGCTATGCGCGACTCTGCTCCCTGAAGTCGTGTCCTCTTTTTGGGGATTCAGAATATGGTCACCCTAGATTTATTTGCAGCACATTTTTGCTGTTGCATTTGTTTTGGACTTTTGCACCTGTTTGTGAATTTGTATCGTCTTCCTCAGCCTGTCAGCTAGCACAAATAAAAGGGTTTAGATGGTGATTTCTCTCAGAAGGTTAGTCTAAGAGTAGTTTTGGTACTAAGTATGCGGATGATTTCAGAGATTTGCACAACACCCTGTAAGCGCTCAATCACATTTGAAACCTGTCAAATTATTTCCTTTTTAAAATCTCATGCCAAAATCTCCTCCCTGTGCGTGTTTATCTGTCTCTGCCAAACAGAGATTCCCAAAATGATGATTAAGTTTCCATGGTTACATACCATCGTCTACGCATGAAACATGTCTCCACTGAATCTAATCAGTCACTGGAGTCAGTTTTCCTTTCAGAGGAAACGTTTCATTCCTCATTCACACTCCCCTACATCTACATTTAATCCCATTTTCTCTCCACCCTATTCATTCTCATTAACCTTTCCACACACACTCACTCCTCCTTCCACCACTCATCATTGCTCCCATACAGTATAAAATAAATAAATGTCCTCTCCTGTACAGCAGCCAGATAAGAAGTCCTCCCCAGAGTTTTGGCAAGCACCAGGAGCAGAGTTTAAGAGCCTGTAAATGTCCGAGGCAGGAATGTGAGGCTGCCTTGTATGGTCAAGAGAATTGACTGCTGGATCTTTTTTTATACTCATTTAAGTCTTTCTTTTTTTCTTAGAGGATCTAGGCCGGCTTTGATAGTCTCGAACAGAAAGAGGATGAAGCAGGGAGGAGGAGGAGTAGGTGAAGATAAAGAGGGTTCCCCACTCTCACAAATGAGATGTGGAAGTATATCCGCCTTCATTTTTATGACATGAATACTGTGATTCAGTTCTCAAGTCTCAAAGATCAATCCAAGGACATGTTTTTTGGTCCTATCTGGAGTCAGGTCAAAGTGGCAGTCGGTAATCCAGGCGCCTCTTTCCCCAGCGACATTCTTCTAGCTCCTCTTGGGGGATCCTGAAGTGTTCCCAGGCCTGATGAGATATAGGATTTAGTTCCTTGAGTGTAGCTTTGGTTCATCCCTGGGATCTGCACTCAGCTAGATGTCCCCTGAAAACCTCAGAGGAGAGGCATCCCAATCAGATGCCATGACCGACTCAACTGGCTTGACATTACTCAGAGGGACCTCCAGATGTTCAAGTCCTTACCCTTTATCCAAGACTGAGCCCAGCTGGTCGCTACTTAAAAGCTAGTGACCAAAGGTGGCGTAGAGTTTAAGCTTTGCACATTTATAAGCGAAAGCAAGCCGTGACTCAGCATTTTTGCTGTCATTGTGCTTCATGAGACTTCTTCAGAAACCAATGGTGACATCATGGCTTCATCGTCGACTGTAAACCCCCCTATACCACCAGCGAAGATCACCATATTGGTAATGCTGACTCAACCAGAACCAGGTCTAACGCCTTCTCACAAATGACTACCTGCCTGTCATTTCACTGTAAGATGACGAGTTTCCCTCCTTAAACTGACGTGATGAGAAGATGGGATTATGGTCAACTGGAGACCTTCAAGTCCACAAAACAAATGTAGACTGGAAAGAAGACTATTATGACCTCTACAGCAGTTCTAAGAGGAAAACACCAGGAGAGGATCTGCCTTGTTCCTCCTGTATTAGAATACCCAAATCGGGATCAGGGTATAGGACCTCTGTTAAATTTAAGTGAGAGTCAAACACACTGTAACTCAGAGTTAGACAACCCCTCGAGAGATGAATGTTGCTGACCGCTTGCTTCTTCAGTTATACCAACTTTAGTAACGACCACACAATAGCAATACACAGCAGTCTACATCTCCACGCACAAACCTCAACCAAAAAGCCACTCTATAGCCACAAATAATGCTCAGAACAGCACCTAACTTCATCAACAGGACAAATAGGGTCCTAGCCACAGTACTAGCCATCAAATATCTTTTTAGCTTTGCCTGATTTCTTTAGCAAAGAGACCAAACACAACTCACCCACTCTCTTCCAGCAGCCGCTTGTTTGTGGGGGTAGCCCTGACGAGTTGATCACTGAGTGCAGCGGAGTTTCGCAGCTCAAGAAAGAACATTTCCATGAAGTAATAATCATCATAATAATTATTTTGCACTGCAGACTTGGTAGTTCTTCTGCCTTAGCGTCTCAGTCTGATTGCATTTCCATGAAGTAATGATCACTCGGTGATCGACTCGTCAGGGCTCCCCCACAGACAAGCGGCTGTTCTGAGACTTATTTGTGGCTTTTTGGTTGAGGTTTGTGTGAGACGTAGGCTACTGTTTATTGCTATTGTGTGTTCGTGGCTGAAGTTGGTATAACTAGAGAAGCAAGCGGTTGGCAACATTCATCTCTCGAGGGGTTGTCTAACTCTGTGTTACAGTGTGTTTGACCATAACTTAATTTTACACCGGAATATCCCTTTTAAAGCTGCTATGTTGGTTAAGTTACAGGTGAAACTTGTTGGCTACAGAAATAACACTGAAGTGAAACACAAAAGCAGAAAAACAAATGGGTGACAGTCTCTGGTTTAGACTCAGATAAACAGATTCAATCAGAATAATGTTAGATACAGACTTCAGTTACAGAAACACCTGCACAGACTTTGACTCTTTCTCGTCTGTTTTCTGAAGCAAAGTCTCCACATGCTTCTCAGACCCTCCCACAGATCAGCGAGTAGCTGCTTCTGGTTGGAGGCCAAAGCCTTCAAACCCGGGGTATGTGCAGTATGTGTGTGCAGCTCTCTGGGTGGTTAGGAGGGTGTGATGTTTACAGATCTGTCCAGGATCAGCGCTCTCTGACTGTCCTCCCTCTCTGCTTTCACTCCTTTCGTCTCTGTTTCCCCCCTGCAGCACATATTCACTCACACTTTATAGCAAGTACATCTCCAGACTACATTTTGAGAGTGTGCTTAAACTGTTACCATGGAAACCGTCAATCACAGTTGAACGAAATAAACACAAACAGGCAACGTGAAGCATCTATGACACTGTTATAACTCATAAATACTCAGAAAACACAGAGGAAAAGTGACGCAAAACAAACTTCCTCATGCTTGTGGAAGTTCCACGAAGGTACAGCGAGATTTATTGTCTAACTTGGCCCTTCGTTCACCTTGTGACCCTTCCCCCTTGACCACACCCTTCCTCCTCACATCAGTTGGTGCCAAAATCCACACTTGTCCTGTTTGAGTGAGGTAACATTTCCACGAAGCGCCCTGCGTGGTTACCTCTTGACGGATTGTTGAAGGAAACTCACTCGGCTACACTCACAAAAAGGAAAGAAAACAAAGTATTCCCTCAGTCGTCAGTGATTGGGTTTGAGTTTGGAGGGAAATGAAGACAGAGATAAGGTAACACGGCGTGAATCAAACTCAGGGAGCTCTTATTACTCCATACATAAACACAGACTCCTGATTAATAACTGTGTGAGGACGCATTTCTTTTACGATAACATGACGGTTAAATGAAAGTATCTCTGAAATGATCGGATTGTTTTACTGTTTAATCTGTAAGACCACAGTCTGGATCTCACTTGCTGTTTTTGTTATTTTTTGAGACTTTGGTTGTTATCATTACACACCTTTAGAGCTCATCTATACTTTCACTTCAGCATCAGTAGATGACACTGCCAATACATATGGAGGCTGAAGTTGACTATCACTCACAACCACCAGAGGGATGACAGGTGGAGAGATACAGTGATGGTCAGGAACAGAGGGGCTTAAATTGTACATTCCAGTTGTACTCACAAGTCGGGATTGTCGAGCTCTGAGTCAGAACTTTCAACGGAAACGACCCCCGAGGTCGGATTTCCGACCCGGAAAGTCGGACAATCCACACAACTATTAAGTTGATATTTCAAGATGGCTGTGCCGGTTGTAAACAGTAAGTAGAAGCTCCAGTAATAATCCCTTTATCAACACAAACCTGCGCTTTTTGTGTTCCCTCTTCAGAAATTGATTATATTCGGACAAGGCAAGCACAAGAATAATTTTCGTAGATGTAGCCATCTTGTTTCCGCTTCCGTTTTTGGCCATTGGCTACTTTTTTTTTCCGACTTTGGTAACCGAAACACTGATAACTCGAGTGTGACGTCATTCCCAGCTCCGACTTCCGAGGTAAATGGAACGCACCATAAAATACACTGATTTTGAGACAACAGTTATCAATGCAGCACAGACATTTTTTAACAGCTGTCTCTGAAATCAAATGAGGCGTCAAAAAGAGAGTAATTTCCAAAGATGGCAAGCCTAATAAGACAGTTTTAAAAATACAATGACATTGGACATCTCATAGTGATCATCCAAAGAGACCAACAGGAAGTTTGTGAAATTGAAAAAATGCCTGTTCCCAAATATGGTCCTAATTCAAAATATTAACAGTCGATGTAAGGATATGTTTTAGAAGCTTTGAATAAAATCAAATGAACAGGGATGACAAACAAGAATATTAAGATGTTATTCTTATAATTTTAAAGAGACAAATCAGACATCATAAATCCACACGGGTGACATTTGACATAATGCACTACTCCTGCTCCATGCTTTGCATGCCTCTCATGTTTACACTGAGTCTTACATTTCCATGTGATGAGCTCTGGCTGTCTGCACAGAGATCTGGACCAACCTGCTCTGCATCATCTGTCAGTGCTGTAATCCCAAACAGCAGCTTCCTCCTGAATAGCTCTCATACTCTCCATGTGAGGGGAGGCTGTAAGTGCTCTCTAGTGCATGATGTAAAGCTGACTTTGACCTTTGACTTCTCAGTAAAGAGGCAGCACAAATCAAGAGGGGATATTTTTCTGTTTGAATATTTCAAAATGACGTTAGAGTGAGCTCGGGCTGAACCTGTGAGGAGATAAGGGGTTAATCCCGGAGGTTGTGCTCAGGTTTCAGCAGCTTTGATCTCTCTTGACATCGACTTTTGCAGCAGTTATTTTTCTGATACAGGTGAGACGCATCAAAAGGTTTCTGTTGGCACCCACTTGTATCCTTCCTCACGTTCTTTGTGAGTTAGGTAACCGTCAGGACACATTCAGGCTTGATGGGCAGAACTGAGCTTGTCTATCCTTTTTGGTTTTGTCTGCTGCATAACTTCCTCAAGGCATCGAGAGTACAGCACAGAAAACAGCTTCAACTGCTCATTTAGTAAGAATGCAAACAAGGGAGACAGACCATACTTAGACTTGATGATGTTTTAGCTTCTCTAACAAATCCTAAAGCACAAAATATGAACAGGTAAAACTTCCACAGATAATATTGTTACTTTACTGGCATTATTTTCCTTTCAAAGAGCAGCATTTCCTCATTTCTAAGGGCCTGTTTCCATTACCTGCTTTTTTGTGCTGGCAGCCAAGAGCTCTTCTCACATACTGTACTGTTGCTAAGTTAGACTAGTTTTCCCACACTACTTCTGTTACCCCGTCATCTCTATTCCAAAGTTGTTTTCTTTTTTGCTTCATATTTGTTTAAATTTAACAGCAAAGTATATAAATAGATAATTGTACTGCAGCTCTATATTTGGAATTATCTAATACCCTCAAAAACACTTGGATTGGTTTCTCCTCTGCAGCTCATGTTAACAGATTTAATAGCAAAAGTCCCACCCTTTCTTAATTTTGGTAAGTCGGAGGTAAAGTAGTAATATTGACAAGTTAAATGTTCTGAAAAGTTGAATTATGTTGAGGTACAGTGGGGAAAAAGCAGCTGATGTCAGGAAACACTGAACTGATTGGTTTGTACAGTAAACGGGTGCTGTTAGTGGACACAGGCCCTAACTCATAGACTACAGCAGCTTTATTAGTGGCTCAGCACTTCAATAGATGAAGCTGTAGGTCTATGGTTCCATTTCTGTGTACTGTCCTCCAGCTACATGTTGTTGTTACGTGACCTTGAGGAAATTTTATGTAAAGTCTTCACAGATCTATGGATGTTTCAAAGTACCAAAAGACCAGAGTTTGAAGATCTATGTGAAAGTTATCCATTTTTATGTTCTGGTTTGCTTTTGTGGGTCATAAAGTACAATCATTTAAAATTTCAGTTTGTTTCTTGGCCAACTAAAAACTCCTGAGAGGAGCTTTAAGTGCATGTGCTGCTATTAAAATATACCAAAGCCATTTACCTCCCCGTTTTCTGTTCTGACATCTAAATATGAACCGACTATGTAGGACTGGGCGATATGGCCTCAAATCAATATCTCGATATATTGATCAGTTCACCTCGATAACGATAAATAGAAAATAACTACTCCACAAGCTGCTCACCCTCTCCCACATTAACTTCGTCTACTTCAGCCACTACAACTTTTGAACCGTCCTCCATCTCCTCACCTGTCTTTCACTCTTTGTTATGGACTGGATGAGGTGGAGTCACGTCTCTGATGTAGGACAGTGTCTTAAAGGGACATGAAACCATAGCCTACTTACACACATCCAAAACCAACTTTTATTTATTTTTTTGACACTGAATTTACCGACATGGGCAAAATGACGTTGGTTATTGACGTAAATTTCAGTATCAGTAAATTTTTGGTTTATCGCCCAGCCCTATGACTATGACTGTTTCACAATTCTTACCATGTTTTTATGATTATTTCATATCTACAACCTTTAAAATCTGAGGCTTTGCTTGGCAGTCTTTATGTAGAAAGCATAACTGAACCTGTATTAGTGTATTAAATGGTCATTTATTGAAGTCCTACCAGATTGTACAGATTTTCTTAATCTTAAAAACCCTGCACTTAAAAAAAGGTGTAACTACAAGGGTATCTGGATCATCAATCAAGAATTCTCTGTTACTACTCTTGGCCTGTTTTTAGCACATGACATATTTGAGCAGTTGATTATGATAACTTGAAAAGTTTAAAGTGAAACTTCACCATGTAATCTCAACATGAAACTTTAAATAAAGCAATGTAAACAGTCAGTAAACCTTTAAATAAGTCCCCCAGAATAAACAGTGTGAAATTTACAGCACTTAAGTTTTCTCGTATGGACAAAAATATAAAGAGTATAAATATTGTGAATAACTAAGCTCTGTGGTTGTGCTCTAATGAAGCTTAAAGGGTTAATAGATGATTTAATGTGATTTAATGGCCATTCCTGACCACTGCCTGTGTTTTCACTTTCACGTGTGATTAGGATAATTGGATTCAAATGGAAATTTGTTTCAAAAGGTAAAGGTTTTGGTCGAAACTGCACATGAAATAAAAACAAATATCTGACCTACACAAATAAGACCCCGGCTGTTAAAGCGAAACTTTCCATAATGATGTGTTTGCGCTCCTTTTCACTATTTAAGTTCTTGATTGCAAAAGCATTTGCAAAAGTTTCCTCTTTCTAAATAGATCTCACTCATCTTGACAAATTGCTTCACATGTTGATCTGGAGCCCAGATCTGCAGAAAGTGTGACCTCAGCCGGCTCCTGCGCTGACTGGGTCATGTGTTTCCCTACCAGCCATCCAGACAGACAGACAGTCAGACGGCGCTGTGAGGCCTGTTACAACACCCGGGCGTCCCTGAAAACAGGCAAACAGGCGACTATTGAGCCAACCTGCACACTTTCCACACTGTCACGGACTGATTCATGTCAAAGTGGGGCTCTCGCTCCATGATTGGACTCAATTAAAGCCACTGAGGCGTGAATGTAAAGGCCCAGGAGTATGGAAACCCCATGATACACGCACACACATGCATGCACACACACAGACAAACGTCATACTTGTTGGTTTTCACTTCTTGGAGTGTGTTTGGTGAATTGTGGCTGTACTTTGGCTCAGTCATATACAACACATGCATTAATCTGGCAACTTTTAATGAGTAAATAACTTTAATGTTTGTGTAAATTTAGTGTGATAAATAAAGCATTCAGAAACCTTCTTTAAAGATGTTTCTCATCCGTGCAAATCTGCAGGAATTTTACACCCACGTCGTGACACTCGGTTGCCCCCTTCTACCTTCTGCCGTCTCCCGGTGGTACGTCCTCTTTCAGGGATGGTCTGTGCAGATTAGGCACGTACAAACATATCACTATCAGTAGGTGGACAGCTGTGGCGGTGATGTGGTGCAGCTGTTGTTTAAAAGTGTGGATGAATGAGCGTCTTGTGCGTCATGCATGGATTTTAGCTCATATTTCTTGAACTCTTTATCTGAATCTTTAACGAAAATTGACAGTCTGCCAATCAAAACTGTCACAAGATGAGCTCTAAGTGGGCCAGCAAGCTCTAAGACATACCTCTAAATTAAACCCCTTGTACACTCGGACTTTTCCTCTTCTTCTCCATATTACAGGATCCTTATAGCAGCTAAAATCCATCAGCTATGGGTAGGGCTGGGCGATATGGGAAAAAATGATATATATTTTTTTCATATCAGTCAATATCGATAAATATCATGATATAAAAAAATGAAATCGAACAGTGCTTATTGGTAGCATGTTCGCAATACAATAAGCTACTGCATCTGTGAGGTCTTTGTGTCTCTTTGATATTTTGTCGTATGGTGTTGCGCTAGAGAAAGCGGGCTGAATTGTCGGTTTTTGTCAGAACATTACAGAACATTATCGCACTTCTGAATCTCCTAACCCTAACCCGACAGACGATGACGTTTCACAGCCATAAGGAATAACCAATCGGAGCCCAGCACTTCTAGCCAATCAGAGGCAAAGGAGGAAGGGACCTTCCCCTACCATCAAAAAAAAAAAAGTTTGCGACCCGGAGCAACTCCTCTTTTCATCGGCTCTTCATATAGTCTACCAGAACATAGTCGAATGACGGCTATCATGTTTTATTTCGATAAAGACGTAAATTAATTTTTGATATATATCATTATAGTTTTATCGCCCAGCCCTACATATGGTCCACTCTATGATCCTCTTGTCGTTTGACAGTCATTAAAAGTCGCTTACTTTTCTGTTTTTTGCTGGAGAATAACATCAAATTAATGCTGAGTGAATCTTATTTTAAAATGGTTAACATCAAACTGACTCTAAAGTGGAAAAATTCATATCAAACTGCTTGTCCGTCCTCATACGAGGGTCCCTCTTCTGTGTTTTTTTTTCCCACGGTGATGGTTAGTTATTAGCTCTACTGTAAAGCCCCTGCAGTTTCTCTTCCAGTGAGACACATGAACAGGACTCTCACTGTTTCTGTGTGGCTTTTGGGAGAATACCTCGGCCCCTCTCCCTGTAATAAATCCTATCTGCTCACAATGCGCGGCTCCATGGAGCTGTGGGTGGAATTAAGGCTGGTCGCGGTCACAGAGGCCGTGCATGCTTGTGAGAGTCAACGCTTTGAATCTGTGTTCGTGTGTGTTGTGAATAGTTCGTAACCGTGTCATTGTTCCTGTTTATGTATCCTGACTGTGTGTGTATGAACCTGTGTGTGTAAAAGCTCTACCAATTGTATAGTTGTGTGTTTGTGCCACACCCATTCCTGAAACCTTTCCAGATAAACCCAGCGGCCTGAGTCTGTGAGAGGTGTCTCCCCTGATATTATCTCCCCTCCTTTGTGCCATCTGTTTAGACTTCCACCAATTCGAGGCATGCTCTGCATTCCACCTCATGAAGTTCATGTCAGGTGTGTTTGCTCATCTAACATGGAAAGTTTACTTTGAGAGTCAGCGCTGCGGCCCCCGACTCATTAACCTACAGAGGAGTCCGAACATGTATATAATCCTTTAAAACTGAGTTAAGACAAATGACACGGATCAGCTCCAGAACATTTACTAACAAAATAAGATTTTTCTCCTCAATTTTCATCTTATCTTGATTTGGCCAGGTCCTGTTTCATTACTTTACTACGACTAAAACTACAACTGAGTTTTCAAGTTGTACAGTGCACAATTAAGGCAAGCTGTTAATTAACAAAAGTAAGATGAAGACGCAGAGAAGTGTGACGGCTAAAGCTACAGTAAGCAGTTTTTATTTTGTGTTGGTTTGGGCGCCCCCCTGTGGAAACAAAGCATCAATGGATAAATCATATTTTCTAACAACGACAAAACTCATCCACAGTCAATTGTACAAAAGAGGATTAGGGCCACAAGAAGAGAAAAAAATAATTACAGGAGGGAGATTTTTTTAATTTCCATATTGAGATTAAAGTTGAAATAAAAAAATTTGGAGAATAAATAATTTGGAGATAAATAAAATCAAAATTACTTAAATAAAGTCCAAATTTTGAGATTATAAAAGTCTTTCTCATAAGGTCTTATATTTAAACATGTTGTTTAAGATGACAGTTGTTGAAATGAGAGCCATGGAGCATTTCATGAAAATGTACTGTGATATCGGTTTCTCAAACAAGGAGATACTTTATCTTTTGGCACATCAGCACCACATTATCATAAGTATCATAATTATTTCATTACAACTTTATTCTTGTAAATTAACAACTTTATTCTCGAAGTCTTAATTTATTTTTTTAACTTAATCTCACTCAAACACTGTCTTAACAGTTGTGCACAGATATGACTTGTTCACCTAAACACGAATAAAATCCTTCCCGCTAGAAAATAACTTCTTAAATTAATAGGAAGATGCAATTAGATGCAATTTCTTGTTGGTCAGCACGAATGAGGTGGTGCAAATGAAGGAAATTATATGCACAAATGACATGAATTTGCAACATGTTCAATGTTTCATTTGTGAGTGTTGAAAAGTTTGAACCATAGACTGTATATACTGTGGACAACTTGGCTCCGCCTTCCACCCTTACCCCATCTCCTAAGAGCTAGCGGTAATCGCTTTGCTTCTTCTATAAAGGCTGACAAAAATGTTTTAGCAATTAAGATGATAAAATTTACTTCTAGATGACATAAAAAGGTAAACATGGCCATTTAGTCTGTTATAATAGTTTGACATGACTAATATCGTCATCAGGGGTTAGATGAATCAGCCGGAGGCTCCATGCCAGCACACTGGAAAAACACTGTTTTCAACATTTCACAAAAACAACCCCAGTGGATAGAAAATCCTGAACTCTGTGTTTAATTCAGTCTATTCCACGCTGTGACATGTGTGAATAATCTGATTTTTTTTTTTTTTTGGCTCTTTGGTATGAACAAAGTGAACCACATTACATGTGCCCAAACTTTCTCTGCCAGCCCTTTTTCCACAGCATGGTCGGTTGTGGTATGACTTCCTCTAAGCTGGTTTTCCAACCACTATTTAATGCCAGAAGACGGGGAAGTCCACTCCCTTTTCACTGTAAGGGAACTAAAGCTACATTTGCACATGTTTCAGGGGGGAAATTTAGCTAATTTGGGAACACTGCAGAAAAGAAAGTGGACCTCAAGAACTCACAAAGCAACCTCCTTAAAAAAAAAAGCTTCTAATAGTTCAGATTTATTCCAAATTTTTGAAATGATGACTGATTGTTTGGACAAAAAGCAAATTTTTAACTCATAGTAGAAGAAAGGCGATTCTTTAACTTTCCAGTCCTTGACATTTATGCATAAAAGCAAAGCAGAGCCAGCAATGGAAACCTCCAAATTGACTCCAGACTTGGGAATCGTCTAGCAGTGGAGGAACGTTTGGAGAAAGAGCAGGTCAGTCAGGGACAACAGGCCTCACTTTGATCATGGAGGAGAAGATTAACCCCATAAGTGAATTAATTAGAAACCAGGACTGATCTGGGCCGGGTGCCAGCCTCCCTACTGACAAGAGAAAGAGAGAGAGAGACGACAAAGACCACATTGGTTCGCCCACATCTAACGCAGGTCTTGTGAGATGATCAAAACAGATAAATTGATCACTTTGGGTGGCTTATCATGGCCCCTTTGGACACACCCCTCAGTTTTGGGACTTGGTTGGAGTACGCATTATGAAACCAAGATATGATCTGCCGCAGATCCTATCTTCTCTGGATTTTACTTGAGGGGAAATCCTGAAAACAAGAAAAAGATGAGTCTGACTCTAACTGAATGAACCACATAACCTTGCAGTGAAGGAGCAAGAAAACCTGCAGGACTTCAACCATGTTGTAAGGACACACATTAGTCGACGATGACTGTTTTCCTGGCTTTCCATGACACAGCTCCCCCTGTCAGACACACAGAGTCGTTGACGCCCTCTGGGATCAGTCCCCTCAGCGTGTCTTGATATTTCCCCCCTTGATTAACTAATTTAAGAGAATCCACCGGGTTAGTCCTTTCCAAGCTTTTCTACTGTATCTCCACCTCTTTTCTTCTCCAGCGGGGACAATAGACGGAAGCAGCCAGCTGAGGCCTATTAGGGTAACAGGAGAACGCTCTCTGGGGTATCGTTTTCACATGCAGGGCTCCAAAACATGCCGTCATATCCTTACTGCTACCAGACGGCGTACAATGCTCTGACACAGGGCGCTGTGAGCCAAAGGAAAAGGGCGTGTGTCGGCACGACCGGGCGCACGGACAGATTTACACACATCAACTGAAGCCCCATTAGCAAGTCAACGTTCCACTAACAGTCTGAGGAAATCCCTGCTCCTAACCCCTACGTGTCCAGCTTCAGAAAATCTGTTACAACACGGCTCGCTCGCCCATCTGGACTGCACCACGTGGCTGCAGGGGTGTCCTCAGACATGCAGGGGATGCTGACGTTCCCGTTTGTCAAACAGCGTGCCTCTGCCGGATTTTTCTTTCCACGGGTTTTCCCTTCTTACATCATCTGCTGTCACTCATCTGAAGTCTATTGTGTGGACGTGTGTGAGGCCTTCTGAATGAGTGTCTTTGTGCGCATCTGGGTGAGAGTGTGTGTGTGAATGTTAGCGTGTGTGTGTGTTTGCGGTGAGAGGCTTTGGAAGGAATGTCTCGGGATGATAGGGTTTCCCTGTCAGGCTTTTGACAAACTCCCTACATCCTACGGAATTCCCTCACATGTGGCGGACGACAACGCCAGTCTTTCCTGACCCGTGCCTTTTTCCTGTTGAAGTCCTGATATACAGGTCCTGCATTCTTTCCACCTGGTCGGACTGTGAGCTTGACCAAAATTTAAGAAAATCCTCATTTAGTGTGTTGTCTGAAAAGTCTGGACGATATTAATCTTTGAATCCGCAGTTGATGGAAAATGTTTGACTCTTTCTTAAAGCTGCAGTGTGCAGTTTTTAGCCGCGTTTGGCAGAATGGACCAGCCAGAACTCGAATATTCATGAGTATATTTAAGTTGGTGCATAACCACCTGAATATGCAAAAACATTTTGTCAACTTAGAACAAACCTTTATAGCTACATAAGGAGCAAGTCCTCTTCTACATCTACAGTAGCCCAGAGTGGACAAATCAGACAAAATTTATGACAAAATTTGGCCTTGTCATGTACACAGAAGCTTTATGTCCTTGAAGGCCACTGTTGCTTCATCAATAGGACGTGAGCAAGGCAACAATTCAAGATATCCTCATTCCTACACACTCTACTTTTTAGATAATTAAATTTTTAGAGCTTTATTCCACTTTGTTGTTGCAATGACAGAGCTGTCTGTCTGTTTCAGTTTTGCAGAGGTCAGATGTGGGAATTTTTTGTCTATTTTGACGGTCACTTCGCCAAAAAAGAACGTTTCAATCTTCCAGACTGTCTTTTCTAAAATCGATAAGATTAAAACACCACTTTTACATAAGGATGTCCCAATTCTGACATTGACATCAGATATTGGTCCAATATCATCCCAAAAACAAATACCAGATTATATCGGTCTAGATCTAAAATCTCCGATATCAGCACTCCGATACAAGCAGTCCATTCCAGACTCCGCTCCAGCACCTGGATCCAGCATGCAGAGCTTACGTGATCACAACAACAGGGTGTAATAAGGTACTAAAAGATAGATGTCATGCACAAGTTTGTGCCAATATCGGATCAATATCGGTATCAGCCAGTACTGAAGGCTGCAATATTGGTATTGTATCGGAAGTCAAAAAGTTGTATCCGGACACTCCTACTACAGGTTATTGTGATAATTATGGAAAAGTTGAAAATGAAGAAACACAATTAGTCAAATTGAGGAAAGGCGAGATGAGGTCGGTGCAACACATCACTTCATCAACTTAATTACATGTCATCCAATTCTAATGGTGTTCAGAGTTATATGGTTTATCCACATCACACAGAAACTTCACTGAAGAAGACACTGGCTTGTGAGAAAAGTTTTTTTAATGCTTCTATTTTGATATTTTTATTTCTTGTTTTCAGATTTCCATGCTTTTATTTTGATGTTTACTTTTTCCAGCAGCTCGTAAGTTATGAAACTGGATGAAAACAGTAAAAAACACAGTCACAAAGACACTAAATCTCTAATATTTTTTTAGATTCACAATAAAATCTTTAAATGTCAGCTTTTAAAAGTGTTAAATCCTCTCTTACAGAGCTGCTAAGGCTACCTCCCTACCAGCTGCTGCTTCTTCTTTGTCTTGCCTTTGCTTTGTGACATATGTCAACTAGCACTCACAGAGATATCAATATTTCTTTTCTTTTTTTTTAAGATTGTTTTCATGCATCATCAGAGATATCATTATTTCATTTTTGTAAAAGATTGTTGAGTTATTTTTATCTTTATCTAAATAAATTAAAGCTTTGAATATGTTTTCTGGAGTACAACCTTTATGTCAAATCAGGATTTGCACGTCTTAAGATTTCCTGACAAGGACACAAAAAGTCTATTTTTTAACTCTGGCTCGTCTCCAAACCGCTGCTTTCATACTGGTCTTTCGTTGGTCTACAACTGTCACATCATTTTTCCGACAAACCTCGTCTCTTTGTAATAAACCGCTTTTAAAAATACAGTTTAGGCCAGTTTAAACCAGGCGTATAAAACCGGGCTTGTCATTTTCTCTCTCTCTGTGGAACACTTTTTTCCTTCTGATGTCTTATTTTGGAACAGAACTTTTCCCGTCTGGCGTGAGTCGGCCATGTTGTCCCTGGGCCCCGTACAGTATCCAAACCCACAGAACCAGCAGAGAGGGAGGTAGGAGGGAGGGAAAGAGTTCCATACTTATGTAACCTGTTGTCAAGGCAACCTGGTTTTGTCATAGCAACTTACCGCCAACAGTTACAACCAGAGGAAAAAGGAGGAAACTCTCGTGTTGACAGACGGGATCCTTAGCTGAGTACTCATGGCAGAGGAGGTTCGTCATCTGCTGAGTATTCTGACTGCTGCTTTGTGGTTGAACAGTGATTGTATAAATATGTGAGTGGGAGAGTGCTTAGGGGTGTGGGCATAGCTTGATGTCTTATTTTTTTATTGAATGAAAAAGCTTTTGCCTTTTGTTTTTGGAGTAAATGTTTGTCCGTCCACGTGCAAACCGACAGTATCAGTCGCTTGTGCCTTTATGTGTGTGAGAGGTTATAAAAACTGAGGTTGGATTAAGTCTGGCCTTGTGGTTCCATGGCGTGCTGAGTGAGGAAACCCAGTTGGCATCGGGGAGGCAAGAAATGCCAAAGATGGCCGCTGCTGGATGCCTGGTTTCCAGGCACTTCCAGTAATCTGCAGCCTCCCCAGCTCAGACGGAGTCACAATATTTCAATCCTCGCCGCCAGAACTCGATTGGATCATTCAATCCAAAAAAACACAGTATTTCTCTTTTTCCTCATGCATGAATCCAAAGTTATTTAAAATCAAGGCCAAGATGTAAGCAAACTTGCAGACTTTGATGCCTTTTCTTGAGAAAAATGATAATAAAAACATGCAATTAGGATTTGTCAAACAATACAATCTGAAAGTATACGGTAAAGTCTCTGTTTCGTATGGTTCCTAAGGTTTCTCTCTGTTTTGAGGGAAGTTGGTGTGTGCTTAACGCTGAGGAAACACATACTGTACCGGCCAGATATGCAAAAAGGAAGAAGGGAACTCTGTTTTTCTAAGGCAAGACTGAGTCACCATGAATGAAGGAACACCAGGGAGGAAAAATGCAACCCTTACCTCACTGATGAGGACTAAACAGAGAGCTAGGGGCACAGAAAGACCAAGAAGAGAGACTTTACAGACGCTAGAAACTGATACAAAAGGATCCGCGTCAAGGACAGATGAGGTAAAGGGCAGCAAAAAAGAATAAAAAGGAAAAAAAGGACCTTTCAGACAATCATCCAGTGATGTCATTGTAACCGTAGTTTACTCACTTCTAGTTCTGCATTCTGGCAGTCACCATCTTGGTTTTCTGGCGCCACATCCAGCCTTATTTGTAGGTAGTGACTGGAACAAGTAAATCAAATGCATGCAGCTCAAGGTAGAGGGAAAGTTTTCACGATGGCGATAAACTTTATAGGGGATAGATGGGGCGATGAAAGGATGCAGAGGAAAAATCTACAAATCACAAAAATATAGTTGAGTCCTGTTTTTTATTCACTATCCCCCATAAACACGTGGTTTATGGAAGAATACACTGGCCAACAAACCAAGTAGAGTATAAACCTGTAGAGCTTGTGTATGTTAACGTTGCTTCTCACCAGGTTGTAAAAAATGTTCCATGGCACTTCTACCTCCATCAAGAGTGACTTTTCAAGTGATTTGTTCATCTCATTTAGTCTGTCATTATAGACAAAATAAGAAAAAAAAATCAATAGATATCAACCAGAAGCTCGACTTTACCTAAACAAACAAGCATGATTGTCCCTCTGTCGTTGGCAAATTTGAAAGCAGAAGTCTGAGCCCTTCTCGATTTCAACCAAGTGGCGTTGAAGAAGTGTCATTGACAAGCACAGGGATATCCAAAAACGTGGGTTATTTTCAACTGTGAGTGCCGTGAACAAAGAGACACAAAACAGGCAAAAATGAGGGTGACTTCACACTTTGGACGCTAAACAATGACAATGCTGGATGACACTGAAAAATGGCTTTGATTTGCTGACCCAAATACCTGCTAATAATGCTGTTCTCCAGTTACCTCAAAAGTCAGATGTCAGAGCTGGGAATGACGTTGCACCCGAGTTGACGGCGTTCCAGTAAACAAGTCGGAAAACCAAGATGTTAGCTGTTGTGAACAATTGTCAGCCATCGTTAGCCGTTGTCAGTTGTTGTTAGTTGTTGTTGTTAGCTATGCCAATTGTAAACAACGCATAACACAGTATTTCACTCTTACAAACACCAAAGCACTGTGTTCACAGTTGTTGTTAGTGCACTGCGCTGCCATCTTGGATAATGAGGTTGTCGTCAAGTCAGGGTTGGTGAGGATCGTCCGACTTTCCGAGTCGGAAGTCCGACCTCTGGGAGGTGTTCCAGATGAACTGCTGACTCGAAGATTAGAAATCCTGACTTCTGAGTACGACTGGAACGCAGCATAAGTGGTCTGTCTTTGTTGTATCACTACACTGGCATCCATGTTTTTCATCCAGCATTTAAAGGAGCTTAAAGCTAAAAACTGCAATTCCTCGAGTGCCCACTAGAGGCTAGCTGCAAAAGAACCAAAACCCACATACACACTTATTTAAAAAGGAAAAAAAAAAAAGCATAAATAAACATGCAAAAAGCCTGGTTTAAAAAGTGCTTTTCTTTTTCATAAATCAAGTCAGCACCAAGTGGCCAAAAGTGGAACTGCAGTTTGTGAGACTAACATACTGGTTTCATTTTTTACCCATGCAGCTGCTGGTTGGTTTTAGACCATAATGTGTGCAGATAGTTGGTACCAGTAATTATTTGAGTCATTTGAGGAGCAGAAATAAGACAAAAAAGGACAAGCAAAGGAACGATTCAAGGTAAAGGTAGAAAAAGAAAGAATCACAGAGAGAAGTCTATATTTTCCCACACTGTGTCCTGATAACAAAGGCATCCAGAGAGTCCACCAGATTACAAAAGCAGGCAGTGTGTACCTTTCCTTCACTCTCTGAATGTGTACGAGTGATTGTGTGTGTTTGTGTGTGTTTGTGTGTGTTTTATTATTGTATCCAAGGCAAAGAAGCCGTCTCTAAGTTTCCATCCTCCTCCTCCTCCTTTTCCTCCTCCTTCTTTGGAGCGGCAATTTCCTGAACCCAGGCCAGGAAACTCTGCGTCGTTCTGCTGGGCTGAGAGGCACAGAGGATTGTGGGAAGGAGGGAGGGGGAGAGATGGGTGAGGGTTTTATACAGTAGGCACTTCAATAGTGATAGAGCTAAATGCTTACAGAGCATGTAAAGAGATGTTTAAAATAAAAAGGGTGGAGGTGGAGAAACAGGCATGAGTGAAAGATGAGGGTGATGAGAGGAAGAGCAGAGGTGACAGGGTTAAAGAGCAGAGTAATGAGGCTTAAAAATACGCAAAAGCTAACAAACTGCAGAGAAAATACAACAAAAATCAAAATTTACAGATTAAATAAAGCTTCACCTGGTCGATTTATCACCAAGGTAACAAAGTGTGATCAAAGTCAGCCCCTTTTTGAACCAGGAATGTCAATTATGCTGTATAAACTCTGGCATTTTAACATGGAGTTTTGTACAGAAGCCCTAAAGGTAAAATTACACAAACATTTCACAATGACAAAATATATTTTAATACATTGGAAAATATATATAGATATAATTCAAATAATTTTAGTCAACACAAATAAAAAAAATCAAACAAACACACAAATAAAAAATATTTTCATTTTGATTTGTGTTTTTAGAATAATTTTGGCTTTTGGAAAAATATTCATAATTATGAAAAATGTATTTGTTTTTTTTTTATATTTTTGTTTAAAATGAATTATTTTCACATTTCATTAAAAATGTTCATAATCCAAAAAAAATATGTAATACTCAGCTATATCTCGTCAGTGATCTTGACATTTTTTTTTTTAGGTCTCATAACAGGTTTGATTTGTGTTTTTAGAATAATTTTGGCTCTTGTAAAAATATTTCATAATTTTGTGAAAAATTCTTTGTCTTTTTTATTTTTTTTTGTTTAACATGAATTATTTTCACATTTCATTAAAAATTTTCATAATCCAAAAAAATATGTTTCAAATTTATGGGAAAAAAAAAAACTTTCAAAACTCTCAGCTTGTTTAACTCGTTGGTGATTTTGACACATTTTTTTTTTCTTTTTTTTCTTTTAGATCTCATCACGGATGTGGCCCAGGACCTGGACTTCCAAAAGTGAGTACCCTCATGTTGAGCTCTTGCTGGCTATGTGTGTGTTTGTACTGCTACATACACTCCACAGATACACTAAAATGAATCTTTTAACTGCCTGTCAATGGCTCAAAGAAACACTTATCACTTTCCCACCTCTCTGAAAGGCTGTCTATAAAGATGTCTACTAGCATTACAGCTGTTGTTCCACAGCTTGACCTCTGACCCCGGTTTTTCCTACGGGGATCAATTAAAGAATGTCGACCGGAGACCTGAGGGTCCGAGATAACGGCTCTGATTTCATGTTCAGCTGCACAAAGAAAACAAATCTTACACACTTCCTTCTTGTTATTAATTAGCCGTAGCCCGGCCACACTTGTGTTGCTTATTCAAGATCTCTCCCCCACTCCTCCCCCCTTTCCATTTGCTCGTTATCTGCCTCACACCACTTCCTGAGTGGTTGTTGAGGAAAGCTTGTCTCACTCTGGCACAATGTTGACATCTCTGGCACAACCTGATGTGTGTGTGTGTGTTTGAGAGCGAGACAGACTGAAAGAGAAGAGGTGAGATTCCTGAAGGGTGAAATCATGGAGGCTCAGCCTGTTTTTAACTGAGCTGTAGCTAATTAACTTTATTCTCTCTCTCTGCGTTGTGTTGCTGCTAACTCACGGCTGTTTCTGAACTGACGACTGGTGCTGGTTTAAAAATGATGAATGCACAACGACCCGTGAGAAATCTGTGACGAGTTAATATGTGTTTGGAGAGCATGATTTAAGATTACAAACTGCAACCTCCAGAGAAGAAGAATGGCCTGTTTCGGTGCAGAACTGTTTGGATGTTTTGGTGAAAGGTCATAAAGATTTAGAAAGACCATTTTTGGGGAAAAAAATCTGAGCGTTTTGCGTCTTCGATGCCAGCGTTTGCCTCACCCAGTGCAAATTTTCCAGCAAAACAGATTCCCAACTAATGTGCCTTTGGTTGTTGCTGCAGGTGAACACTATGGTGATTGTTTTTAAAGAATTATGAACCACCTAAGCGCCTTGTTCCTCAACCAGACCTGCTTCATCTTCTTCTACTCTGACCTGATATGCACTTGCAGAATCACACAGTTACAGTTTCTCACGGTTGCCAAAACACCAGATCCCACGCTCTTATCCAAATGCTCGTGTAGTTGATCCAGACGCACTTTGCAGATCTCTCTATCCCTTTTTTCAAAACTCTACGAACACATTTTAAATGTATTTTACACTGTGATAAATTTGTGATGCTTATTGGTAACTACAGAGTCAAAGAAAAATAACAAGGTGTCACGGTTAATACACGACTCAAGTCTGAAAACACTTTGGTTCAAAAGTGCCAAGAACTGAACGAGATTCTGTCTCTGTGTTTACCGCCTTTGCAGAACGCTGTATTTGTGAGTAATCAGATGACAGTGTGTGGGAGTGTTTGGGGTTTGATTGTGAACTGTTCTTTTATGCAGCCGTCAAAGTTTTAGTTCTTCGGTTCTTGCTTTTTGAAAATGTAACTGCAGTTATTATTTCATGTTTATGATTAACTTAACCTGCTCTATCAAACTGCTCTATCAGTTTGGTGTCAGGAGGCACCACTTCATGTAATCTCAAGAATCTTATTTTGGCAGAAAAACCAGCTGCCTTAATGTTCTCTGCCAAATGTCATGTAGTCATTACTGACTCTTTAGTTATCCACCTTAAGAAGATCGTCTTATCATTTAAATTCAGCAGCTAGAATCAGAACATGTGCTGCTTGTGTTTGACACACTTAAGTATCTTTGAAAAGGTTAAAACTGGTGTCACAAATCATATTTATGCAAAAACTTGGAGATGAAGTGTAATATTACAAGTTGCAGACTGGCAATAGGTCTTTATTAGCAAAGCTGCACATCAGATCTTTGGATCCTCATGAAAATAAAAGAGTAAAAACAACAAAAGACAGGTGGAGGTGGTTATTCTCTGAGGTGGAATGCCTTAAATGTGGAAGAAAATCATCAATTTCCACTAAAAAGCTCAGGTTGGACAGTCTTCTAAACCTTTCTTAAGTCTTTGGACGTGAACCAGAGAGTTTATATCCATCTGCCCAGAAAATGACAGATAATGTTTATTCTCCCAGCCCTGCCCGATCCCAGAGGAGCCCAGATTTCTTTTTTTTTTCTTTTCTTTTTCTTTTTTTTTTTTTAAATTTGACCTTTTGGGTTAAATGTGAAATCTAATTCGAGACCAGCCCAGACCGAACATCTAAAAATAGCCGACACTTAAAATAAACTCTCTCACTCTCCATTTGAAGTAGGATGTCAGAGTCCATGTGCAGCACGTCTGCTGGAGTTAATTTCTGCATGACGAACTCATGAAGAATGTCTTCTATAAAAGGAGCAGCATGTTTGAGTTTGCTGCTATTTTACATCCTTTTGATTCATGACTCATCTCAACAAAACATCTTTCACTTTAGCCACAGAGATGAATGTCAAAGTCTGGCTTTAATGCACACAAACACAAATTTAAGCTCGCAGTCTGTCAACATGCACAAACAGTGGGGTGTTCAGTTCGCAGTGAGGCGCTGCTCTGCAAAGACGGATGGTTGCACGTGATCAGTTTGATAGTACGAAGGTGTCAGGGATGTTACTCAGCGAGGCGGCACGGCACGGCTCCAGTAAACACTGAAACGCAGCAGGAATAAACAACATGTGTGACAGAGATGTTCCTGTGAGGTTATATCTGACTGTTGGCGGTCCTACCTGATGGTTCAATCCCTGCATTTTGATACATACTACAGACAACTTGGCTACACCTTCCGTTTGAAGCCGAAATTGTATTTCCAGGATTTTCTCCACTTCCTGAAACCACCACTCGCGCAGTAGCATTGGTGGAATTTATGACCTATACTGCAGCCCGTCACCAGAGGGCGCTGTTCTCGTGGAGGCAGACAGCGTCCATCCAGTATATGATTTTGATCTAGTATCGAGGATTAGAAATAAATGCACTGTAGCTGAAAAACTCAAGAAGTAGTATAATAAATTTAAGACACTAAAATGAGCTGAACCAAAACTTTAAATCTCTAAACAAGCCTCTCCAGTCCTATCAGTCTGGTATCAGGAGGTACCGCTCAAATATTAACTTATTTTGGCAGGAAAACCTCTGTCTTTGACTGCCAAATGTCCTGAAGTCAGGATGGACCCATAACTCATACGCAGCAGGAGGATTTGTCTAAAACCATGCTAGAATTTCTGCAGAACATCTCTGGAGTGACCACCAGCGGGATCTGCAGCCCTGCTTTGCCATGCCTTCAGTCACTTGCAGAGGAATGTGTCAATCATTCTGCACCTGCAGCCTTGTCCCGCCCCCAGATTTCACCGTTAACTTAAAGCCCTCAAAGCTCCAGTGAGGAACTTTAGATTTGTGTCTTGGATGTTTCATTTTTTTAATGAGTATTTTATGAGCAGTTTGGTTTGATTTTTACATTTATTTATTGTTTTGTATGTTTAGTCTACTCTGTGGGAGAGGTCTGGGTATATTTGATTATTAGTCTTTCGTATTTCGGCTGCAGAGATCATTCAGTTTATTCAGATATTAAAGCCCGGTGGAACAGTTCACACCCCACAGAAATATGACAAGCCTTTAACAACCAAACCTAAGACCCAGATCCTTATCCAAACCCTCACCTAAATTTATTGGACTTGAACACTCTTAAACTCTAAAACTTCTTTATCACTAAGACACACATGTAAACTAAACACTACTTACAGGATTTAAAGGAAACATACATTTTAGATTCCTCCTTCCGTCTCTTCTCCATGTGAACCTGTCTGCTTTTCTCCACTAGAGGTGCTGACTCTGTCACTTTCAGACCTCTCTGTCCGCCTCCTGATAAACCCACTTCATGTAAAGGATACCAATCCACCACAGGGATAAAACCTCAGACTCATATCATAGTTCATCTCATCAATCCCTGTAGTTGTATGAGTGTGTGTGTGTGTGTATGTGTGTGTGTGTGTGTGTGTGTGTGTGCGTGCGTGCGTGTGTGCGTGTGTGTGGTATAAAGTGGATTTCTCCTGTTTGTGGGGATTGTAGCCACATAGTTTCCACAGTTGACCACGATGATGTCAGTGAAAATCTATATTAAGTAAATGTATATTATGCACGGGAGTGTGGGGGGATTTCTGTGCAGCTCTTTCTCTCCATATGAAGGTTTAAACATGGCACCATCCAGCATCAATATTAAATGGATAATTGATTTTCAAAATGATCAGTTTGTGTTTGTTTTTTAGTAAAAATGGCTGCCAGAAGTCAAATAAAATCTACAAACTACTTCATTTCCATTTCTTAGGTCAAAATTTTACAGAACCTTGCCCTGCTGTGAGATGCCATCTATCGCCTATGCTTGTTTACATCCAGGTAGTAGAGCATCACAGCGCTATGGCAGTAGCCTATAATCTGATCTAGAGCCCAATTTAATGGCAGGGGGCTACGCTACGGCATCAATACGACTTATGACCAGCTTCAGTCGCCATATTTGTTTAGTCAGCCATAGTACTAGCCATCAAACATCTTTTTAGCTTTGCCTGGTTTCTTTAGCAAAGAGACTAAACACAACTCACCCACTCTCCTCCAGCAGCTGCTTGTTTGTGGGGGAGCCCTGACGAGTTGAGCACTGAATGCAGCGGATCATATCCATTATGAATAATCATTATAATAATCATTTTTCACTGCAGTTCTTCTGCCTCACCGTCTCATTTCCATGAGGTAATAATCATAAATGTTCTTCCTTGAGCTGCGAAACTCCGCTGCACTCAGTGATTGACTTGTCGGGGCTCCCCCACAAACAAGCGGCTGCTGGAGGAGAGTTTGGAGAGTTGTGTCTAACTCGAGGTGGTGTCTAACTCGTCAATGTGCCCATCTTCACACTGTAGTCCAACAGCCTTGGAGCAAAAGGATCAGGGGGGTTAAATGATTTATCTAAGACAACATATACTTTATTTCTTATTTTAAAAGCTGTTGTAAACTGAAGTTTCTGCATAAATGTGGATCTTTCTCCATCTTTTATGATCATATTTGACCGTCTGTACACTCCAGTAAAATAATAGAGCATTCAGAGATTTTTGTCTACATCCTTCTGCTGACCACTCTATGGTAACATATAATTAGGTTATAAACCCACCAAAGTTTAGATACTTATTATTCATCAATCATCTCCCTCAATAAAGTAATATCTTCAAGTTTTTAATGATTTCCCATAACTGCAGCCATCTTCTGTCAGTTCACAGAGGATCTAAATATCAGGCTGTGCTGCGGTTGCACTCTTTGAAAACCCTCTGTGTAAATGACCCCGCCCAGTCCGCCACTCCCAGAGTGAGTTCAGCTTCACTCCCTTCCTCCTTTCTTTACTCCTCACTCTGACAGTCAACTCTACTCTGCCAACCTGTCTGAACCCACGTCCTAGGGCCACGATTTTTCCACTTAAGAGGCTCAACCGCTGTGTCATTTCTTGACTCGAACCCTCTGAAACATGCAACACAACAAAGACGTGCGCCAATGCTTCAAGTACAATCTTTGAAGAGGAGGAGAAAGGCAAAAACATCTTATAAATCCTGATATCCTGATTATAACTTCAGCTTTTTCTCATCTGTTTGGAAAACATACAGTAGCACGGCTTTCTGTCATCCATCATTTGACTCAAAGACTTCTTGAGACTTCTTGCTGTTTTTCTGTCCTGCCATGAGTGAACTTGATTGAACCTCAGAGGTCAGGTTCTGGAGTGAAACACCCCATGCTCACTCCTCTTGTTGGAGTAACAATGGTGGCCTTCAAGGTTAAGAAGCTCCTCTGATGCATGATGAGTGTGATCCTCCATTTGTCAAGTTTTTATCATCAAGACTAGGGCTGGGCGATACACTGAAAATTCACTGATACCAAAATTTATGTCAATAACTGACATCATTTTGCCTGTGTCAGTATATTCTGTGTCAGAAAAATAGATAAATAAAAGTTGTTTTTGGATGTGTGTTGGTAGGCTACAGTCTCATGTCCCTTTAAGACGCCGCCCTGCATCAAAAAATTGCAATAAATGCGTCCAGGGGAATCATACTGTCAATATAACTGCCACAGCCCCATCTATTGGCTAAACTTTTTTTGTGGAGTAGTTATCGTCCATTTATCATTATCGAAGTGAACTGCTCAATATATCGTGATATTGATTTGAGGCCATATCACCCAGCCCTAATTAAGACACCTCTATCTGTGCAAAAACGCAAATATACAAAAAGTACATTCATGTTACTAGTTTGTGCATCCTGTAGAAACACTGAGGAGCAAGATGTTGGCGTCTGTACGGTCACATGATCCTTAAATGATCCTTATCTTCAGATTGATTACACACTCATTTTAAAAGCAAACATGCTGCACCTTTTAGTAGAACTTCAGTCTCGCTTTAATCAGACGCGGGACTTTTTCTTCTGCATGCAGCTCTTTCCGTGTCAGTCTCCAGACACCTCGCACACCCCTGACCGGCTGCTGCTCTGCTGAAACAAACGGCTCTTCTCATCCTCCTTATTTTCCTCCTGTGAGGAGTCACCAGGTGTGACCCTTGAACTCTGAGCCAAGCCCATCCTCCCACCCGTGCTGCAGGTTGTGTTAACAGAGGATTCTGACATTGTCTTTCCTCTCTTTACCTCCTTTTTTTACAGACTGCTCCTTAGTTTACATGCTTGTAACAATGAGACCCAAAAGCTCAGAACCACGCCAAAGATGAAGTGACTGCAAGGACTACAAATACTTTCTCTGTGCATGAATGTTTCACCCAGTTGGCGTCTTTATTTCTTTTTCACCTCCGTCCCAGAGTTTCTTCTAAAAATAAGATGCAAATTGAGTCCAAATAGAGGCAGATTCCCTCAAAAGTGGCCCCCCGCTGTTCTGGTCTGTTCTTCGTCTTATACCTGCTGATGAATTAGGCCAAACAAACCGCCACACTCGGTCAGGGGGCTGAACCATGCATACCAGATGAGGCCGTAATGAGAGAGAGGATTGAGTGGAGTGGAGTGGAGTGCTTGTTTGTGGAACAAGGTGGAAAGAAAATGGGAGGGGAGGGGGGCGACTCCCTATAAATATCATCCAGGGGGTGTTTTGTCAGAAGGGTGTGTGAGTGGAGCGAGCAGGAAAAGGCCGAGAGAAGGTAACAGAGTGTGTAGTGTCCCGGCTTGAGGAGAGAGAGAGTGTGTGTGTGTGTGTGAGAGAGAGAGAGAGGAACTGAAAGTGAGCGAGGGAGGAATCAGGCGTAATTACAGACAAACGGCAAGTCAGGACGGTTTTAGCGAGGGAACTCCGTGGACTGGGGAGAGGGTGAGCGAGCGAGAGAGAGAGAGAGAGGGAGGCCGAGTGTGACTCAGAGAAGAGATGTTTGTTTGCTAGCCCTGTGGTTGCTGCCCAACATGGCAACCGCCCGCTCGCAGCATAGCAACCACTCCTTCCACTCATCCACCGCAGGGAGATTCCTCCTTAAAACGTATCATTTCAAAGAAATGGGAACCAGATACTTGTCCTTATCATCGGCGTTACCGCGGCAACGAGGCGGGCTTCTCAGGTCATGCAAATGTAAAAGAAAAACTTGGAAACAAACTTAGAAACTGCGGTAACCAAAGTGTTACCGCTCCAGATTTCTGTTTGGTGCCAATTAGACAAACTTTACTGTAAAAAAAGACTGAAATCACTTTTTTGGCGCCAATAAAGTAAAAAAATAGTTTCTCCCCCATGTTGCATTAGTTACTGATTTAAAAAGTCGCCAAAAATACAAGCTCTCAACCTCATGAAAGTGAATGTGGACCTACAAAAAATCTAAATCTGCTCATGTGTTTGCTTAAAGCTCCTGTAAGACATTTTCTGCCCTATGACACTCGACGTCATTAAAACGTCTTTTTTCAGGCTAAGTCACGTTGGCCCGTCATGGCTGTAATTTAGCCCAAGAAATACGTCCAAAACTGGGCTTTATTTAGACAGTCCAAATCTAGATGTTGTTTAGACATATGAAGACCTCTTTTCTACGTCTTTTCCACCACTTTTTGCCGGGTGGGTACCTGACAGAGCACACAACACAGCTCCAGGTACAGGTTCTTGTAATATCAGGCACTGACCACGGCAACTCTTTACTTGCAGGCCTCCCTTCATGCATGATGATCCAGAATCCAGCATCGCATCTGGTCTTCAACCATCCCAAAACTGCTCTTCACGTCACTTTCCATCTCTCTCTACTCCACATCAAATTTAAAGCCTTACCTCTCTCTGATAAAACTGCTGCATAAACAACTCCTGCCCACCTGCAGCCCCTCATGCAGGTCTACACTCCTGCCCGCTTGCCACACCCTGCCACAACAGGGTTCCTGGTGCTCCCAAAAGTCAATAGCCTGACTCTTCTTCTCTGTTGTTCCTCTGTGTTGAAATTAATTACCGGATTCAGCTCTTTAGAGAACAGCTGTGCCCTTACCCCAAATTTTCACCGTATGCGGAACGGCAGTGAAAAGGCTATCAGCGCTGATCGCTGCTGATCATTTCCATTTTCCATTTCACACCATGCAAACGTGGTTTGTTTCTTAGATAAAGATAAATATTGCACTTACCCATGGTTAATTCTCAATCTCCACTGTAGTGTCTGATCTACTGGTCTGAACAGAATGGATTTCCTCCTTTGGAAGGACACAGTCTACCGCTAATATGGTTATGTGCCTGTCTTTATTGAGACAACTCATCATCGTATGATTTCATAGGTTCTTGCGATTCCTGCTGTCCGAAATTCATCTCACATAGGAATTAGCGGCCGTTCCATATGCGGTGGAAATTTGGGGTTAAGCTCTTCTCTTCTTCTCTATCGTCCCCAGTGGTAGAATAACTGAAACAAGCGCTTTGATGCAACAGTCCCTTTCTACTTCTGAGACTCTGTTTTGCAAAGACGGCTCTTTGTTAACAGCTCAGCACTTGGTACTTTGGTGCCTAATGATAAAACAGTTTTGAGAAGACGTTTCCAAACTCTGACTGAGATTTGTGACCTCATGAGCATGTCTCTGATCCAGCTCTCATTGTTTTATTCCAGCATTCAAAACGTTATGATGATATGGTTAGATAACGCTGAAGTGTGGATAGAAATATTGAGTGAAAGCAAGAGCACATAGAGGTTCAGGATGGGGTAAAGTTTTAACGCCAACACTTTAAAGACTTTCTTGCAGGTTTTTTCAACTTTTAACCTTCAAATAAATCCTATAAGGTATAAATCAAACATTTGATTACAGTAGGGGCAGTGTATTTCAACATGGCTGCTGTCCTCCTGCAACCTCTATCTGGGTGTTTTTCTCAGACCGCGAAGTGCAATATTTGGATAAAGTGAGACGTATATATTTTTTGAGCCTTGGCAAAGAGGTTTAATCAAAACCAACCACACTGATCCAGTCTTTTGATTTGTTTCCCCGGGTTTCTAAGATCATATCTTCGCCCGACTTATACGAGGAGTTTTGCTGTCCACAGGAGGTGAAACTTCTTAAAGAGATAAACTCCTGCACATGGATCGGCTGGAGGAGTATCAAAGTGTCTGGAGCACAGAGTGTGAGTGTGTGCAGACATCGACAAACAATGCAGCGCTATATTTGTGAAAGCAGACTGGGCCTCATGCTCTGTCTTGAGGGCGAAACGTTGCCGCAAAGTAGCATCATTAAAACCCGAGATTTCTGCCCCAACGTGTTAAAAGAAAGCTCTGTGCCATTTTGAAACCTGTCCAGCCGTGGCCATTTTGTGTGAAAGCATCATTCACATCCCAGGCTTAGATTTCTGTGGAAAACTACCAGGGAGGCAACGCATGTGTGTGTGTGTGTACGTGTGTGTGTCCACGAGCCTCTGTGTCTATTGGCTCGTGGCTTCCCGGCTCACCACACCCTCCATGTGTGTGTCAGGTGTGGAAGTACCTCAGGAATGAGAATAAGTCAGCAGAGTGAGAGGAGGGAACTTTACACACTCGATAAAGAATGTGCTTTTGAAGCTTTATCTGCAGCAACATTGATCCAGTTTGATGGTTTTCTTGTTCGTATCTCATTCTAGCTGCACGGGCAACATAGAGGACGGTTTAGTCAGCATTTCTGTTGGCATAAACCCTCAGAAAGACATACTCTCAGTGCAGCAGATGGTTGTCACAATGGCAACATGGACGCGAGCTGTGAGCTAATTACCAAATTACTAATTACTGTTCGAAATGTGGACTCGTCAGTCCATCTCAGATGAGTTCAGGTCCAGCTGATATCTGGCTCAGGCTTTGTGTGGTGGAGTTTGAACTTGTACTTGTAGATGTAGAGACGAACGGTGTGAACTGACAATAGTTTTTTCTGTGTTCCTGAGCCTGATGGGGGTTTTTAATAGAGTGCTATCTGAGGGGTCAAAGGTCATGGGTGTTCCATGTTGGTTTTGTGATGATGTTGGTTTTGTACTCGGAAGTCAGAATTTCCGAGCTCTGAGTCGAAATTCCTCTGGAACGCACCCCTGAAGTCGGATTTCCGACTCAGAAAGTCGGACGATTCCCACCAACCCTAACTTGACGACAACGTCATAATCCAAGATGGCAGCGCAGTGCATCAACAGTAAAGATAGACAATGAAAGCTCTCATTATGTGTTATTTATTAGACCTTCTGTTTTGTTTTTGTGAAATTAAATAAGTGGTTTATGTTGTGCTGCCCAACGTCTAACTGTGAACACGGTGCAATGGTGTTTGTAAGTATGAAATACTGTGTTCTGCTTTGTTTACACCTGGTATAGCTAACGACAACTACCAACAGCTGACAACCGCTAATGACAACTGACAATTATCAACAATAGCTAACAACGGCTAACTGCAGACGTCCATCTTGGTTTTCCAACTTGTTTACTGGAATGCCGTCAACTCGGTTGTAACGTCATTCCCAGCTCCAACATCCGACTTCCAAAGTAACTGGAACACAGCATTGGGCCTTTCTCTGGATTTTCTGAAGAATTGATGATTTTTATGGACCGTAGATAATATAATCCCTAAATTCCTGCAGTTGTACACGTAGAAACATTGCTCTTAAATGGTTGGACTGTTCACTCTCGCAGTTGTTGACAAAGTGGTGAACCTGGCACCATCCTTGCTTGTGAAGCCTGAGCCTTTCAGGGATGCTTCTTTTATAGCCAACCATCATACTCACCTGTATCCAATGAACCTGTTCACCAAACAGGTATTTCTGGAGTTCTCCCAGTTTTTTGTTAACCCTGTCGCAACTTTTTAGGAATGTGTTGCAGCATCAACTTCAAAATTAGTGAATATTTGCCAAACACAACAAAGTTGACCAGTTTGAGCATTGAATATCTTGTCTTTCATTTAAAATGTTCAGCAGATCGTTGTATTCTCTTTTCATGCACCGTTTACACAATGTTCCGACTTTATTGGAATATGGATTTATATTTCAGCATTTTTGCCTGCCTGTGTCCTGGCAGGTTTCCTCCAGGTGCTCTTTTTACTCGTGAAGGAAGAAAAACACGCATGACAAGTGAACTGGAAACTCAGAATTGCCCACAGCCATGAATATCTTTGTCTTTGTACTTGTGTGAGGAACCCATCAAGGATGTTTTCCAGGGTTTAGCTAGTGCATGCTACATCGAGCTCCACTCAGCCCTGACCTTTGAAAGTATATCAACACAGAAATTATGGTTTACGTGTACTAAAGCCTTTTTTTCCCATTCTTTTATACTCCATAATGTTTGTTAAATCTCCTGTTAATAACCTCACAGTATAGATATGATGAGCAGAATGACAACACATCTGTCAGGAAAATTATTCTGATGCGTTTGCTATTTTTATCGGTTGCATAGTTGCACAAATCTTGTTTTTGCCAAGTTGAAAAGCCAAGCCCTCACATTCCTCTGCCTGCTGGAGGGTGATGGAGCATACAGGGCTGAAAAAATAAAACGAAGAGAGGAGAGGAAAGAAAGAAAGAAAGAGAGAGAGAGAGAGCACATCTTTAAACGGTTATTCAAGGCTTCCAGTCAGAGCTGCTGTGGTTTGGGATGTGTGGGCTTGTGCAGATGTGTACGCCAGTGTCTTGCAGGGGATGTGCTGATTCTCATGGAGAAGCGGGGTGTGTCAGACCCAGCCTGTATTTGTGTCAGCATGAGTAAGGCTTCATGATAAGAAGGAGTAGGAACTTCCTGAGAAATGGGTTGTGTTTTATGGAATCTTAAGATAGGCATCTAACTCTAAAATGTGTAGATCTTCCACTGATTTGTTGGTTGTCAGTTTTGATCACTTTAATAGTCAGGGTTTTAACTTTGTTAGTGGAGAATTTCTGCCCTGTTCTTACAAGAAATTAGCTCTTCATTAACCCATTCATAGACACACCTGTCACTCAAAAGTCAATCTTAACCCCCTACATTTCCATCCTATGGAGTTCCCCAAGGCTCAGTGCTCGGTCCTCTTTTGTTCTCCATTAAAATGCTCCTAATAGCCTTGCACTTAAAGAGAAAAAAGACCTTGAACTTCAAAACTGTCATAGCAAATCATAGATAAAATGTATGTTTTGTTTTTTTTTTTCTCACATTGTCGACATAATTTCTGGGGGCAACGGGACACCACAACCTTATATAATGTTTTTTTGTTTTTGTTTTTTTTCCTAGGCCCTAATCCTCTTCCGTTGTCTACTCTCTAATCATGTAGTGGTAAGACTTTGATGGATATTACAACAGATATGACATTTAAGTATCTCGTTGACATCCAAATAATTCATCAATGAATTATCTTTTTTATTTTTACCAAAACTTTAGCGATCAAGTTTCAAGGGAAAACAGGACGAAAGACGAGCAAAGGCTAATCACTGGCAACGTTGAGCAGCTAATGTCACCTGTGGATGCTTGCATTTAGTGTCAATATTCTCTTAAACCTACTTTTTTTTTTGCCAGTTTGAAACACTCAAACGATATCAATAATTGAAACACAATTCCCATCATATCTTTTAAATGTGGAGTTCCTCAAGGCTCAATCTTTGGTCCCCTCTCATTCTCCTCTTTAATTCTTCTGCCTGAGATAAAAATTCCGAATCAAAACCATGTTTGGTATTTATTATAACCTTCACATCCAAATAAGCCTTCAGGCAACTTTTGCAGTATTTTGACTCGTGCTATCTGCCTCGTTTTCCTAGAAACCAAGAACAAAAAAGATTAGTGACAATGTTAGGCCAAGATATCAATATTCTGTTTCAGTAATAGATTTTCAAGTTTAAAACAATTTCACTAAACTTAATGTCAAACAATATTAATTGTACTTGTCTTTTCCAGAAAATAAGCTCAGACTGAACATCTTAGTGAGCATGTTGTGTGGTGCCTGAATGAACATGCCCACTTAATGGCTTGATTGTGTCATTATACAAAGAAGAACTTAGACGTAGTGCAGAGTATCTCTTGGCAAAAGTGTGGCCAATAACAACAGTAAAGAAACTTGGCTCCGTGTAAGTTTGTAGTATTGTGAAAACCAGCAGCTGCTTCAATGAGTGACTTGATAACACACACATGACCTTTAATTCAGGTGCCAAAAAAGTACGTCTGAGGTTCAGCTGCCTGGAGAACGAAGGCTGACATCCACACTAGATAGCAGTATTATTGGAAAGCAAGTCAGGACATAGTTTGATGGACAAAGAACTCGCGTCATACCATTTTTGAGTGATGCAAATATGAACCACAGTCTGAGAGAGCCAGGAATACTTTGTTTCATTACAATCAAATCGTAATAGCTTGAGTTTATATCATCAAATGTTGCTCAGAAGTTTTTCTTTTCTGATGCTCCATGTGATTAAGATGTCAGGTTTAATTAATAGAAAAGCAAACACCTACACTGTTATTTTCATTCCTTAAAAACAGTCAGAAAAAAAAAACAGTGCCAATTGTTCAGCTCTGGCATACTCAACACTACAAACAGTGTACCAGTGTGATACTGTGAATGCATGACCTGACAGCTGCTCTGCATACCTTCCAGCGCTGTCATCCATCACGTGATAAGAAACCGCAAAATTACTTTAAAGGAGGGGGAAAAACATCAGTGTCTCTCACCTGGATGGAGCCAAACACTCATCACCTAAGAGAGTAATTCTTTGTCTGCCATCCATGGGAGGAAATTACATCCCTTTGGCACAAGGCGTGAAATCTCTATCTGTCCTTGGATGACAGGGTGTAACCAAAAGATTAGAGGGGATGCAGCGCAAATGATGCTGTTGCTTGTTTGTCTTTGCTCAGCAGTGACTTTGTAGTTTCACTGAATACTGACAAGCTAAGTCATGAGTGCTTATTTCCGCCTTTGCTTTTCCTAAAGCGTGAGGTAATGTTTTCCATTTTCAAGTCAAAAAGCCCCCCAGGCTGATGACAGAAGAGGATATTTGGTTGGTTAAACTACCAGCCTAAAGGGTTGGCATCCTAAAAAGGCTGTTCAAATGTCTTCCTGCCGACAATCACGTAATGAAATCTGCAACTCTGTCTTTCTATACCTCTGTTGGATAAGTGCTTTCATTCAAAGCTATACGCAGAGATTAAATTGGGCCGTAGCCCTCCAGAACTCAACTCCGCCTCCTCAGCTCGTTATGCTTCACTCAGTGCGTTTACATGCACAGTTTAATCGGACTAAGCTCTTAATTCGTGTTTTTGTTTTGCCGAATCAAACATCTCTCCTTGTCCGCGTATACATGCAGCTGAGAAAATCGAATTACTGACATGAATGTGTCCCAGTCCCCAAAACTAGGGGGCAATATGGGTCTTCTCAGTAGTGCTGTTTCTGGTTGACCCAACAACAACAGCAGGTTTGTGCCAGACGTCAGAATTGGCTACCACTTTCGCTGGGCATTTTTGAGCGAGAAGATGGAGTATCGTAGAGCGTTGTTTTTGTCGTACATGATGTACACGCTTCTATTTCTGCAGATGAGGTGCACACTACTCCTCTTCTCTGGTGTTTCTGTTCTGGGGTTACAGAGGCGTGGCGCACACACGCATGCATTGTCCAATCGTACTCTGACTGCGCTGGTTAAATGGTGGAGAATTGAATTCCAATTACGTTATCTGGGTGTCGTAATCAGAGTTCTCCGACTCGAATAGGAGTTCTCTAACTCCGATTATACTCAGACTAAGGTGTTTACATGCGCTTCAGCTGTCCGGTCTTAATCGGAGTACGGCAATAATTCAGTTTTCTCGAGTGTCATGTAAACGTACTGAATGTTTCATCGTAATCATGGGTGTAGCTACCAAAAATCATTCATTTAAATCCCCATCAATACATCAGCCTGTTCACTCAGCGCTGTGTCAGAGCTTCATTACTGAATCCATTCTGCTCATTTATTGAGTTAAAACCTGAACCAATGTCCACGTTTTCACTGCTACGGGCATCTTCTCGCATACCTCGCAAGTGCACGCACAGAAGGTGGATGAAATAACTGTCACAGCAAAATGTTACTTTGTTAATTTACTGAAACTAAATGTCTGTATTTTTCACCTTTATGTTTCTGTGGTAAAGTCTCTACAGAGCTGATGCTACGTGAGCAAATTGTGAAAAGATGAGGAGGGCGAGTAGTTTTCACTTGATTAACCGCCGTTCTCATTAGCTAACCGTAGACAAGCTAATGCTAAGCTAGTGTTACCCATTAGTCAAGTCAGTCCGCCACAGTCTCTCACAGAAAAATAAAGTTACATCGCCAACCCACCAACCCCCTCCCGCTGAGTAAAGAAGGACTCTTCCTCCTTTAACCACTGGCTATATGTATGATGCATAATTTGTGTTCCAGTGAGAATAGACATTTACCGATTGAAACTGTAGACCCCCAAAGAGGTGGACAACTTGGCTGCTTCCACTTTTACAAACACATTAAACTCTCAGGTGTAAAAGGCCTCGGGTTCATTTATGTGTCCGCTATAAACCTTTGCGACGAATGCATCTTGAAACTCTGATCACTGCATTCACTAGACCTGTCAGGATGTTTAGTAGCTTATCAAACCAGCCATTAAAAATTCACTCTCTGCAGGCAGAGAGAGATACTGATTCACAGCTCTGTGCTCACATCCTGTGTGACAGGAACACACCTGCAGGTTTATCAGAGTCTAATGCGACCGGAAAATGCTCCCATCAGCTTTTATGGTGTTTATTCTGTAACCGTCATGGCAGCAGATGGTCCTGCTGCTCTTCCTACAAAACAATAGGAAATGATGTCACTGAGACCTGAGTAAAAACCTGTGTGAAAGCAGCTGTTTGTGGTTTGACTTTTGAGAAAGTTTGTTTCAGTAAAGAGAAGAGGGAGCCTGTCCTGACCCTGACTGTAAAAAGGTCAAGTTTGATCACTGCTGAGAGCAGAGCGACAGGTGACACTGAAGTTCACTCCCAGACAGATTCAGGCTATTTTGGAAAATGGTTTGAGGGGCTCTTAAGCTTGTTGTGAAATTTTTCCACTGCCAAGAACAAATGTGACAGTCAGAGCCTCAGTATGCCGGGGCCTGTCAGGACATTCCTCCCTCTGAAACCGGTATCCCTCTTTTTTCCCCTCATCTCTCCATCCATCCACCAAAATGAAGGCTGAGGTGCAGATACCGCCGAATTGATCATTTAACGCTTCATCTTAGAGTCCAGAAGGCTGTCATGTAGTTTCAACGCTCAATGATGTTCATTTACTTTCTTTAATAAATACTGTGTTTTGTTTAGGATCAGACCTATTCTGTGTTAAAATGACTAAAGTTCAACTCATTCGTTTTCTATCAAATTTGTTTCTACAGGATAAAAAATGTTGAACTGTTTGCATATTTACGTTATTCTGACATTTATTGCAAAATCAGGACAGATATCATGACATGAAGATTTATACTTGCTTTATATTATACTATAATCCAAATATATATATATAAACTCAGCAATTTGCCCATTTGGTTGCTCCTGCTTGTGTTATTAAAGCATGCGGAGTCATAGATTGTGAATTCTATCAGATGTGCATGTAAAAGTGACAGATCAGATCCTGCTGTTTATGCATGAAGGAAAAGGTCATAAAAAAAGATCAAATCTGATCCAATCTGCTCGTCACCTCTCTGATTTTGATCCATTTTTAGAGTTACTCTTTCATTATGGCGGCAGATGAGTGAAAATCCTCATAATGTAGAAATCTTTCATGTTTTTTTGTATGACATGCACCTAAAATGTAAAAAAAAGTGCGGGCCAGGACTTAAACTTTAACTTTAATTAATTACAGAAATATTATCTCTTTTAAAACATAAACGCATTTTAATCGCACCAACTGTATTTTTGCACTGCAGAACATTTCTCACTGGAAATAATACTCACTCTTTTCAGGTCAAATATTTGTATGCGATTAATTGCGAATAATTGATTATAAAGCCTCTGACTTATTAGATTAATTTTTTAATCGAGTCCCAGCTCTAAAAAGAAGATTCTCACTGATAAAGCAGCCTTCATCCCGGACAAACAAATACATTTAAAAGTTATGAAAATGTTTTATTATTATTATTATTTTTTTAATCTTTTTTTTTTTGTTTAAGCTCCATAATTTGTTATTTAAGCACAGTAAGAGGAACATCCAGCAGTAGACAGGGTTTTGAAGCAAAGCGTATGTTTGTGATTTGTTTCGTTTGTATAATCTGTATAAAACTAATAACAATATTATTGAGTAAAAAACGTTTTAAAAACTCCTTATAGCACCTTTAACTGACTTCAGTGCCACATATGTTTAGCTCGATCAGTTTCATTCTAGTTTGTAAAGCCTGCTTCAAAATTGGTTTTTCCTGCTTCTAATCATAACTGTATGGTTATAATTAGTGTCTGGATGTTATTAGGCAACTCAGCCACATCTCGGCGTGCACACACAGAGCAGGGTTGTGTTGAATCTTATGAAATAGACTTTCATGCTAATTTGATTTAGTGCGTCTCATATGCAACATGCCAAAAAAAAGGACACTGGATGCAATTTGTAGCTTTTAAAATGGAATCAAGCCAAAAAAAAGTGAAAAACAAGGAGTAAATCAATAATTTCGATGTGCTCGTAACAAAATATTTGCATGGTAAAGCTTCAACTTCAGACTCAACAAAGAGGGGCCTCCTCTTTCCTCAGGTTACCTCACCCTGGGGTGATGATGATGATGAGGGGGTGTGTATTTGTGGCATTTCTGACTGTGAGGAGTGTATGAGGACAATAACATCAGGCCTAACACAGACAGGTTTATGATTGGAGTTATCGCTCGTGAAGTTGCCAGGAAAATTGGAGCCCTGAGTGAACGGAAGTCCCTTTTCTTAATGGTGATAAAAACAAGCTTGAATTCTTCACAAATCAGTGAAGGTCACACAGGCCTGTGCATGTTATACTCCCGTCTGTACATTCTCCATATGTCCTTTTATGCATTGTTCCTCTTATACCATGATACTTTAGTTAGATTTTCTTTCTCTGTGGCATTCGAGGCCGCGCTTTGAGTCGGCTCTGGTCGTTTCTCTGCTTAATAGAGCAGCTGCTTTGTGCCAGAAGGCAATATTCCTTATTACTGGAAAGAATTTTGCATGAGTCACTCAAAAACGACAACTTAAAAAGAGAAAATAGCCCTCAGTGATGCCAGACATCAGATTGGTTCTGCCCGCCGTTTTCGTCCACAAAATATTTTCGAGGCTCATTTGATGCATGAAGGCTGCGAGAGCTACGGATTTTTCCTTTAGCTGCAGGAGTCAAACCTGTGACCCTCGGGGGTATAGAGGACTCAGCAAACCTGTGGATCATAAAAACAAGACTCCCCTCGGCCGCCTCAGTCCTGAGCTGACAGGAATAAATACACACAGAACACAGAGCGCTCTGCAGACATTCACATGCAGAATCATGACAGGATTTACGTTACGCAGACAACCTCATACAAACACTGAAGATAAATATACTGCAGAGCACATAAGTCAGGAGTGTGTGTGTATGTGATCCCACACAAATATAGACACACTCGTATTTACACACAGACCTGCACACAGGCTCTGCTTTTATGTTCTCATCTTCATTTGTACCTTTTTTTAACTTAAAGACAAATAAAATAATAACAAATTCTATTAATAAAACTCAAAGATGCGTCTTAGTTTAAGAGCTTTCCACACCAACTGTAAGTGACTCTGTGTGTTTATTTTTTAAAGTACAGGCTCATTTCAGGCTCATATCTACTCAATCTGGGTCTCATTTATCAACTTCTTTCACACACGCTGTTCCTGGTTTGGCTCTAATCCGAGTCAAATCTGTGATTTACTCTTGGCGAAATAATCATGACGTCAATATTTGAGTGATTTAAAATGGATATCCTTCCAGACACACAATGCTCCGAGTGATTTTCCTTCATTATCTGGGAAATAGACTCTTTAAACAACAGTAGTAGAAGTTTAGTAGAGGGATTTTTTTCCAGCATGTCATGTATTAAAGGGACAAGACACTAAAAATTGAAAACTTTTATTTGGGTTGGAAAGTTGCTAAAACTTTTGCTTTAGTTTGACTCAACCTGCAAATTAACTTCTTTCTATGTAGGATGACCATCCGTCGTCTTTTACCAAGACATGTCCTCTTTTTTAGGGGGCTGTCCAGGTTTATCTGGGGAAGTTTATAAAATCCTTCAAATATCTGCAGTTTTGTATATAAGCTTCTATTTTGTGTCACGTGGACTTTCTGAGTTAGAACCTGTAAAAGACACTCAATCCACCCTGCATAGTTGTGTCCTCTTTTTGGGAAGTCAGAATATGGTCACCCTATTTCTATGGATCTCCTTTAGACTGACTTTGCAGGCTCTGTAGTCTAACTACTGTAGATCCATTTGCGTAACCCCAAAAGAAAGATGTTTTTAGCATCTTAATGAATCTAATCCATGGTTGCACCATGTTGTTGCCCGTACGTCTCATGGTTCCCACCCCATGTCACCATATAATGCAAGTTTAGTGGGGATTTTTACACTCACCCATGAACACAGTGCATAGCTCTGTTCTGCATTTAGATTATTTACAGCGGTGGTTCCCAAACTCTTTCAGCCGTGCCGTTCTTTGGAGGATGAAAGTGCTTAAATTGTCTCATGTCTATCTTGTTTGTTCAGACGTACAGAACGTAGTACTGTTACTGTACATAAAAACATGAGAGTAACTTCAGTTTTGTCGCTCGTTTTAGTTTGATTGTGCCTCTCTTACATAACCATTTTTTCATTAAATCAGATAAATCCGACAACTTTCAGCACATTTGACTGTTGGAATGCTAAAAACATCCTGACACACAGAAAGTGAAGGAAAGTCTGGGTGTGTCCCTAAACACACATCTACGCTAAAACACACACACACTCACTCACAAGCAGACAGACCAATTATTAAGGCGCAAGTACACCTTCTCCTTATGTTCCTTAAGGTGTTACAAACCAAAGAGGTGAGGGTCCTTTGGGTGTTAACAGGAAATCCCTGTGTGTGCTGTAAGTGTGCTGATATCATTGTTCCCCCTAGAAACTCTCGGGATAATACGCATTTGTTCCCATGAAGTCAGAGGAAGCGTCCCACACCGCTCTGCATCAGAACGCAGAGTCTCAGAGGAGTTCTGGTCGGGATGTCCTGGAATGTGGCCGTTTGGTGGATTAATTAAATATTAACCTGCAAGATATAGAAGCTCGAAAGGCCAGAAAGAGGTCAGCCAGCGGGGCTCCAAGTGGAGCAGAGGCAGCATTTTTAACAATAGTAGAGTTTAAAGTGATATTTCAAGCTACACCAGGAAGAAGATTGTAAAAGTTAAAGGCCATTTTGAGTGGTGCTTCTTGGCTCAACTGATCAGTGTGAAGGTCAAGTTTAAGTACGACTCAACTTCTAGTTACACCAACTTTATTTACACTTTCTCTTTGACAAACTTTCACTCCTTGGGTATAACCTTCTTACAGCACAAAATACCTTCAAATTTATGAAGTCTAAGGAGTTAAGGAGTTCATCAGTTATTTGGCTCAAAACAAAATCTCTTTTGACACTTAACATTACGGGCCGTAAATCATTTCGTCAGTGGGCAGATCCGACCAATGAATTTTGAAAGTAGGAGTTACACTATTTAGAAATATCTTATCTTCCCTCCGATGGGCTCATTTGCTGTTGTAGGTGACACAGATGTATCAGGAGAAGCGAGATACTTTTTAAAATCTTGTTAAAAGACACTTGCGCTTCCCTCATCTCGATCAACATCTACTCCTTTGTCATTAGGAGTTCCCCAGGGTTCAATGCTTGGTCCTCTTCTATTCACCTTCCGCACACTCTCTCAGTGAAATCAAACACAAACGTGGTCTTCCTTTGCATTGTTATGCTGATGACTCTCTGCTCTTTCATAACCAGTCAGTTGGGAACTAAGTCCTCCAGACTCTGGTCCCTGGTTAAAGTCCTGCAGTAGAATCGTGTCTTTTGATTGGAGGGGAAAAGTATGTGTTGGTTGTAAAAATCATCCGTTTTTTTCATCTGGATGGACTCTGCACATCTGTCCCAAATGTCGAGTTAAATTTTCAACAAGTAACTGATGTTTCCTGTTTGGGCCAAAACTTTTAAACAGACTGATTGACTAACATCTGCCTCCTTATAAGGCTCTGTCACTGGCTGAGCAAAGATCTTGTTAAAACCTCATCACACCACTGGCATCCAAACTCAAACACAAACCAAAAGCAATAACTTCCTCTGCTGCTCTCTCTCTTTCACACGCTCACATTCTCTCATGTCAACACCGTCCTCTGTCCCCGCCTCACCCTCAGGCCAGCCGGGTCTCCCCTCCCTCACCGAACGCTTTTCAGTCTGAGCCGCCCTGTGTGTGTTAATCCTGGAGTATTGTGGTGTTGCATTGTCACCCTGATCGCTTGCTGGGATTCTGCTTTGCTGTCCTGACCTACTTTTTTTTTTTGTCTCCAAAAGTTGTGTCCAGGGCCTCGGTGTCTAAACAAAAGAGGGGACTGTTTACATGTTGCCCATCAACGGGCAGGATGATGAAGCTGCCACACTAACAAATGAGATGCAAAGTGAAGGACGGTGTGCAGGTTGGCTTTGGAGAGGGACAACCAGAAGTCCTCTCAAGGAAAGCAGTTTATTAGTTTAGTCATGGGTAGAGCTGAGATACTATCATTGACGATTTATTAACACAGTAACAAAAAAATAAAACCAGTGACACCAAAAAGTAGTCAAATTAGACAAACTTGCATACAATAAAATCTATTTTTACCAAGTCTGTTTTGCTGATTTAGCTAGTTACTGCACATGGTTGCTTTAAGGATATTTATCTAAAAACTGTATCTATTATGGACCACCTTGCTCCGCCTTCCGTCATTTTATGAATTTGAAGCCAAATTGCTCTCTGTATTTCCGGGTTTTTCTCCACTTCCTGGGAGCACCACTTGCACAGTAGCATTGTACGCATTCAGCGGGAGAGTCACCGAGAGGCCCTGTGATGAAGCTCGGCTCAAACAGCGTATCCCCCAGGTTGGCTATGCAATCTTTGTACACCCATAGGCTGTATCAAGTGTCAATCATAGAAAACATGAACCCCCTAATAACCTTTAAAAATGAAGCTGTACAGAAAAAAGAGGACTCGAGCACAAACCAGTCTAACAGTAACTACATGTCAACATCGCAACCAGGGGGGAGAAACATAAATGTTTCTGTGTAATTAATTTCTAAAGTTTGTCCACAACTCCATAGGGATTGCTGGAGGAGGCGGGATTTATTACCTATACTGCAGCCCGTCACCAGAGGGCGTGGCAGACAATGTCCATTCTGAATCGATCTATGTATTTATCAGACAACTGCAGTCATAGATATGAGTAGTAGATAGGACATGCCCCTTTGAACTGCTTGCCTATGTGGCAGCCATCTTGGCGAGGGCATTGTTCCCATTACAGGCAATGCAAGTTCAATGAAACTAAATCATATCTTGCTCATTTTTCAACAGATTTTAATGGGGTTTACTTAATTGTCAATGCCAAAACATGTGGTATTAATACAGAATATCTGATTTAAAAAAATTCTTAAATATTTTGTATTAATAGCACATGTTTTGATGTTAAAAATAAAGCAAACTGCATGAAAATCGGTTGAGAAATGAGCAAGATGTGATTTATTTTCCATGTACATCCAATGCCTTTAATAGGAGCATTGCCCTCACCAAGATGGCTGCAATGTAGGCACGTAGCTTAGCAGGCTGCTACAACACGCTGACGTATCAAGTCTTCCATGTGACTGCAGTCATTATGTACTGTTTTTGTGGGTTTATTGTTGTATTTCCACACTGATTGGGGTCATGATTATTAAAACCCCAAAAGTTACAAGGTATCCTTTGTCCACAGGGGGCGCCAAATCAACACAAACAAAAAGTTCTTCACAGTAGCTTTAATTAAACACATTAGTTGGACCCTAAAACAAATTCTTACCTCTGTTTGAGCCTTTTAATTAAAACAAAAACATTTTCCCATGTTCTCAAACATAAACACGGGTGCAGAGTGCTCGTGAGGTCAGAAACTGACTCATCTCCATGCGAAAGAGCAGCTGCCTGAGAAAAATGCTCCTCTGTTGGTGTTGCTGTTCATGCATCTGTGGAGCTGCTGCAGTTATTCTGACTATGTTGGCTGCAGCGCTCAGAGCAGGACACAGCCAGAGAGTGATAAATCCACATGGAGCATAAATAAAGTGTGTGGCTCATCAACTCAACAGGTAGATAAGTGCTGTGTTCATAAACAGTAATGGTAAATTACTGTTAAAAATGGTTGGGAAATCAGTTTGAAGTTGTATTTTTTCCAAAAGTCAAAGGCTTTAGGGGAGATTTATTGGGGTTTTTTTCTGCCCTATGATTTAAAAATATAGATAATTATATTCTCAAAGGCATTTAGATAAGTCAGCACCGAACAGCCCACTTTAAAAAGAGATTAGTTGTAAAAAGTCAGGAATGCCCTCAGGTCTTGATGCTGATTCCCATGCCTGAGGGGCCCTGTGTGCTCAGCTGGTTGACTCCTGAAGGCTCTTCACGGCTCTTCGTGGCTCCTGACCGGAGGCCTGTAAAGCTGCACAGTAGTATCAGTCATCTCTGAGCTCGTGCACCGCTCTAGGGAAGTGACTTTGAGCTTTGTTGTGTCTCCTCGGCCCCACGCTGCGCTGCTTTCCATACGGGGCGGGGTGCCGCGCAGTCCGGCGCACAGAGCAGAGCGCACCGTCACCAGCTGCTCTCCCCGCTCCGTCTGACGGCACAACATGGGTCTGGAAAAAGAGAAACTGGATACGAGTATAATTATGGACGAAGACGAGTTTAACAAATCGATTGAACCTATCCTGTCGAAGAAAGGGAAAGTTTACACTGCGGAGCCGGACCGGGATCCAAACGATATCAACGCGCACTTGAAGGTAAATCTGAACATGGAGCGGGATTACACACTGAAACTGAAACTGTACGAGTTACAGCCAGCTAGATTGAATCATGTACAGTAAGAACTACTGTAACCTCATTGTTTTTTACATAACAAGCTACGAGAGAACAATCAGCAGCGTGAATACCTGGAAGTGGCTGCTTGTGCGTCACTCCATCACCATTACAACCTCGGCTTATTCCCCGTCTGTTTGATCTGACAGGTCAGCTTTGACGATGTCATCGCGGAGCCCATCTCATCTCACAGCTTCGACAGAGTGTGGATAGGCAGCCATGCAGCCTTCGAGCTGGTCAAATTCATCTTTTACCGGCTGCTGAGCACGCTGCTGGCCGTGCCCATGGCTTTCATCCTCGGTGTGGTGTTCGGGGTGCTCAGCTGCATCCACATCTGGTAAGGAGAAGGAGTTCGTATCGACCTGCAGGTTTTCTGTTTTTGCGATGTAAACACAGCCTGACTAATCTGGCTCAGTGCCACATGATACAGCAAATACTGAGTTTCATCCTCATGTTAGAGAGATGTTTGGAGCTTAAAAGTTGAAATAAAGAGCATTAATATCTGTCAAGACAGCCAAAAACATTAAATGCATAAAAATGAATATCCTGGACATGTCATAAAAGTTTGAAAGTGTAAAAAACAGATGAAAAAGTATAAGTTTGAGCTGCAAACACATTTTAACTTGCATAAATATCCATAATTGGGACACAAACATGCTTAAAATGTTATGTAAGTACGATAATTTCACTCTTAACTTCGTTTTAGGCACCAAAAATACACAGTTCGCATTCCTGCATGGGCTTAACAGGCTCGCTGCAGTGTGTGACTTTTCCCTTAGGGGCTGCTGCTAATTGGCAGCATACTTATTCTGGCCCTTTAGGCAAACATTGACACAAGTTATTTTTACAGTCAGCGTCACACGCAGTATGGGTTTGAAACATTTTGTCAGCGTTTTGTTTTGATATCTATATTTGGATGGTTATGTCACACATATGTCTGCTGTACGCGCCTGCAGCAAGTTAAACCAGGTGCCTCAGTTTTGGAGCTAATCATGCAGTGAATACATATGTTCCACTCTAAGGGTCCATTTATTAACACATAATGGAACAACATTTTAGCCATGAAGTAAGCGCCGTATGGAAAGTTTGGAGGAATTTAGAGTTCCTCTGGTAGTGGAAAAATAAAAACGCCCTGTGCCCTTTCCCAGCTAGCCGATTCTAGCAGATACACGAGCCTGTTTGCAGACCAGAGTGCGACATTCTTCAGATGCAGATTGAGAACTGTAGAGCGACTCCGAGGCGACCTTTAGCCCCAGGTAGGATCGCAAGTTTGACATGATCGCCTCAGTGAGGAGCGCAGGTATTCATCAATAGAGGTACTGAGCGGTGACGCCGAGCTGGTCAATACATGAGGAATGTCAGGAAGAGAGATCACAGAGGGGTGCTGCTTCAAAGGAGAGCACAGCCTGTCCAACACAGGGCTTTATTTTTAAGTCAGAGGCTGCATGAAGTAACGATGAGGCAGTTATTTACACATATTTGATGGGAGATACAAACCACCTTACAGATGGGATTGAATAAACTAGGGCTGTCCCAATATGATATTGACATATCTGATATATTGATATATATTGTCCTGTCCTGTGAAACATAATGCCACAACTTTTAATACTGTTGCTATTGTTACCACTGCGTATGGTCTGGGTTACTTAAGAGGCTGTCACCTGCTCTGCTGCAGTTTCCCAGAACTGCAGGACATGATGTTTCCCTATCAGAGATGTTTAGGGTCCACTAGCTTCTCAGGTTGTTCTCACATTTGTGCTCACTAACTAGTCCGATTCAGGATCTCAAAATCAGCCTGAGATCGGACCTTACTGGGATTTTTGCCACAGTGTCAACAGATTAGAGGCAGAGGTTAAATTCAGCTCCTTTCCATGGACTGGTGTGATATGAAGTGGTTTAGTTGTTCATTTGTTGACCAAGCTGGTTTATTTGAAAAACCCGGAAGTGCTAAATAGACCTGAATGTCATGCACTTTAATCGAGTAAAACTATTCTCTGTTTCAACTCATGCTACTGGGCTTTCCATAAAACTTATAGTAGAGTCATCAGATTTTAAAGATTAAACCATAAACTGGAGCCAAGCCAAATGTTGCTAGTCGCCATCTTGGAAATAGAAATGCTGACCCAAGCTAGTTTTCAGTCAACACAGAAACAAACAAAGGTGGTGTGGAGATAGGACCGAAGATTTCCTCACCTGACATCTAAGTTAGCGCTCTTCAGGGCATTTTGTCATGGGTGTTATTGGGGTTCTCGTAGCTTTTCAGCCAGCCTCAAGTGGACACTGAAGGAACTGCAGTTTTTGCACTTCCACACTGGCTTGATTTCTGGAGGATACCACTTAGCCTGTACTCAATAGAAGCCGGATTTTAGAAGTGAAAATAAGACCCTTTGAACATTTCTGGAGCTCGAAAACCTGCAAATCTGAATCTAACTTTTGACCCTTCTCTTCCTAGGTTGGTGATGCCGGTGATCCAGTGCATCCTGATGCTCTTACCTTCAATCCAGGTGGTGTGGAGGAGTCTGACAGACATGTTCATAACACCACTCTTCCACAGTATGGGAAAAGTCCTGTCCTCCGTTCAAGTGAAGACCAGTGAGATCTAACACAGACACTTCTCTGTCCCGTGGTGAAAGAAACGTTTCAGTCGAGAATTGTTGACTATGCAGTAGGAGGTATGGATTTGACCATTTGCAGGAAAAAGAGATCTCAAACACAGAGCTAAATGTAGGAAATAGTGAAGAAAATATGAGTATGTGTCTTATTTATCAGATATATTTCAAGGCTTTGTTGAAATATCACAGTTTAGTTTTAATCTTTAATCATATTTGATTTCTTTCCACCTGCAAACATCATCCATGTAAGCCTTTGTTACTGACATCACTGTAAGAGAAGAACGGTTTGATAGAGTTTGGGACTCAATGAAAACGAGCGTGCATGACCTAAAATGGAGTTGTTTACCGATTGTGACCAAAATGAGTTCATATCATTCCAATACTTAGTGCCTGAGAGAGAATCAGTTATTATAACTGCAGGAACACTGCTGACTTTCTGAGAGATGTAACATTTTTTGCTTTTTTATATATATCTATAAACTGTATATATTGCTAAACCTTCATCTACAGGTTGAATGTAATAAACTGAATAGGAGTAGACAGTTCTGCAGAATCATTATTAAATGCTTTGATGCAGCTTGTTGCACATTTTCAAGCTTCTATATTTACTTTAACTGCTGTGTTGACTTCACAGTGCATTGGTTATAATATTGGGCATTCGCTTTTTTACGTGGACCTGAATGATATGAGTTGTTTTCCAATAGGATTGAACTAAACCAGATTGGATTATTGGATTTCTTGAGAACGTTGGCATTCTAATTTATTGTTCTAAATGACCAGTTATTGATTGGCAATCACTGATTTACGTAGTTTTTTTTTAACTTAAAGAGTACTGAGACTGGCCGAGGCTTGGGAGGTGCCAGTGTTTTCTGCGGCTCATTGTTAAGGGGTTTGACAACAAATCAGATAGAGTGTATATGCTGTGGGTTTTATTGAATTGAGTTTAAGGTACAACTCTGCCGAGATTTTAGCCTTTCTTCTGTTTGCTACGTGATTATGCATCATCACCTTTGCTGGACAGCAACAGACTTGCTAATCAGTCTTTGACTACGTTTACACGTGCCCGGCTATTTTTATAAACGGACATTTAACCCTTTCGGTTTACAAAAAAAAAGAAACTACGTGCACACCATTACGTTTTCAGAGACATTTTTGTTTACACCGACCCTTGTATATGTGCCGTCAAAAGCATATCAAACCTGTAGGTGGCAGTGTAGCAAGAAGCTCAAGCCCACATTAGCCAATCAGAATCCTGCATTGCAGCAACAACAACAACGTCACTTGCTTCTTTCCATCGGCTACCCAAATCTCCATTTTCATCAGTTTTTCTCCATTTACATGTGGAGTTAACGGAGTTTTCCAAAATCTCCACTCTGGAGTTTTCAAAAAGCATCGTTTTCAGGGGCGATTTCTCCATTTGCGTCTAAACAAAGGGTGCAAATGATGGTTAATGTCTCCGTTTTTAAAAATAACCGGGTACGTATAAACGGGGCCTTAGTCATATAGTTTATTTTGTCTAAGCTGTAGCACAACCACCCACCACTAGCCAGGGCTGTACCGGGGTTACTGGTGAACACCATAATGCTGCAATGCTTTACTATCTGGATGTAAACAAGCACAGGTGAGCAATGATGCTACGAGGTTTGATCCAGAAAAATGAGTTGGAGTTGTGTCTGCTTAACTCGACACAGCCTGCAGTGCACATTCGGCACAGTCACGTGGATGTTGACCACAAGCTGGCGGTGTAAGCTCTGCTAGCCAAACGCTATTGTCTACTCAGAGACTCTAAACTAACTGATAGGTCTAAATTTTAATTTCTGTTAAAACAACAAGAAAATTAGTCATAACAGCACACGTCCAGTGCAAACCAACCTCTAATGTGCATACGTCTTCGCGAGCCATCACCTAATTTGACAACTACTAGAAATAAGCACCATTAGCTGTCGTATGTTACCGCCACTCTGCTGAGAAAAACATAGGGCTGTTTAAGGCTTTTAAAGGTGCCACTTTCATTAGCAGCTAGCTGCTTATTGTAGTTTTCTCAGAATAGCTGCCTGCTGGATTCTCAAAGAGGGTTGACGAGGTTCTAGAGACTGAACCATTGGTGGCAAATGCTGTTACACCAAACCGATGGAGTAGATCCAGTTGAGGAGTTGTGATGTTGCCTTAAAGTCAAGGGTACTTTTGGTTGGGATGAGGTCTAATCAGAGCACAATATATGACTTTTTTAAACCCTTTTACTGATGTAGGACTGCTGAAGAGCTGACAGCCATCGTACTGGGTTCAGTTTTTCAGTTTTTTTACAGTTTAAGGTAGGGTTGTGCAATAGTGGAGGACAGGTGTGTGGTTACAGTGTTTTCCTCTCCTTTCAGCTGTAGCCTGTAGCAATAATCGACCTCAGCTCATCACAGTCATCCCTCAAAAGTAACAAGCCCATTATCAGGCTTTTTTTTTCTTGGTGTTGCTTGTATTTGATACTCCCATTTTGTACTTTTTGCCTTAACATGCCAAATGAGCTCCTAATGACCAAAATAAAGAGTTTCTCCTCAAGGTAACTTTTCTGTGTGTGGTTTCTTCTGTCAGAGAAGATGAGTGTGGTTGGGATAACCGAGTGCCAGAAAGCTCTCGTAAATCACTTTGCTGAGATTGCATGAGACACACTTTCCAACACACAGCTGAGCCGAGGGTCGATGGAACATGACCTGAGGCGTCACTTTGAAACCTGCAGGCCTGCACGTCATTTCTAACCCGGTTACACTTTCATTGAAATTATGTTTTCAGATCTCTCACAGCGCAAGTTGTGTTCTGTAAACAGCGCTATGGAAACAACACTATGGAGAGTAAAACTATGATGCTGCTTCAGTGTCCTTCAGCACTAAATATCTGATTCCATCATTTGTGGTTTTCACATCTGAAATCATTGAGAAAGAGGTTAATTTTAAAACAATAATAATAATAATCAGTTTTTTGAGCTCAGTTTACCTCTGTTGGTGTTGTTCTATGGTGTTTAATGGTGCGCTGGAGTTATCTTGGAAGCCAGATATCCGAGCTGGGAATGACATCACACTCGAGTTACCAGCGTTTCAGTCACCAAGTCGGAAAAAAGCAAAATCGGAGGCAGAAACAAGATGGCTACATCTACAAAAGATATTTAGCGCTTGCCTTGTCCTTGCTTATGTTCGGACAAGGCAAGTGCTAAAATAATTTTGCGTGCCCAAAAAATGGGGTGTACTTCAGTCTTCTAGTTTCCAGCCTCAGCATCTATTGCACTGGTTGCACCTTCTACCTGAGCCACCCCCTTATCATTGCACCCCCATTCATCTGAACCTAGTTCATCTGAATTCAATCCCCTGCTTTAAAGAGAACTAGGGCATTTTGTAAACAGCTTGAAATACCGTTATTTAGAATAAACACAGAAAATAAATTGAACATGTGGTTAAAACTGTGGTTAGTGCAACAGTTTGTGATAACGGAAATGTTTAACCTCCAACAACTGCTGCTCTCAGATACAGTCGTTGGCCCTCTTGATGCTGAGAACCCCGCGCACAGACACTTACTGTTCTGCTGTCTGTGACCTTTGACCTCTGGCTGTCCTCCAGACCATTGAGCAAACAGTGCTTCCACAAGGACTTACAGCAATAATGACAGTGCGACTGTTTCAGTGTACAGCTGATATGCCTATCAACACTTCTGCTGCTGGATATAGTAACACTGTCAGTGCTGTGCAAACACTTGTGCAGCTGGGAATACAACTGCTGTTAAAACTACTGTCAGTGCTGCTTATACTGTTTTGTTTCTGTAACCACTACACTCTTTATTCACTGTTGTCACCGCTACTGTGCAAAACTAACAGCCTTATAAATAGTAAACAAATTGATTATATTGACAGAAAGGTTGTTGCTGTGATTAAATGGGATGATATTGACACACTACAGTGTTCCCTTTGTTATTGCCTTTTAATGCTGACACTCCTTTAATCACAGTCAGGGATTCCTTTCAGTCTCTTGTCCGACCGTTGGCCAACCCAAACATAGAGCTTGTGACGGTTACATCACTTCCTGTGTGATGGTAAAAAGACACCTGACTAGAGATCACACGCCTGCTATTATGTGCAAATGAGTGATATCAGCTGATGTGTTCTGTCTGTGCTGTTTGTTCTTCTTTACTGGATATACTCAGAGTCATGCTCTATAACAGGGTGTATCTCAGTCTTACAGCTGTCAGTGAGGGTGAGAAAGCCTCCCTCATTTTAGGAGTTTGCTGAGAACAGTTCTGCAATCAGCTGTTTACAAAACCTGCTCTGTCTCCGCACTTACTATCATGTTTTTGATAATCACATCATAAAACCCAAACTGCATCGCCATCAAGTTCCCACAGATCTTGTTTTCCACCAGGGTTGTTTTTTTTCCCTCCTGATATACCTGCTTACATTTTACTCTGATGATGATAACCCTACTTTAAATGTAACTCTTGTCGTCCACACATGAAGAAAACATTTGTCTATTTAAATGTTCAGAACATGCTAACATTCACCCTGAGGTGAGCATATGCTCATGTTTACCACCTTAGAGAGTCACAAGACTTGAACTGGGAACAGGTTTTAATTGGTCCAGTTTTTGTTGTGTGTGTTTTTCAGTTAACATACCTCTAAAGATGACTTCACTTTTGCTTTTAATAATCGTTAAAAATGTACATCTGACTTTGTCAAAGCTTTCATTTCCCTGTAATGATGAAAGAATAAAATGCAGATTTTCTTTATTTGATGGAGCTGAACTGAGAACTTCTGGCTATAGAAGACAGGGATATCTAAAAAAATATGATCCTCCTCTTTAAGTTATGGTCAAACACACTGAACCCCTCAAGAGATTAATGTTTCCGACCGCTTGCTTCTCTGGTTATAGTTGATCACTGAGTGCAGCAGATCATTTCCATGAAGAAATAATCATCACATTTTGCACTGCAGACGCAGTAGTTCTTCTGCCTTAGTGTCTCGGTCTGATTGCATTTCCATTGAGTAATGATCATATATTTGCTGCTGCACTTGGTGATCGACTCGTCAGGGCTCCCCCGCAAACAAGCAGCTGCTGGAGGAGAGTGGGTGAGTTGTGTTTAGTCTCTTTGCTAAAGAAATCAGGCGAAGCTAGATGTTTGGTGTCTAGTACTATGGCTGGGACCCTATATATCCTGTTGATGAAGTTAGGTGCTGTTCTGAGCATTATTTGTGGCTATAGAGTGGCGTTTTGGTTGAAGTTTGCACGTGGAGACGTAGACTGCTGTGTATTGCTTTCGTGCAACATTCATCTCTCAAGGAGATGTTACAGTGCTATGGTTAAATTTACACTGGAATATCCTTTAACATCCCTGTCCATGTTGCTCTTCATTAAATTATCATATGATCTCAGTTCCAAAAACATTGGGATGCTGTGTAAAATAGTGATTAAAGCTAAAAACATATGTTGAAATTTTCACTGCGTGGGCTTTAAAATCACTACCAACAATTGTTGCGGCATCCACAACTGCAAAACTGTCAGGAAACCATAAGTACACATGACCTACTGTTCTCCACTCTAAAGAGGAAAAGGACCTCCCCTACAGCACACAGCTCAGAAAACAATGTGACACATAAATGCTGATGACATGGGTCGCTTACATTTACATGTTTTAAAGCATCATTTGCTGTCATCCGGACAATCCTTTTCCACAGAAGACCTTTCATATTTCAGTAAGACGATGCTAAACCACATTCTGCAGGTATTGCAACAGTCCTGACCTGTCACCCACTGAAAACATTCGGTCCATTATGAAACAAAACAACGACAAGGGTCACCTAAACTGTTGAGCAGCTAAAATATTAGTATGTCAGAGGAGGATTGGACAACGTTTCACTTTATAAACTCTAAAATTGAACCATCAAATTTTTGTGTTTTTAAATGACAGCATGTCACATGTGAGCACCTTCTGTCACAAAGCACCAACTGCTTTATTTTGTTGCCACTCCCCCGGGTAAACAGCCAAATCTGCTGGCCTCTGTCACTCCAAGGTGAGCTAATACAAGAATGTAAACAGACCTGAGTCACCAGCATGTGTTTCCAAACCACTCAAAGCTAGAGAGCATACAGAAGCTGGAGGGTCAGTCACCAAATCTGAGTCTATTATTTTCTACTAATGCTGGTAAAAACCTGTCTGTAAGGAAGATGAAGTGAGCAAACCCATCAGACAGAAACAGAAAGTGAGTATGGGGGCTGAGAGTGAGATCTGTTTGATTTTGTAAACGGACATAAACTCTCCTCCGATTTCTTCTGCATTCAAAAATCATATCTCTCCCCCTCCTGTATCCATAACACTCACTGGAGTCGGTCTCCCTCAGGCTAAGGTATGGCAAGTATCCACACCTTGCCATCTCCAATTAACGCCCACATTTCTCTGAACAAAAAGCTTTTTATACTCTGCCTTGATGCCTAAATAAAGTAGTTCCACGCCAGTTAAAACACTCTATTTGAGCAAGACCGCGTCAGTCTCTCCTGCAGCAGCCGGGTAGGTTCCACTGGAGGCTCTCCCGTTCGCTGCTCTCAGGTGACTCCCGGGCTGCGGAGACGCGCTTTGTGGGATCCAAGGAAACCCCGGAGGTTTCCCCTCTCACAGCCCTGGCATTAAATTCTAGTCACGTTCAAAGAAGAGGGCAGGAATTAGATCACCAAACAGGTCACTGAGAAGAGCCCTAGTCCTCTCAGTTCGCCTCCACGCCTCCCACTTGGCTTCCTCTAGTGTCTTCTTACTGTTTTCAGCGCTTTAATTTGCTCTAACGTGAGGACAGCATGACAGGAGGACTGAAGGACGGAGAAACAGAGGAGGTACAGTATGGCTTTCATGTACGGGCTCTATTTAAAGATACAAGTTTCGAGCGGAGCTTGCAGGGAGTTTTCCTTATCGGGGGGGGAATTTGCGCTTATTAAGGGATTCTGAACGCAATGTTTTCCTCGTTATCTGTTTTCTTCTGGCACCTAGTCATGAACGCTTCTCCCACACGCGCTGAGGGAATGTACGAGACCATTGAGTATACATTAGCGCGGGGGTGTGAGATTGAACCTGCTAAAACAGGGAAACTTATTGTTTTTTACGCATCAAAAATGTCCGTGCGTAAAAGCGCGAAAGGTGGAAAAAGCATTTTATTTTCGCACAATATAAACACACCTCGTGCACACCTTTATTTAAATCACAGAGCTACAACATCGGGACTATAATAACGGAAAGGTTCACTAAGTTTAGAGGAGAATTTGGGGCGCCACAGGGGTCTTTACGCACAGTTTTTTAAACACTCAAACACGGAAGTCCAGCGTATTTTTCTCCATATTTTACCTTAATGTGTCAAAACTTTCACAAGTATGTGTAAAAATAAAAGTTAATGAGCAATATTTGTACAATAATCTTAAAGAAAATAACTCTTTGAATGAAGAGAAACGTGTGACAAGAATGAACGTGCGCTTTTACGCATTACTTAAAATGTTGCCATGCTTTCAGCTACATATTGAATGAAGTGTATGTCAGGTCTGGGTATTAAGTTGCTACTCCGGGTGGTGAGGACCCCTTGCGGCTGGATCGAGGGGTGTGGTGCTACACTTTTCTATTCACTTAAACCCATCCCTGTTTGTGGGGCAGGCTGGTAACTCACAGCTCCAGTCTCTCTCCCCTCTGAGCGCGCTGCACACTATCCCTCCTCCTCTTGACTCTCTTCTTTTTCTGCCTCCTCCGGATCCTGACAGGAGTTTCTGCACTCGCCGTTCATCCGAAAACAAGGGAACATATACAAACCAAACAACAAAGACATGGACAACGAAAGTCTGAACGAGAAAACGATGGAGGATGTCCACACCAAAGAGATTGATCTGGTCAACAGGGACCCCAAGCACATAAACGACGACGTTGTCAAGGTGAGTCAAACCTGTGAGGGTTGTTCATTTTTGGGATTTTAACTTCAGGTCAAGCATGCAGCTGATGTCTGTACGTTTTCTTTATTGTGTGGCTGATAGATCTGTATTTTTACCGGGGAACTTGTTGCACATTTTCGCCTTTCCTCTCCCAGTTGAGCCTCAGGATAATCACCATAAACTGAAATGATCTGGGGAAAGTGTGCGCACAGATGTAGGAGCCGTGTCAATGCAGTTACGTGTCGATATGTGCGTAAAATGCGCACTGTAGTACTAAGAGCGCTCCCCCTCAACACTTTTCCCCTATTAGGAAAAAGCTTTGCAGAGGTATCAAAGCTCATTGACGAGCTCCACTCTGAAGCTTTTCAGATATACCCACACGTCTGCACAAGTCAGTAGACTTGAAACCTTGGACATCCTCACTCCAACAAAGGAAACATTACGAATTTCCTGTTGTTGGAACACACGTTTCCCACAGTCCTTGTTGCATACGCCTTGCTGTTTGGAAAGTAGAATTCTTTCCATAAGAGCGCCGCCTGACCGCACAAATACCGAGTGTTTATTTTGTTTTAAGGAGTTAGCTGAAGCAGAGGTTGTAGCAGCAGAGGAGTGGTGCGCTGGAAGCCACCTGACGCGTCTGGACTGGAGCAGGGTGCAGCAGCTGGAAGTTTGAAGCGGTTTTTCTTTTCTTTTTTTTTCATATAGGAGTAAGGGGTCAAACAGCTCGCTGCATGGGGCAGCAGGGGTCAGCTCTTTGAAATGCCTGAACTCTGCCTTGTTAAAACAGGGAAACACCCAAGGAGTTGGTTAGAGCGAGCGAGGGGATATCCCTCACCACTCCCCATCTCTCCTCCCTTCTTTTCCTCCCGTTTAGCCAGCCCTCCATCTCCTCCCCACATGCCTGTAATTGCGTCAGAAGAGCAAATACCCATGTGTTGCTTTTTATTGGCTGCTGTCAAATTCCAAACGATAACAGACTGACATTATGGTTTAAGTTAATTGTAAGATGATATTAAGCAGACAGGCTGTGCAGTAATTCAACCTGCAAGTATATCCAACAGAGTTCAGACGGATTAAAACACTCGTTACAAGCGACTAACAGTGTGAGGGACCATAAGATAATAAAGAAAAGTACATTTGAGATTCATTTTCTTATATAACACAAAGACTTAGCATGGAATGTTTGAGAACTAGAACAGATACAGTGAATTGTTCCCATGTGACACGCAGCTTCTCATGGCATAGGGCTGCTCGACACGTGGGATGAATCTGCTTTATTGTAGAAGAAAGACAGAGCATTTGGGATGTAGTAGTCCAATAAAGACAACAAGAGTAACAATCAAGTCTGACTTAAAAACCTGCTGGTTAAAAGTTCACTAAAAGTTTCTACATGATCGGTGTACAATAAGATCTGTAACTTTCTTCAATCTCAGTGTGAAAATGAATCAAAATCGCTGCCTTTCCCTTTTTTTTTTTCTGCCTCTGTCGCTCCCCGCGCTCCCTCCCTTCTCTCCTTCATTGTGACCGTGAGTCAGAGTCTCCTTCCAGTCTGAGTCTCAGAATAGAATGCAGCTTTATGATGGTCCCGCCTCTCTCTAATCAACTCAACAGACCGATGGTGAAATTATGTGAATTCACATGAGAGGACACAGCAAAAATAAAACCTGATAATGCAGATGGTTCTGTTGAGAGACTGAAGATGTCAGCCACCAGCTGGGAGTAGTAGACACTTGTTTCACATGCACTAGAATACCTATTGAAGTACTTTTACTTGACTCAAATGCTAATTTATACATTTGCTCAAACCTGAGAATTCATGTGGCTGCAGGTTAAAGCTCATATGTCAATTTTTTTGGCGCCCAAAGCATTAGAAATTACAATATATAAGTTGTTAGTCTTGTTGCTAGTGTTCTAGTTTGTGTTTGTGTGTCATAAAGTAGCAGAAATTTTAATTTAAGTCTTCTTTGGTAACCAGTTAAAAACTCCTCATAGTGGCTTTAAGAGTGAACAAGCATGTTAAATATATTCTTACACTCAAAAGTCGCAATATTTAAATGTTCTGCACTGAAGTTGTATGAAAACACATTGCAAATGGTTTTCAAGTGCAATCATCTGTCACAGTATATGAAGCAGCCTCTGACCCAATCAGGCTTTATGTGATTTCATAAAAAGTCACAAAATCGTTCTTTAGAAATGCAAACTGATTCGTTTTGTTTTGAAGTCGCAGTCATGAATCCAACAAAATCCGGCATTGTCTTGCATTAGCATAACCTAGCATGTTGTTACTTTAATAGGTCCACTAATCCTTAGACCCACTTCTAGTAGACTGGGGTTGAACAAGTAATTAGTAATGTCCTTCTGAATTAATGGATGACAATCCCCATCTGACAGTGTGCGGAATCTGAATATATGGAACATGTGTTGAAAAGGCACCGCTGGGATTCGAACCCAGGATCTCCTGTTTACTAGACAGGCGCTTTAACCAACTAAGCCACGGCGCCATGGAGTCCTGCTAAAAATAGATTGAGTGGGTGTTACAACAGTTAATATTAATGTAACATTAATCCTGTTCATTTTATGGCCCCATTCAGCCTACTTTAATTTATTCACTTGTTTATGTATTTCCCCACTTTTACTCTTCCTCTATCATCATATTTTTTACCAAGTTTACTGTAAGTTCGTAAAGAAAGGCTTCGAGTTCAGCTGACTTGTCACTCTGCCACGAGATATGGCCGAACTCACCTAAACAAAAACACTGTCTTCTAGTAGAATGGGGGTAAACAAGTCTAACAATACCTAGACCTTCTTCTGGTAGACTGGGGTTGCACAGGTCCAACAATTCCTAGACCGACTTCTAGTAGACTGGGATTGAATGAGTCCAACAATCCTTAGACCCACTTCTAAAATACTTGGGTTCAACAGGTCCAACAATCCCCAGGCCCACTTCTGGTAGACTTGAGTTGAACAGGTCCAACAATCCTTAGACCCTCTTATGGTAGACTGTGGTTGAACAGGCCCGACAATTCCGTGACCCACTTTGAGTAGACTTAGGTTGAATGAGTCCAACAATCCCTTCTAGAAGACTGGGGTTGACAGGTCCAACGATCTTTAGACCCACTTCCAGTAGACTTGGGTTAATTGAGTCTAACAATCCCTTCTATTAGAATGGGGTTGAATGAGTCCAACAATCCTTAGACCTTCTTCTAGTTCTTCAAGTTCCTGTTAGCCTAAGACCAACAGTCCTCGTTAATAAGTATTTTAACTGACAAAAAGTCAGAACTACATACTCGTGTATTTAATGTATTCCATCAAATCTATCTCTTTCACCATCTTCTGCAGGGCTAGGTTGTCTAACACACATTGAAAACCACTTTTAGTTAATTTGCACTTCTTTCGAGGAGTCCTCATGCACTCACAGCCTCCCTCTGGATGTGAGAATAACCTCTAATGAGGCAGCCATTTTTACACTGTGCTGTATACAGCGGCTGTGAGGTGCTCTGAGGTCAATGAAACAGCTCTGCCAAGTGGAAGCGTGTGTTCGGTGTGTTCCCAATGAAAAAGTACAAGCAGGGAATTCCTTCCAGCAACTCTCATTCTGCAATCCACCGTGACCAAACACACCCCCACACACACAGCACTCACAAATAAACTTTTATATGTGTGTGTGCAGACAAACTGTATATGTATTGTACATGGGCACACACAGACTTACACACACACATTGCATTCTTATAAAATCAGAGGAAACAAACTGTTCTCCTCTTGCTGCTTCAGCAGCTGGCCTCAATCACCTGACCACATCAAACAAGTTCCCTTACCGACATGCATGTGGAGTTTGTTCTGTGCAGAGAGATCTTTCCTCAGGAGACTCTGCGGATCTTTATATAGCAGAGGGGAGGGGTCAGTGGTATGGAAATGCCCCCACTGGAGGCAATTTTTGAGAGGGAGTTGTGAGAAGTTTGAACTCAGATAGCTCCCGACTGTCAAATTAAAAAGGATGGAAACGACCTCGAGGTATTTAACACCTGTGATATTTGTTGGGTCTTAATACTGTCTGCACTTACAAACCTTTACCTGGGATGTTGGTAGATCTTAGAGGTACTTCTGCACCCTCAGACGTAGAGCTGCGGGATTTATTTCCAAACCAAATGCCATGCAAATAGGACACATCTGTGGGTATACAGCAAAATAAATGAGAAACGGGTGGCATGACACACAGAGAGAGCATTCACAAAGGCTTTTAGAGTTAGAAAACATTCAACAACTTGTAATTAAAGGGTTAGCGTACATTTTACAGGGGTCATAGTCACTCAGTAACGTCACTTTTTAGTTTTGGAGGAGTCGTTATGAAGCCAAAAATCGGTTTTGGCGGAAAAGCTGACTTCACTAAAAACTACTAAAGAGGTTAACAACTACAACTCACTCACCTGCCAGTCATCTTTTGGCCCCTAAATAATACATGACTCAGTGTTGAAACAGAGGAGCTTTGTACAGTTATAAAAATGAGGAAATGAGATCAACATTAGTTTTGTACCAGGCTGCAGACTTGTCTAATTTTGTAGTTAAAGTTGTCATTTTAATACAGACTAGGTTGACCATACGTTCTCTTTTACACAGACATGTCCTCCTTTTTGGGGGTATTGTCTCCTTCAAATGTCCGGGGGTTTGTATGGAAGTTTTGAGTTTTGAGTTAGTGGCCACTTGAGGAATTGCAGTCTTTTGCATGTATTCTTATGCTTCATATTTCAACTCCCAATGTTGCCAGTTAGTTAAGAATTCCTAAAAAGCAACTCTAGTGGAAAAAAGCCGTCCAGCTTCTCTGCAGCACTTTTTGTTTGAGCTTTACTATGAGGTTTGATACAAGCCTCCTTTGACTTAAAAAGCTCATGCTGAAAACTCCTGACTCAGAAGTGCTCCAAACTTCACCATTTTAACATGAATCAACCTGCAGTTCATGTGAGTTGGTTTGAACAGTGTCCCCCCGCCAGTCATCCTAATCTCTCAAACCAAATATTTCCCCTGTGATTATCTCCCGAAGCCTTCAGTCCAACAACAGAGCCCATTAATGCGCTCTTTGCTCCCGTATTCTCCTCCAGAGATACGCCATGCCTTATGGAGCGGAGATGACAGCCTGAAGTCAGAGCTCTAGAAATAGCACATCCCTTTATTTACTCAATAATATAGTTGCCATGGCGACCGGTCACATGCTGACCCTGAGACTTCATTGTTTGATGTAAAAAAAAAATTCTGGTTGGGCTGCAGAGGTCCTCCCACGCTCTGACCCATCAAGGCTGGACTCCAGCAGAAGTTTTTGTGCTTTTAGAGAGTTTACGCTGAGGACATCATGAGGCTCTCTGGAGTCCTCCTTTAGAGCAGACTTTAATCAAAACCCTTTCAGAGTCATTGTTCAACAAAAGTCCTCATAAAATGTTGTAGAGACTGAAATTTTGAAGCACTATTATTCGCTGCTTTCGCCATATTGTTACACACGGAGAAGTAGTCCAGAAACAGAATCCAGCTCCCTTTAATTCAGCTGAAAATCGCCGCCATCTTGCATGCTTGTGTTTGTGCCTCTCTGCAGAAGGCCCTTATTTAGTCTCAATCAAAGTCCTGGAAACTGGAGCAGAGTGGGTCCACTTTAAAATTTGTAGCTGTGGAAAAATTAAACGGACGGCTCGCTGGTTTTTGTGGCTGCAGTCAGTTTTATTTTATAAGACTGGAGCGAGCTCTGCCAGTTTGTGCTGTGAGTGTGAGAGAAGCTTTATGCTGCTGCTGCTGCTTGGACAAAAAGAATCACACTCGGAGCTGAGAAATGAGAAAAGTATATCTATCCTTATGTATGGATTAACATCATGAAGTTACGCCTCAAATGTGTCATATTCCTAGAGTTTTATTCAAGATTTTAAGAGGATAATGTACTCTGTTATAGGGCTGGGAGATAAACCGAAAATCTACTGATACTAGGGTTGGGCATCGAGTCTCTAGCATCAATGGGGACCGGGACTAAAATTCTGATTCTCCCCGAACCGTTCAAATGTAAACATTTTGATTCCGAGTTTCGATGCCAGAGTCCGCCGACTCAATCAATGAATCAATAAATTACTTCTGTCTTTAAACAAATTGTAGTGTGTACAGTGGGTCTACTGAAATATCCAAATAACATTGGCCCTTGTACTTTTTCATAGACAAACGATGTAACAACATAAATTTATATTTATATACTGGTTGAAAATCCCCCTGTGGGAAATTCATAGTAAAATTCTTAAAAAGCTAATTTATTTTAAAAATTCATGGAGAAGTTTAGAAATTTCATCCAAAAAGAAGAACTCTGGTTTGCACCCTAATTTAAATCGTGCATTTTTTTTATATCCTGCCTTTCGTTAGAATCGTTCGGAACTGGAATCGAAATTCATGACAATAACTGACATCATTTTGCCCATGTCAATATATTCGGTGCCAAATTTTTTTTTAAAAAGTAGGTTTTGGATGTGTGTAGGTAGGCTATGGTCTCATGTCCCTTTAAAACACTGTCCTACGTCAGAGACATGACACCATGAAAAACAGGTGAGGAGGTGTAGCGGCTGGAGTGGCGTCTGAAGTAGACAGAGTTAATGTGGGAGGGGGTGAGACATTTGAGAAGTAGTTATCATCCATTTATCGTTATCGGGGTGAACTGCTCAATATATCGTGTTATTGATTTGAAGCCATATCGCCCAGCCCTACTCTTTTGGCTTTAGGCATATACCTGTCACCGTCATTGTGTGAAAAAGTGATTTTGATGTGTCGTGTTGAAGCATTTTGAGTGATAGAGGATTGAGAAATGAGAACTGAGAACTTTAAAATCCAGACTGAACCTCAGGGAGTCGATGTCTTTCCCCCCTCCTTTTCGCTGGCCTTAAATGGTCAAAATAAACCATAACATACAGTTTTTCAATGCCCTCTTTAAACTTCTATAAATGGGCATCACGTTTTGAACAGTGGGCACTATCTTCTCACGCGATGACACGCTTGACTTTTCCATTTTACCGTCACACTGGATCATATCTGCATGACTTATGGATATCGCACCCATTAGCCCACAGTAGCCCGTCCGCTCTGTTAGCAGGACACAGTCTCCAAGTAACTAAGATAAATATTGACTCTGTGCTCAGAAGCCTGTGCAGGGGATGAGAGCGAGGGAGAGGGAGAGGGAGAGTCTGTATTGTGTTTACTGAGAGCAGCTCGCCACTTTTCCCCCCCGGTTCCTTAAACGGCGCTGTTCAGGTCACGGATTTGTCTCATTTCGAGGCTGAAGTGATGTGCTGACAGTAAGAAGAAGCAGCGCAGTGTTCTTGCTAATCCTAATGGAAGGTATTAGCGGGGAAAGTTCAACAGGATGGGTGGCACATGAATGTCTCCTACTCCGGATTTTCTCTTGTTTAACTTTCATTTTCTCCTCCGTCACGGTGGTCATCACATGGTTGCATTTACCGAACCATCTTCCTTCTGTTTATTCCATAAAAGCCTGCGATGTAAATCAAAGGCTTCCTGTGCACCTCAGAAAAAGAAGATGTCGTACCACACACAGGGAGTGTTTACAGCAGCAGATGTAAAAGCTTCCAGGAAGTAGACTTAGCCTGGTAATTATTTAGATATCAAACAGTGACAGGGCGTCGTTAAACAACCAAGAAGATAAAACCTGTGCTGAGTTTAACATCTGGTTCACCTGGGTCATCATAAAACCGGAAAGTGGCAGAAAATTTGGACAGTTTTGGTCAAAATGAAGACGTCTGTTTTATCCATTTCACTGTTAGCGTGTTGAAGAGTTTGATTCCTGATTCAGATAGATCACATATCTGCTCATCCAGAGGCAAAACCAGAAATCAGAGCAACAGAGCAGATAGAGAAAGTGTGTGCAGGGATCAGGGATTCAGGATCTGGGCGTGGCCGGCGGTCGGTGGTTAGACTGTGTACCAGTCAGTGCAAGGAGAGATATAAACCCCGTCTGCAGTCATTTTCCAGTCTCTGCAGGCCGACACTGTTAACAGGGAGTGAAACATCTGATTTATGTGGAAATAATGAGTTCAGATTGGATCGGCTGTAAAGATGATGAGGCGGATTCATTAGCTCAATATCAGGGCTGTTGTGAAATTCTTCAGGCGGTGCATGAAGGTGTTTGAAACCATTATGATGAGTCAGATTTTAATATGGTGGTGATGATTATCTCTTCAGACTGAGGAGTACATGTAGATTTAAGTGTGTTTTTGGCTTCTTGTATTCAAGGACATGATCCGACTCATACCATGTTCAAACAAGGCGTTAGAGCATATAATGAAGCAAATCTGTGATCTTGTCCTACACTTGGAAAGGTGGTGAGTCTCATCAGGTTTTCTTTTACTTGTATGTATGTGTGGTTGAAAATGAAAATACAGGCTTTTTATTCAGAACCTGGTCGAGCATCTTCCCCCTTGCAGTGATAGAGGGTTTTTATTGTGGTACGATGGCGTAAAAAGTTGCTAGACTTGTAGTTAAAACAGGTGGTTCTCTGAAGAGCTTCACAGTTGCTCAGAAACTGCACATTGTTGACCTCATGTAGGAAGACAGTATGAACTCATTTCTCTCTGGGACACATCCAAAAACTTACGTCATATTTCAGTGAAGGTTATTGACCTGTTGCAGTCACATGCCCACCTTGATGGCACCCACTGTAGCAAAATTCGGAAAGCTTACATGCATTTCAGTCAATACTTATATTCAAGGTGTATTTGGGAGTCTTTAAAGTTACCAAAAGTCCCACAAGCCTACTTGATTGAGAGCTGCATGATTTTGGCCAAATATAAAATTCCGATTTTTTTCTCTGAAAACTCGATTTTTAATTTCAATTTTTTATTCAGCACCTTTGGCAGCTCCTGTCATTGAGGCAGGGAAGAGTAAAATGACAGAGGTGAAGATAAACTAAGGTGACCAGACGTCTCCGATTTCCGGGGACTGTCCCCATATTGGTTCCCAACCAGTTGTCCCCAACTTCACCAAATGTCACTTTCAAAATAATGTTTTTCTATCATCTCTCAAAACAAAACCACTGAAAACAATGCAGGGTGTATGCCAAGCCAGTAAGTGGCGCTGTAACGCTGCACAGGAAATCATCATAATCAAATAATCTGATTACAATTTAAAATCGATTTATCATACCGCCCTAAATTGACCTTGACAAATGGTCATGAGTCACCTCAAGAGGAACTACCCATATGACCGGACTGGTCCAAGTACTTCGGTGTTTCTGTAATCCAGTGAATGTTGTGTTAACTCAACAGCACGAGGTCGTCATCTGCTTCAATCGCACATTTTGAACTCTTTACATCCATAACTGGGATGCACTGATTTTTGCTGCAGTGGAAATAAGTTTAATCCTGAAAATATCAAATATGTTCATGATACAAGACAGTAAGATGAACACAACAGTTAGCATAGAAACCAGGCGGTAAAAACTATGGCTGCCATTTCTTCTGTCCCTTTCTAACCTGTCCCTTTAATTGTCCAATCAGAAGCAGGTAGGCACCATGATGGCTCATGGGAAATATGGTTTCACTTCATAGTTATTCTGGCTTTTGAATTATCATGATAATATTGACACTTGGATGTTTATGGGGTCTAGTTGGACTCCAAAAATGTGTTGTTTTTCTTCCACTGTTCTCACGCTCCTCTCCGTCCCTCTCCAGGTGGACTTTGAGGATGTAATCGCTGAGCCTGCAGGGACCTACAGCTTCGACGGCGTGTGGAAAGCCAGCTTCACCACCTTCACCGTCACCAAGTACTGGTGCTACCGGCTGCTGACAGCGCTGGTCGGCATCCCCCTGGCGGTGATCTGGGGTATCTTCTTCGCCATCCTGTCCTTCATCCACATCTGGGCCGTGGTGCCGTGCATCAAGAGCTACCTGATCGAGATCCACTGCGTCAGCCGCGTCTACTCCATCTGCGTGCACACCTTCTGCGACCCCCTGTTCGAGGCCATGGGCAAGTGCTTCAGCAGCATCCGAATCCGCACCAGCAAGGAGGTGTAGCATCCACGACGAAGAGGAGGAGGAGGTGGGGGAGGATTCGCGGAAAGGGGGGAGGGAGAACGGGAGGGCTAGAGCCACACAGACGGAGGGAAAAGTCAGAACAGAAAAGAAATAAAACAGACCTCTGGAAAGTGAGAGGTGAGACTTTTCCAGAGCTGGGCGGGGCTTGTTTGGAAGCGAATGGGCGTGGTCACACGGCACCTGATCCCGCCTTTTTTCTCCAGCTGTTTTTCTCTCCAGTGTTGGCGTAACCAGATGGGTGGGCACAGGAAATTCAAAGGGTCGATCTCTGGGGTTTTTGTCGTTATTCTGTTCATGTTCTTTTTTTTTTTATTGCCAACTTTGTCCATCAAAAAAAAACAAGCTCCATTTCTACTTCCTGTATTTTTTTTTTTCGCCACGGTGTAAAATCCCTCCATTCTTTCCATTTCTGTGGAGAGCTTTTCTTTTTATTGATTCATGTGAAGAGGGGGATGTCAGGCAGTATCCCTGTCATCCCCTCGTGCTTATCCGTGTTTGTGTATTTTGGAGCAGCCGGGCGGGGCAGGATGGTGCGATGTCGGGGTTTTGGGAACGTCAAAGCGGAGAGAGAACGAGCGAGCGCTGCCAAATTCTATCTGACTCAGCACAAACAAAACAACCCCACAAGCCCGTCAGCATCACCAGCAGCAGCAGCAGCAGAGGCAGCGGCCCTCCCTTTGCCCCCCATGACCTCCAAACCCACCTAAACCAACCGCCCAGCCCCCCTCTCCCTTCACCCGGCCTTTCCAGCAGTCTGACACACTGAACCTGCCCTCGTTCCTGCATGCACCTGCGCCGCCTTTTCGCCTGCAACTCGCCGTCCGCCACCGCCATTGCCACTGCCACGCCCGCCGCACAGCCTCGAGACGCAGTGCCTGTCTGTGTCTCAGCTCAGCTTCTTTCTCCACCATTATCCCCCTTTAGAACAAGAGTGTGTGAACGAGAACGCTAGGATTTGAATTTTGCAGGAACTTTCCCTTTTTTTTTTTTTTTTACGCCAACGTTGTTTTTTTTTTTGACCATCTTTAGTGAAGCTCACTGCCTTTAATGCACATCACCGTAGTGGCCTAGTGAATGCTTTTTAATTTTTTACACTATGAATATGAAGAACTTTGGGGGGGGTCGACTTTTAAACTGTTGTTTTAATATCCTGTATGTACTGTATGGGTGTTTCTGCAGAGATCTGAAAAAGCTATGGCCGCATTCCAGTGCACTAATCTATGAGAAAGTATTGTTAGTGAGAATCACTAATAAAGATCTTCTTTTCTGCTCTTGCAAAGGTTGTAGAGTGTTATCTCTTCCCGTCTACAGGCTTGTGTGGAGATTTTTCTTCAAGCTGTGGTACTTACACAGGTTAATGCATTGGAATTTAGATAATGTGAGGTTGAATGCGTGATTTTTTTGATGCATTTTAATGTTATCTGGTCATAATTTTGCACCCTTCCCATTGATTTTGTATGCCTTTTTTTATCGCCCCTGACTAGTTTCTTTTGCCGCCCTGCTTTTTGTTTTTTTTTGACTGTGGACACGATGCGGAAAGCATCAACGTGACGCCTTTGACACCTGAGACGGGTGAAGCGAAGGCAGTCGGGAGGGGTTTCCTAACATGGGGTGGGTCAGGGTGGGGTTTTATCGAGACACTAAGCTTGCTTTGACTCCGTCACCTTCAGTCTACCTGCTGTCTTCTCACAGAAATGGTCATTTTATCGCACCTGCTCTTTGAATCGAGTGTTTTGAAGCTCTAAAGGTGATATTTTTTATAAGATTTGTTTTTCTTTCCTTTGCTTTTACTGTACAATATCACGCTGTGCACATTAAAAATTTAATATAATCCAGTGTGCATGTGTTCCCGTCTTTTCATTGACATTTTCTCTCATGTGCCTCTCCCTGGAGTCAAACGTTAACAGTAGATTTTCTGTTCCTTTTATTTCTATTTCTTGTGATACTGACTCATAGCAGATCTAATTATGTCATGATTCACTCAAGATACTTGGAGGCTGTTTCATTCATCTCTACTGCAGAAAACAACCACTTGAAGCCGTTTGTGGAAACAAAAAAATGAAGCAGGAGAAGCTGAAGAATAATTTCCAGCTGCAGTGCTCCTCAAACCCTCTCTAGTACTTCTATCTGAGTCAGTGTCTGTAAAGCTTAACGCCTGTCGTCCCGCTCACAGGCTTCTCTTTTTTCCCCTTCTCTAAGCCTGGCACAACGTTTCCATGGTAACTTGAAAAACAAATAAAAATGTTGGGCAGTGCTCACGAGGCTGGAGTCTAGCCTCTCGACTGTATTCAAGTTAATTTACAGCAAAAGCAGGCGCTTAATGATGCGGCCCGAGGCGAGCCTGGACTTTATCTGTAAACTAAATTATTCAGCAGTAACATGTTGGGAGTGGAGTTGATCGGACAATGGCTCACTGTTACAGGGATGCAGTTGTGACAATAGAGAGCCGTCTCTAGGTTTATGTTTCAGTCTGCAGTGGCGTTGGATGAGCCGAAAGTATACGGACAAGCAGAAACATCCGCCGTGTGCAATAATTTAGACTCTGAGATCAGGACATCCAGTCATGTTACCAGGGAGAGTGTAGAAGGTTCATCCCAACTTGAAGTTGGTGCTCTTTGCAGACTGGTTACCCTCTCTTCCTCAGGACAGTAGTTTCTTTATGAGTCTCATGTCCTTCTGCAGGCTCTTCATTGTGGTAGGGATGAGAATGTTAAGAATTTAGCGGTTCCGATTCCATTATCGATACCGATTATCCAGACAACATCTCAGTACTACTTAGCCCTAACCCCCCATAAAAACTGTTGTTCAGGACTGCGCGCAACATGCTTATTCGTGCTTCCTACCCACTCTGCAACCGTAATAACCGTTGTTCTAGCCTACACGCAACATTTTTGTTCTCATTCATGAAACGCTTAAATCGGGAAGATTTCCGAGGACAGGTTATCCAATACGGGGACAGTCCCCGGAAATCGGAGACGTCTGGTCACCTTAGTTTATCTTCACCTCCGTCATTTTACTCTTCCCTGCCTCGATGAAAGGAGCTGCCAAAGGTGCGCAAGAGCTACCCGCTGCAGCCTCTGAGCTAGCATGACTCTGGTAGTCATCGTCATCCAAATGTAATTTAAGGAGATGGAGAGTATTTATAAAGTGAATCGGGGTTAACTTGGTTTACAAAATATCTACACAACGGACAGGACCTGGAGGAGTTCAACGTTACCTCGAAGATGCCGAGATGTTAGCTCTGCTCCTGCTTTTGCCTGTACCAGTCTCGCCTTCGCCAAGAGGCATATCAAACACGTCACACTTCTGCAAATTAATTGCATGCTGGGTGGACAAATGTTTCTGCATATCAGAAGTTTTTCCCCCTTTGACGAATTTAAAGCTTCGCAAGTGTTTTAAGTAGCCCCAGTCGCATCTTTTCACGTGATATACAGCGTAACTCTGGAGCGCTTTTGCCTCGACGCCATGCTGGAGAGTTCTGAAAACACACTTCTCATGTACTACGTCATCACGCAAAGAGACGTAAGAGGAACCGATGAGCAGAATCATCAAGAAAGCAGACAAACAATTCTTATGAATTAGATCACTGATAACCGGTTCTAAAAAAGAAACGGTTATCAGTTCTCATCCCTAAATTGTGGTGTCCAAAATCACAACGAATAAACAACTCTGCATGATTGCATCAAGACTCAAGGTGCAGTGTGCAGAATTCAGCAAAACAAACTTTGTAGAAATGGAATAAAAGATAAATACATTTGAAAGAAAGTGGAAAATCACCTGAATATAAAATGTTTTTGTTTCTTTTTCAACTCAGAATAAACATTTTATATCAAAATGAGGTGATTAATTTCTGTCCGTATGTATCATCAAACCAGAAAACCTGATTCAGAGAGCTTTTGTGGCTTAGGCATGATGGTAAATATCAACTGAAACATAACAGCTCCACCTTGAGGAGGATTTGTGTCATTAAATGTGTTTGAACAGATGAAGGAATTTAGCACTTTTATGCCACTCTGGGTGAGTTTAGGTCCGACAGAAATCACCGCAAAAAAGTTTCAGGAAAGGAAAACAAGGGAAATGGTATTTATGGTTGAAACTTGTGGAGTGAAAAATCTTGTGGGATCCTCAAAAACACACTCAGAAAACAAGCAAACAACAAATAGGCCCTCAGACATGCAAGCGTCATCACAGCCGTTCATTACATGCAAGTTGAACCACAACAGAGACCTCCTGTGCCGGGTTTGAAAGGTCACGGCACACTGGGGGGAAAAGCTCCAGTTTTAACAGCAGGATGAGAGAACGCAGAGATGACTCTGTGACCTCAGAGCAGAGGACGGGACCGGATCAAGCATGTGTGAGCAGAGAGCAGAGAAACCCTGATACAAGCAGGGCGAGAAGTTTGCATTAGCTACCACAGCTTGGTCAGCGTATGCAGATGTCAGAGGATCCCTGTCTAATTCCTATTTCTGTGAATCATTTATCATTTCTGCACTGACAATTTCTTCTCATATACCAATCTACTAGAATGAAAACTGCCTCCTATACACTGGTCTTCTTCTGTGCAGACGTTTTTGCAGGTTTCTCTCTAAATTGCACAAAATTCCTGAGTTTGATCCTGTTCTCTTTTTTGTTTGCATTTTCTCTCTTTGTTAGTTTGTCTTCGCCCGCCTGCAGCCGTCCAGAGGTCAGATGGATTACAGACTGGATAAACAACAATAAATGTGAGTATCAGTGTCTGGAAATCTGAGCTTGGATAGGAGCTTGGGTGAAAATAGAGCTGATTTAATATTTGTTTATTTATTATTCAATCCACAGGCCCAAGGTGATATTTTCACATTAAAGTGACTAAAACTGGGATGTTCAATCAGAGCCAATATCCTAGAAAAATTCCTTCCTGCAGGTTTGTATCCACACAGTCTGAGTTAACCAGACACGGCCTACATACAACTTTATCTCCATATTATCTCAAAATACAGCTACTGCATTTACTATCAAAACACAACATAAGTAGCACCACTTAGGCCCCCCTGAGTGAAATATAACTCAACTTAACCAGCAAGTTAGTCTTGTGCTGATTAACCTTTGTGGACTGCTCAAAAATTACACCCTGTCACCCTGTTCGTGGACGTTTTTAGCCACTAACTTTAAAAAAACATACTGCTGTAAAAACAAATCGGATAAATATTTTTTTTATTTTTTATTTTTCTCAACTCTTTTTTATAAACCCCAGTCCTTATCAAAACAATTTTTTTGTTTGTGTGTTTTTTTGTTAGGATTTTTAACCCTTTAAATGCCATTTCAAAGGGCGATGTCACTGATTTGGTGAAAATAAAAAAATATTTTCAATATATTAAAATGATCAGAGGCTGAAGATTTTTTATGTGCTATCACGCCCTTGGATAAGTCAAATATTTATAACAACACTGGCTTTATTACATTTTGCACAGCATCAGATTTTAAATTTTATGCCCTTTCGTCCTCTTCAGGACGTTTTTAGCCACTTAATTAGCTGCTGAAAAAAACATAGCAGATATTTTTTTTTACTTTTTTTCCCCATATTCTTTTATCAAGCTGAGTCCTGATAAAAAAAAAAAAATATATATATATATAATGTTTTTTACTAAATGCAAATAAGATGACACAAAACTGCTGATAATATAGAAGTGTAAATGTAAATATGACTGATTGTGAAGTTTTTTTTGCAGCTATATTTTTAATACGTTGTTATCCGTGCAGCTTTAAAAATGTTGGTTTTAATTGTGCAAATGTCTCTGGCTTTAAATAGAAATTGTGAGGTAGAAAAAATATGCAGGGTCTTCGTATATTTAAGTCAGTCTTGTATGCAGATCTTGTACAAACATAATAGAAAAGTCAAATATGTATTTAGGATTGCGTCATGTGAAGTTTCAGTTTCCTGACTGCCCTGATGAGACGCTTTGCTCAGCTTTGACTGTGCAACAGCTCTCTCTAGTGGAATATGCACAGAGGTGCTAAATATACCAAATTAATTAGGCAGCAAAATATCACTGAAATATATTTGATTTTTAAAAAATATTCCAAACAACTCTTACAGTTGTACAAGCTGACATTGAATTTGGGATCATACCTCAAGAGTCTCATTTACTAAACCACAAGAGCAACAGTGAGATGTTATCAGCGCTGTCTCCAGTGAGGCTCGGCCCATCACAAAGCTGTCTTTTAACAGTATTTACTTTTACCAGCAAGTTGAAATGAGTCATTTTATCCCATTACAGCGAGCCTCTAATCTCTATGTCAGTCGTACGTGAACCAGGAAGTCGTCATTTACCCGCTCACCACCTCCTGTTTATACCACTTCAGATAATTGTGCCTTAGCAAACATAACCTTTACAGACTCCAGATCAAACGATGAGCCGCTCCAGCTCTTCTGATCCATTTAATTCTCATTATTTAATGCAGTTTTATAGATTTTTGAATCCTTGAAACTTGTCAAGTATGTTTCTGCAGTCTCTTAATTTATTATTTGGCTTCTACATTTTCACATTATTTGGATTATTAGTATAACTATCTTCCCTTTATTAGGCATTGAGTTACTTCTGGACATGACATTTCCATTCATCCTCAGACTTTATTTTGATCACCACACCTTGGATTGCACTCAGGTAATTAAACCGACATAAATCAGCGTGGATGTTTTTATGAGACTACAATGGTAGCTTTGACTGCTTTGCCCTACTCAGGTGATTTATGACCTCTTTCAGGCATTTGTCTTGAAATAAAAGTCGACTTTACCTCCACGTCAACCTGTGGTAAAAAGTCAGAGACAAAAGAAACTCGCCAACAGATGCACCAAAGAAAAAT